TTTTTTTTTTTTTCGCCGTCTCTGTTCTTCTTGCGTAGCAAGAAATTTTGTTAGACTAATTTGCCGACTTGTTCTATTTTATAATTTTTATCTTGCGGCATTTGTTTGTTTATACAATTCTATTTCCCTATTGTTGTCTTTTACATTTTGTATATATCTCTTTGTTTCTTTACTTCTATTTGTTACATTACTTTACACATTACATTAATTTCATATATATCTGTTTGTTCTCTACCTCTATTTGTTACATTACATTGCATTTTATATTAATTGTCTTTTTTTTATTTTTTTTTATTTTACAGGTACATTTTCGACGGCGTTGTTGGGAGGTTATAAGTAAGTATAGTTTTTCTTTTATTAATTCTAATTTTAGTTCCGCAAGGCAACACCGCTCTAGATGCGGCCTGGAGTTTATAACTGCCATTGTTTCGGCTATGGTCATTTCATCTAATGTAATACTAGTGCTTGTTTCCAGGCCGCATCTGTCGTGGTTTCGTCTTGGACATTCTAATAACAGATGTTTTATTTCAGAGCGTTCCGGGTTGGATACACATGCCGCGCGGTTACTTGTTTTAAATCTGAGTTTGAGTTTGATTTTAATTTGAGCTTTGAGATAACGTTCAAGTTTTAGTTTAGGTTTAATGTTATTTAGGTACACTACATAGCCATCGTGCCCCATCAGTGTTTGCGCCCAGATAATTGTCTCTTCCAGGTTTTTCGGGTTTCTATGCGCTCGTGGTGTGCCGTAGGTGAAATTGCGAATAGCTGTCGCCGTGGAATCATCGGTGTGCTCCTTTTTCCAACGCTGGACTGTGCCCTCTCTTGCTTGTCCTTCAGGTTCTCCATTATGAGCCATCTCCAGGAGGAGCCGGGGTGCTTTACTCCACCCCTCTAACTCCCTGATATTCCGGTGAATATGGGTAGCGAGGGGATGGAGCGTCCCCGGGTTCCGGATCAGGTCCAGTGGTCGTATGTCGCTGAGTACAGTCTTGCCCATGATGGGCAGCAGTTCGAACAGGCGGTACGCAAGGTACCGGTCCAGAATGGCTAACAATAGCTCGATTTCTGCGTATATTGCAATATAACAAGTATCGCCAGTAAATACATCCCGGCCCGGTGCCTTTGTAGGCTTGGACCTACCCTGGGTCCGGACCAGCTCCATCTTGGTGATCGGGGGGTCATCGGTCTTTCCTGAATGGCGCTTCCTGGTCTGATCCGCCCGGCTTCGGATGCTGGTATAGGTTTCAAAGTCCATTTCGGCATCTTCATCAGCGTAGATCGTCCCGGCCAGTAGCGTAACCAATTGATCCGGGCTCCGCATAGCTCCATTCTCCACGAACAGTTCCACTGCAACGCCATTAGCAGTAGCTTATGGACGAGCGCGCTATAGCATCCCACTTTTGCCGTATGGGGCAGTCGGCATCAAATGCTATGTGCCCCTTTTCCTGTTGTCCGGCACGGTCGCAGTTCTTGCAGACGGGGGCCTTTCCCTCCATACGGGAGGGGCACTTCGAGCGGTCGTGCTCCCCTCCGCAATGGCTACAGAGATCCACCATCTCTTCACAGTACTTTCGGCCGTGGCCGTATCCCAGGCAGCGGGTGCACTGCACCAGTGGTGACTGATCCTCCGCAGTCAGACCCTGGATATCGATGAAGATGGTCCCCGCCTCGATTAGCTTTCGCCATACCTGAGGGGAGACTTGCAGTACCACATGGGCCTGATGGGGATTTCGCGCCTTCTTTCGGTAGACCTCCTTTATCCTAAAATGTTTCGGATCCATATCCAGCCACAGCCTCTTGTTCTGAACCCTTAGGGACTCAATTATATCCGCTTCAGAGTTGTAACCGAATACGTTCCTCACTATCACTCGAGGGTCCCGGTTTGCTGCGGGCTCCAGCTTTAGTCCGTCTTTAGTTTTAAGTCGGCTTTCCATCTTCTCTAGCTCTGGTTTGTTTCCGCAACTAATAACTATCTTTCCATCCCTTATCTTTCTAATCCTGTCAATTTGTATTCCCGACTTACGCGCATCTAGAACTTCTCTGACCTTTTCTATGACATTCTCACTGGTATCCTTCTCCGAACATGAGGATACAATCAGGGCATGATTTGGTCGGCAGAGTGGGATCTGGGCCTTTAGATTCGGGACCCTCGCTGCCTCGGCGTACGTGGCCGCCGGGGCTTTGAGGGCCTCTATGGCCTTTCCGGTCTCCCTAGCGGTTTCTCCGTACTCCTTCATCCCTTCCTTAACCTCCCCAACCTGAGTCCCGACTGTTTCCACTTTTAAGCCTGTCTCTTCTATTTTCTTTACTAATTCTTCTTTCATCTTTTCAGCACTTCCCGTTGCCTTAACGGCCTCCTCCTCCACTATCTTATTCGTCCTTTCGGTGATCGTCCTTATTCCTTTAATTTCTTCCATGAGTCCCTCTAGTTTCTTAACGTTACCACATAGTGCCCTGCCCGGGGGGTACTCATCGAACCTATTCATCACATCGTGATTTATCATTTTCTTTATCGACTCCGTATTAGTTAGGAGCTCGCTTATTTTAACCCCAATATCCGATCCACTTTCATTCCTGGCCAATTCCTCAATGCACCTATCCTTTTCCTCAATCTTTTCCCTAATTTCCTTTTCCTTTTCAAACTGCAGCCGCTCCACCTGGAGCTCCAGGGTTCGGAGACGTTCGTACGCATAGAGGATGGTCTCGAACAGTCCTGACAGGTTGCCCAAGACGCCCTCCTTTATTGTCGCTTTCAAGTTCCCCGAGGACTCCAGTTGGATCTTCGCTGCCTGGTACAACCTATTGGCACGGATTGTCGGGGTTTCCGTTTGGTAAGTATTAGACGGTGGCTGTACCAGAGGCTGGGCCACGATGGCTCCACGCGATCTCTCGTTTTTATTATCCTTGCGCTCCGTGTATGCAACCGAGATGTTTTTGACATTCTTTCCTAACGGTGGTGTCATGATTGATTTAGTTTGTTAAGACACAAGGACAATACAACCTAACCTATGATATTTTAATTTACGTCACCAAAAGGGGTAACGGTCAAAAGGACTTATAAACAGTATATAACTTAACTAATATCTTGATGTTCCCAATAGGAGGACAGTCAGATGGTTCTAACACACATCAGAGTGCAGAATCAGTTTTAGCGTCGCCAATAGGGGTGACGGTTAAAGGACTCTACCTATCTTAAACTAAATCTTGACGTTCCCAATAGGGGGACGGTCAGACGGTACAAACTCGCACTAATATGTTTTAGTAACTCTACAATTTGTAGAGATTGTCTCTATATAATATAAATTTTGGGTAGCGCCAGGCTCCCGGTCTCTATTTTTGTCAATAAATTTATTCTAGTTATAAAACTTTTAGATTTATAATCCAACTCTGGTCTGGCTCTATCTAGAGTCAATTTAACAGTAGCAGTGGAGAGATCCTCCCAAGCCGGTTCCAATGATACCAAACACGGGTTTTCTACGATAAGCGTATCCGAAGCTATGAGGATTCAAAAAATCCAACAAGATTCAAGATGGCGGAAGAAATTCTTTCCGCGGCTGTATCTTCCAAGTCCTGTGTCAGAAAATAGTCGTGTTTGGGGTCACCAGTCGCAGCTCGAGTGGGGCTATTTGATTTTTATGGTTTAAACAATTTTACAATTTGTCAAAATTTTGTTGATTTTTACAGGTTAGGTCGTTAGTGCGAGTCGTGTCAACTTACCCTTTGAAAACCCCGTCAAAATGAGCCAACTAGTTGCAGAGATATCTAGGTTTTAAAATTTTCAATATGGCGTCCAATATGGCCGCTTCGTTCTAAATTTTTGATTTATGGACCAAAAATATTCGAGTTTGGGCTCGTTTTGTGGGGATTTTTCTCAGGGACACAGATATCTATAGTACTAAAGTCACAGATTAGCCCCCGATTTGATATCTCCAAAAATAATAAATATTTTACGTTATTTTGCTATAAAAATCTGATTTTAATCCAAAAAATTTGAATTAGGTGTCAAATGTGTTCTATATTTTTAGCTCTATAATGTAATATAAATTAGAATGTTCTAGATTTTTTGTAAGTATTTTTAAAATGAATTTAAAAATTTGTATGAAATTTTAAAAATTTATTTCTCCGAATTTCACAAATAGAAAATTCTAATTTTTACAACGGTGATACTACTCAATGCAAGCTTTAATTAGACTATGAAAAAACTATATGTCATAGATCGTTTTAATTAATTATGAATTTTTGAAATTCACTAAATTTTTGAAATTGTATAACTTAATAATGGCTTATCTTTTTTCAGGTCTTGAAGCGGATTCCAGCTCCTCTCGTCCTCTTCTTCAGGTGAGTATTTTTGGATTTTCAAAAATGGCCGCGGATCACTGACCTCGTGGCACGTGGTTTTTGTTTTTCTGGCTAATATCTCGGCCGTTTTGGGCTTAAAAAATCCAAATTTGATATCCAGTTGTAGAGCTCGGCGAGCCCGACAGGATAGCAGTTGAAAAACTGGGGGTCGCAACGACAAATCGCGCGGCGTACGCGATCGAAGTTACGAAAACTTGCAATTTTCGGGTTTTTCGCTTATAACTCCTTGAGTTTCACTGCGATCCAAAAGCGGTTTTCACCAGCGTGTTCACCTCACTTTCCCGCACGTTTTGATATGTCACTCGGTAAACTTTGCGCACTTTTTACCACTTTTAGGATTTTTCAAAGATTTTCGTGACTCGCAACGAGCGCGGAGCAGAGTTGGCAGCGAGCGGTCACCATGGGGGGTTGCCTGTTCTCTGTTTGTTAGCGTTTGTAGCCTAAACGGTTGAACGGATCTCCATGAAATTTAGCACAGGTTTAGAGCATTGTTTGGAAGTACACATAGGCTACTTTTTATCCCGGGAATAGTTACGGTTCCCGTGGGAATTATTAATTTAGTTTTTTAATGGTTACTCGATCATTCTGCAACGGTTCAACATATCTTATTGAAATTTGTCACAGATATAAAACAAAGTCTGGAGTACATATGGGATAAGCTTCATCCCCGAGAAATGTCCGGTTCCCGAGGGATACGTAGCTTTTTGTAATTTATGTAGTTTGTATGTTTTCTATTACCACGCGGACGAAGTCGCGGGCAACAGCTCGTATTAACATAAAAAGTAACCTATAATATGCCCGTCTGTCAGCTACCTTTCCGGTCGAAATCGACCTAGCGGCCGGAGATTACCCGGAACTAACGCGCCTTCGGACATATAGACAAAGTCAGAGACAATCCAAAGACATTAAAAATAAATATTTCGAGCGTAGGCATGGTTAACTATCGAACTGCGTCTGTAGCGGGTTTTACCGTAAAGAGCAAAGTTTATCTTTAAACAATGTAAGATAAACGAAATTAAATCATCCAGGGCTGATATCTTTGTTTTGGTTTCGTTTCGCTTTACCATCTCATTGTTTTTATTATCTTTTTAATTCTGTGAATTGTCGATGGCCAGTTCTATCAGATATACACATAATAAAATTGGAGTGTCTGTAATATCAAAAGAATTCCAGATTTTGAGATGATATATTTGCGTTGATTTTAAGCCGCGTTTGTTCCGGGTAATCTCCGGCCGCTGGGTCGTTTTCGACCGGACTTTCACTGAACGGTAGCTGACATAGACGGGCATATTATAGGATACTTTTTTAATTCCGCGCTGTCAAAATGGCGCTATCTCTGGAACGGGTGGACTGATTTGGACGGGATTTAGACTGGAAGGTAGCTATTAAAAGATATATGCTCACGGGAATGTTCTGCGCTAAAGAAGTAGTGGGCGACAGCTCGTTTAAAATAAAAATTAGCCTATGTTCTTCGAGATTATGTTAAACTGTGCCATCTATCGAGATCCGTTTAATAGTTTAGCATTGTACATTTATTACTTACCTTCGTTTTGTGCATTTGTAAACACTATAAATAAAATTATCAACGATAACCTCCGTAACATTGTTATAAAATTTCAACCTTAAAATAATCTTCACTTAACATTAAGTATTACTAAACAATAGCTAAACACTTGAATTATTATAAAAATCACTATAAACGATGGAATATCATTTTTGTGAATTTTTTTTTTTGGAAGTCGTAATTTATTACTAAAGAAAATATCTAAAAACAATAGAAAAGTTTTATGTAAAACTAAACACGATTCGCTATAGCAAAGTATAACTTTAATTATTTTATATACGTTCTTTTAAATAATATATCTACTTATAACGCATAGACCACGACTGACTTCAAATAAATTCTCGTACATTTATAAGAACAGTTCTATCTCTGTTTGTTTCAAACGGTACGAGAGAGATGGGTATAATTGTTTTCAACAGATAATATAACTATGATAATCTTCTCTCTTACTAATATTATAAATGCGAAAGTTTAGATGGATGTTTGTTAGTTTGCAGCCTAAACTGCTGAACGGATTTCGATGAAATTTGGCATAGATGTAGAGGATAGTCTGGAAGAACACATAGGCTACTTACTTTTTTTTCAATGCCACGCGGACGGAGTCGCGGAAGAAAGCTAGTATTACAAGAACAGTAACAGGAAAATATTTATTTTTCGCAATTAATTAAACTGGCTTATCTATACTTCTATACTATTATAATAAAGCGTAAACACACACTTCTTTGTTGCAAGATGTCAGCAATTACACCATATTTTTGAATAGTCCTTTTTTTAACTAAAAGCCTTACACTTACGTCACGCTTTAGGCTATATATTTTCACGCCATTAAACTTAGGGGGTAAATATTTTGGATAGTCACTAATGTGGGAAAGAGACCATAAGTTGCTGCCAACATCAAGGAAGCAAGATTGCCATAGTAAGCTAATTGATATTTTGACATTTGCTACTGAGAATTTGACAGATGTAAACAATAAAATAATGTTTCTAATTTAAGCTAGTTTATCTATATATTGACTATTATTAATTATTTTAACAGTGGTAGAGCCCGCTTTAACATTGCACTGTATGGCTCGCTCTGTGCAACACGACCACACAAGACAGACGTGAAATGGAAGCAATTCCGCGTACACTCCGATGATTGTGGTGCCGGAGGCCTTTTATTTTTGACCTTTTAATAAGGTAAGGATGAGATAGGAAAGTAAATTGATGGAGATTATGCCTCTCTCGCACACCTTTGACTAAAATATCGCACGACTGTTGTCTCGCTTTGATTCCTGAGCTGATATGGAGGTACACAACTCGTTAGTTGTGCAACTAATCGGTTGAATTGCGAAACAATCGACAACCGCACAACAGTTTGTAAATAATTTAAATTACACCTTTGAAAACAGTTATTGGGTTTTACCCAACATAAAACCCCATTCACTAACAATTATTATTGCTTGGATGAATAAATGTTTGTTAGAATTAACCTAAACTGCTGAATGGATTTCGTTAAAATTTGGTATAGATGTAGAGGATAGTCTGGAAGAACACATAGACTACTCATTTTTGTTTGTTTCAATAACAAGCGGACGGAGTCGCGGGCGACAGCTAGTATGTATAATTTACCCGACGTTACTGTGAAGGAAAACGTGAGGCATATTGGTAAAGAAATTCAAAGATATGTGTGACGTCACAGTGCAGTTAACTGTCCTAGTCACCCTTAGGGTAGACTCCCCCTCAGTGGGAACGTATAGTGAGCTGGTGATGGTGATTGGTGGAACAATAAAAATAAAACATTCTCTCTGTTTTTGTACATTTATTTTGAAGTCAAAATAATAAGAAATTGTTATACAATCGTAATATTAAACCATTTATGCAGATTAAAAAAAAAACAAAGTAAGAATATAATCTATCCAAAGCTTTAATATGTAAAAAATAAAAAATGCAAAAAAAAATATATTTAAAAAAAAACATGAAATTATTTTTTTATTATATCCTGCAATCTTATATCTAAGCTAGATCTAAGCAGTTACAAATATAGTAAACCCCTCTATAACGCAAATTCCATACCTCCATATAACGCTGTAATAACTCCCTATAACGATCATTACCAACAATTTATGTAAGAAAACGTATAACGCAATTTTAATTGCTCTATTGAAAAAAAGTGTTATACGGGGGTTTCCCTATAGCACGAATTTCTATAACGCTCAACTGTCAACCGTGTTATAGAGGAGTTTACTATAAAACGTCTAATTCGAAGTATTTTTTAAAACATTTTTGTGTTTACTACAGTTGCCCTTAGTCCCCTTGACGTCTTTTATGATTGCCTAAGGGTGGGCTTTGACATAGGTAGTCTAGGTAAGATGTCTAGATCCAGGGTTCCCAAGCTGACCTGGTGATAGCCAGTATTTGTGGATCAGTGCAATGTCGCAAGAGATTAGTAACCTGTATAAAAATAACTTAAATTGTTGAAAAGTGAACATAAATTTTATTTGAATAAGTTTATTAGCTTTTTCCCGCGACTCTGTCTGCATGAAATAAAAAAAAACAAAAGTAGTCTATGGGTTCCAGGCTATCAACATGACAATTGAGATCCGTTCAGTAGTTTAGGTTAACTCTAACAAACATCTAGAAATCTAGACTTTCGCATTTATATTAGTAACTTAATTTTGACATTCCTGTGGTAGTTTTTATGTTAAAAATTACTTTTAGGGGTATAGAAATATTTAAAAAGTTAAATTGGTACACAAAAGTACAGAAAACACTAGGCTAGGAGTATACTTGGATATAGACCCCTAGGGTGTTTAATTAAGGGGGAATCTATACTAACATACAGGAAAAATTTATATTTTTGTATATATTGAAATAACTCAAAAACTACTGGGGCAATTTCAAAAAGTCTTATACCATAAAAACTACGTTTTAATAAGTAACATAGGCTGTATTTTTTATTATTTTCTTAATTTCACGTGGACAAAGTCGCGAACAATTTAATTATGCGAAAGTTTATATATATGTTTTTTTTCTCTAAACTAAACGAATGTCGATGATTGTCATATATGTAGAGGATAGTCTGGAACATATACTTTTTTTAATACCACGTTGACAGTCGCGGGATAAAACTAGTATAGCTTCAACATAACCTACCTGTTGCTTAACTGTATACACCTTTTCACTTGCAAAGTCCTTGAATATATGATTTAAGAGAAGTTCATAATCTCCGAAGCTTTTCTGATTTCTGACGCTTACTTGATGAGATAATTTCTTACCTTGCATTAGGTAATATACATTTTCAAGCTAAATAAGGAAAAAATATATTAACATGTTTGTACAGTTAGGGAAATCTGCGATGTACCACTTTTATAGCATCCCTTGCAATGATATAAACTGACAGAAATAACCAATTAGTACGGACTAGCTGTTCCCGTGCGGCTTCATCCGCATGAAATTATAAATTTATTATTTGCAGTTGTCAAATTATCAATAGCAAATGTCAAAATGACATGACATGACATAACTTGGCAATCTTGCTTTCTTGATGTTGGCAGCAACTCATGGTCTCTTTCCCACATTAGGGTTTTTATTCAGAATATTTACACCCAAAGCCTAAAATATATAGCCTAAAGCATGACGTAACTGTAGGGCTTTTTATTAAAATGAGTATTATTTAGAAATATGGTGTAATTGCTGACATCTTAGGCAACAAAGAAGTGTGTGTTTACGCTTTATTATAATAGTATAGAAATATAGGGTTTTCAAGTTTTATAATTTTTTTAACTAGTTAAAAATCAAATAATTGTTAGAACTGGTTGTCAAGTAATTTTACTTTCTATATTTTAAACATTTTACTATACATAGGGATATAGAATATCAAACAAATAAGCTGTTTTTTTTGTTAACATATTTAACATTCTATTGGTAACTGTTCCGTGTCTGTCTACAAAAGGTGCAAACGACGTTAAAAAGTAGGACACCAACAGTTTCCCTGATTGTACTTTTATAAAATAACGCTAAAATAAACATGAAACAAAAAAAGTTAATGAACAGAAATAAAAATCAAAAAATACATTAGTTTTGCCGCGACTTCGTCTATGCATATTTAAAAAACTTAAATAAAATCAGTTTGCTTTTTTAACGAGTTTCGTTAGAGATACGTATACAAACATCCATCCATCTATCAATGTAAAGTTTCTTATCTTACTATTGTTAATGCATGTTTAGATTTATATTTGTAGCCTAAACTGCTGAATGGATGTCGATGTAATTTTTCATAATTTTTTAACATCCATCCATGCGGAATCGCGGGAGAAATTACTAATTTTTAGGATGGATATTAACACATATCTTAAAAGCAACTGAACAGTTTTATTGATGTTACACAGATTGCCTAGAATTTATAGGTAAGTTTTTAACAGATAAAGTCGCGGACAAATATTCTGTTATATGTATGTAAGAAATAAACTCAAAAACTACTGGGACAATTTTAAAAATTCTTTCACTATTAGAAAGTTAAATTACCACAGATTGTTATCTTACTAAATGTTACTAATCTTACTAAAAAACTACTGGGGCAATTATAAAATTCTTTCACTATTAGAAAGATAAATTACCACAGATTGTTTTCTTACTAATCTTACTAAATCTTACTAAAAAACTACTGGGGCAATTATAAAATTCTTTCACTATTAGAAAGATAAATCAACACAGATTGTTTGCTTACTAATCTTACTAAAAAACTACTGGGGCAATTAAAAAATTCTTTCACTATTAGAAAGATAAATTACCACAGATTGTTTTCTTACTAATCTTACTAAATCTTACTAAAAAAACTACTGGGGCAATTATAAAATTCTTTCACTATTAGAAAGATAAATTACCACAGATTGTTTTCTTACTAATCTTACTAAATCATACTAAAAAACTACTGGGGCAATTATAAAATTCTTTCACTATTAGAAAAATAAATCACCACAGATTGTTTGCTTACTAATCTTACTAAATCTTACTAAAAAACTACTGGGGCAATTATAAAATTCTTTGACTAGAAAGATAAATTACCTAAGATTATCTTACTAATAATATAAATGCGAAAGTTTAGATGGATGGATGTTTATTAGAGTTTGTAGCCTAAACTGCTGAACGGATCTCAGCGAAATTTGGCATAGATGTAGAGGATAGTCTCTTTTTTGTTTTTTTTTTAATAGGACGCGGACGGAGTCGCGGGCGTAAGCTAGTAGCATGCATTATTTACGTTAATGTGAAAATAAAAAAAAATATGATTAATATTTACTTTCTCTTGTATTTCGTTTCCCATCCATTTGTATGACAATTGTAATGTAGATAACAGCAGTCTATGTATGGATCTTGTCTCTGATGTTAACTTTTGCAGACGATTCTCTAATACTATAAATAATTATATTATAAACTAGATGTTCCCGCGCGGCTTCACCCGCAATCAATTATAAAAACTTTTATTTGCATACAAAAAAGGCCTTTGTCATTGGCTAACAATTACCGTTACCAGTTGTCTTGTTATTGGCTTGTAGTTTTTGTCCCTTTCTAGAATGACGGATTTTTCCAATTCATTTACCCCCTATGTTTAATAGCGTGAAAATATATAGAATAAAGCATGTCGTAAGTACAGGGCATTTTATTAATGAAATAATTATTTAAAAATATGCTATGATTGCTGACATCTGGTTTGTGTTTATGTAGGGAATATCTGTATAGGGGTTTATGTGAAACAAATGTGTAGGGGTTTGTGTGAAATATCTATGCAGGCATTTGTGTGTATGAAGGGGTTTGTGTGAAATATCTGTGCAGGCGTTTGTGTGTATGAAAGGGTTTGTGTGAAACATCTGTGTAGGGGTTTGTGTGTATGTAGGGATTTGTGTGAAACATCTGTGCAGGGGTTTGTGTGGAATATCTGTATAGGGGTTTATGTAAAACAAATGTGTAGGGGTTTGTGTGAAATATCTGTGCAGGCGTTTGTGTGTATGTAGGGGTTTGTGTGAAATATCTGCGCAGGCGTTTGTGTGTATGAAAGGGTTTGTGTGAAACATCTGTGCGGTTGTTTGTGTGGAACATCTGTATAGGGGTTTATATAAAACAACTGTGTAGGGGTTTGTGTGTAGGTATAGGTGTTTGGGTAAATGTCTATAGGGTTGTGTGTAGGTTTGTGTACCTTGCAAATTACAGGGTGCGAGCAGACAGCGGGTGAGCCTGGCGGGCGGGGGCTCGTGCTGGTCGTGTCGCAGCGCGCTGTTCCAGTCGACAGCCAGCACGCACCCCCCACAGCCCCCGCGACCTCCGCCACCCCTACCCCCCTCGTCACCGTGCACTTTGTACAGTATGTTCTCTAAGTGACGGTCCTTCAAGCCTGATGAATTTTATTATTATAAATGCGAAAGTTTGGATGTTTGAGTTGAATTAAACTGCTAAACGGATCTTGATGGAATTTGTCATAGATATAGGGGATAGTCTGGAAGAACACATTTAAAAAAAAATAAAAATGGTTGAAAAAATTAAAATTCTCATTAACACAGGGCTTCTATATTTCCTTTAAGTGTTAGATTAGAATCCCAAATTTTATTCTTATAGACCCCCTTTTGTAAATTGACCTCAAATTTTGTCATACTTATCCAGCTTGCCGTGACCCCCTAGGGGGTTCAGCTAGATCATTATGGAAATCGAAAACAACTCGATTTTAACCGTACTTTACCTAATAAACTGGTGGCGTATGTCATAGCAGCTAAACTTTCTTCATAATTCTGTTTTTTCATTATAAAATCTTGAAAACCGGAACTATTCAGTTCCATAACAGATCTGAAATCGCATTTAAAAAGTGAAGGGAAACCACATTTTAAATAGGAATTGTGTGAAAAAGCTACAATCGTTTGAACATTTTAAAAGACAAACGAAAAACAATACAATAGCTTATAAATGAGTCTAGGAAAAAAATCATTGAGACACGGCTAATTTTTTTTTATTATCCCTTCGCAAAAACTGATATCAAATTTATTTCCAGGAAAAGGCGGAGTTTTTTTTTTAATCTTTCGGAGATAGTGATTTTTTACTTTAAATAGATATACCAGTTTTAGTTGGAATGAACAAGGCAAATTTTTAATTGGGACACCGCGGATTTCCCCGATTGTACATACCTGAAAGCGTGTGCGGGTATTTTAGAGCACATCTTTTTGTATTGACTGATACTATGTTCTCTAGTATCTTGGATTAATTTCTCACCAAGTGTAGACTCTATGCCTATAAATATCATAGTTTTTGAGTTTTGGAGTTAAATGGATAAAGTAGTAATCTCCAACGTTTTAATTAATTAATTAATTAATTAATTAATTAATTAATTAATCAACTGATTAATTGCTGCGTCAATGCTATAATTAATCAGTCAATTAATTTGACAGCCCATTAATCGATTAATTAATTATTCAATTTATCCCATTATGTCTAAAGCGGTGAAAGAAAATCTCGTCATAACTGTGGTTTAAATTTAACCCCATTTGGAATATAGGTATAAGTTTTATTAATCCTACTAATGTGAAAGTTTAGATGGATGGATGTTTGTTACAGTTTGCAGCCTAAACTGCTGAACGGATCTGGATGAAATTTGACAAAGATGTAGAGGATAGTCTGGAAAAACACATAGGCTACTTGCTTTTGTTTATTATTCCGCGCGGACGGAATCGCGTGCGAAAGCTAGCTAAAGAATAAATAAGTCACGTCAAATTACATAATGGCGGTTTTCTTTTCAATTTTAAATTTAATTATAAATCTGAAAGTCTAGATGTTTGTTAGAGTGAACCTAAATTGAACAAATTTCGATGTTTGTCATACATGTAGTCTAGAACCCATAGGCTACTTACTTATCTTTTATTTTTAATTCTACACGGAAGAAGCCACGGGGGGAGCTAGTATTATATACTTGTGACAATGTGTTTTAGAAGACACTTTTTGTTACTAGCTTTCGCCCGTGACTCCGTCCGCGTGAAATTAATAACAAAAGTAAGTATGTCGTTTTCCAAACTATCCCCTACATGTAAGACAGTCATCGAGATCCGTTCAGAAGTTTAGGTTAACTCTAACAAACACCTAATTTTCGCATTTATAATATTATTACAAAGTAGGATTTACTAGTTTAAATTATAAGTTTTATGTAGTTTTGTTAAATGCAATATGCTAGAAAAGGGAATGTTGGTCAGGAAGTTTACAAACTGACAGATACTTACCCTTGATATCATATTTGTTAGCAATCAATGCCCTGACCCTCACATGGTCTTCTAAAAACTCTATAAGACCACTATCCTCACTTAGTAATGTCACCTAAAATATCAAAATATTGCATTTTTAATTTTAACTAGCTATAAATTTAATAATGTAATTGATTTTGAAACAAAGTAAACCAAAGTCCTTGGTTTCACAACGCCAGGGGGAGAACGACGGGGCAACAAATGGTGTGTATTTTATGATATAAGGTGGCGAAGTGACCGCTGTCCACAGACACCCGCAATTGCAGATGTGTTGCGTACCCTAAATCGACAGAAAAGGAGACGAACATAAATAGGATATTTCTTCTTCCTTTGCGTCTCCTTCGCTGTCAAATCCACTTTTTCTTTCCATCCTTTCTACTTAAGGAAAGGGTAGAAAGAAAAAAGGACTTATATTAAGCCTCCGGCACCAAACTCATCAGACGAAACGTGACATTGATTCCACTTCACGCCTGTCCTCTGTGTGGTCGTTGTATTGCACCGGGCGAGGCCCTACAGTGCTAATATGTGGAAGCGGGCTCTACCACTGTTAAAAAAATGTCGCCCATAAAAAACAATCTAAAATATTACGAGAATGAAGACGGGGTGATAATTGATAAAAAAATCGTACTAGAGAGGAAAGTGTAATTTAAATTAGAAAAATGTTACTTAGTTCAATCAGTGTAATATTTGGGAACCTTCCACTAACCTGGTACTCCTGCGACGTGATCCCCAGAGTCCGGAGCATGCGCAGGCTGGCCGCGTCCATCTTCAGCTCCTCGCCGGACTTCAGCAGCAGGCGCCGTCGGCGGCCGTCCGACAGCCGCACTGCCACCACCACTGGACGACGCTTAGAGTCCGTGAAAACTGACACCTAAAGGTTTCCATTGAATTCCATTTAATTCATCATCATCAACTTGACCTTATCCCTTATGGAGGGTCAGCACAGTAATTGATTCATTAATTGATTAGCTAATTAATGAATCAATTATTTGCTTCAATAATTAATCGAATAATTAATTGACTGATTAATTAATAGGATTACTAATTATTTAATTAATAATTATTGTGACAGAGGATACACGTAAGAAAGTGAATTCAGATATGACGGCTGATAGAGATGTAAGCAGCACATACTGTGCCACTCTCTAGAGACAAAGGCAAGTTGATGATGATTGGCTAATTGGTTAATTCATTACGAGATGTTAATTAATGGATTAATTAACTTTTAAGATTGAATAGTAAACCATCGGATTGAATTATTGATTAATTGTTTAATAGGTTATCAATTTGACTAATTAATTATCGGATTAATTAATGACTCAATTAATTGATTAATGGTTTAATTATTGATTAATAAAAATTATAGTTTCAATAAATGTTTAATTAATGCTTTTCATTACTTTAATTAATTTTAATAAATAATAATTGGCGTTCTCTCGTGTCGGAGGCCAAGACCCACTTTGGGTCGCTGCGCCAAGGCAGTAAGATTAACTATATGAAGTTAACAATACTCGAATTCAGTACTAACCTGTTCTTCAAATCTCTGTACACGTACTCCCTGAGGTAGATTTAAAATCAACGATAGGCAATCTTGTATCTCACTCCCGCGTACGAACTCCGCTTGTGTTAGAGCGGGACAGAGCTGTGATAACTTGAAACTCTCAGATTGTGAAGTCAATTCTTTTATTATACCCAAAAGAGACTCTTTAAGAGAATCTTTATTATTCGCATCTATAAAAAACATTATTACTTTAATTTTTCCAAAGTTTGTTTTCTTTAATCTCAGTAACTAATTAAGGTATTTGAAAAATTGTTTTTGCATATCACAGGAGTAATATTAAAGTTAGTTACAGGGTAGATATAATCACGCTAACGCTGATAGGAGACGAACAGAAGGGGTAAATATGTATACATTAGTAAATATTGTACTTAAATAGTTTAACTTGCTCAAGTTTTTAAATGAATTATATGAATTGAATTATATACAAGCCAAAACCGTTTACTTACCGTATTCAGATATTTTGTATAATGTTTCTTTAAATTTGTTTAATACTTGATAATCAACGCCAGCGTAGGAATTCTCAAATATCTTATTTTTCATTCTATCAAATGATGTAGACCACGCACCAACATCTGTTAACGAACCTTACTAATATTATAAATGTAAAAATTAAGATGTTTGTTAGAGTTAACCTAAACTGAACGGATCTCGATGTCATACATGTAGATAGTCTGGAACACATAGACTTACTTTTTATTGCACGCGGAGTCGCATGGAAAGCTAGTCTATACTGATATTTTAAAGAGGAAAGATTTGTATTTCGTCTTATTCCTATGTATGCATTGAAATAACTCAAAAACTACTGGGTCGATTAAAAAAATTCTTTCACCGTTAGAAAGGTAATTTATCTGGGAGTAACATAGGCATGTTTTTTTATTATTTTGTAATTCTACGAGAAATCGCGGGCGAGAGCTAGTGTTTTATAAAGCACTCTCGTATTTAAAATACGAGAGTTTCGGAATTTTAATGGTAGATATTAATTACTTAAATATACATTAGTTAGAGAAATTAATGACAGCCTTTTACCAGACAATTAATCTACACTAAGGGGAGTCCTTAGTGAAACCATACCATTATTTTCAAGTGCTTCTAGCAACTGTTTCAGGTAATGCTTCATCAAGTGTCTGGGATCAGCCACTAATTGTAAACACTGCTTCAATCTTTGCATATCTTTTGATAGTTCGTTGACCAGCTCGTTTACAGAGCTCAACTTAGATTGGTTCCTCTTTATTTCATCTATCGCGAACTCATCCAGGTAATGTTTGAGATTATCCATCTGGTTATGTATAAAATCACAATCTTATTAATATTGTATGCGAAATTGTAAATGGATGGATGTTTGTTAGAGTTTGTAGCATGAACCACTGAACCAATGAAATGTATTAATGTAAATAAAAGTGTAGAAAAACGCATACTTTGTTTTTTAATTTTACACGGACGGAGTCGCAAGTAAAAGCTAGTAATATATAAACTGTTCTTTTTTGTTTTTTAAAAAAATTAGTAGTTTTTTGTTAAATTACTAATAGGTTTCTTAACCATTCCAACTAAGCTGTAGGCTTGTGCTAGGAAGTTCACAATAGTCGAATAGTGGGATTTGAAACCTCGACCGCAAGATCGGCTCTTAAATTAGTGATGATGATGATGATGTATGATGATGATGTTACCTTAAGAAGGAGAGCATCACTAGCGCTACTATCGAGCTTCTCAACTGAGCTCATCCTGTGCAACAGCACATCCAATAACATGCTATATTTTAGATCTAAATCAAAGTCTAGACCTACATCTATAGCCTCTGTTATATCTATTAGTAGCTTATTTTGTTCAATAGCTGGAATAAATGAAATTCCCGTTTACATTACATAAGTTTGAATGGATGGAGGGTCTCTATAAAAAAACACAGATGCAGACAGTCTGAAAGACAGCCAATTTCCTAAGTTTTTTTTTAATAAAGATCATGAACTCTCAAAATTCAGAACTAACAAATAATTATACATTAGAAGTAATGAAAACTCTCAGTGGTCGCTATAAGCGATATTTAATTTAACCAAAGTCATATTAAGCGGAATTGACTATATAAGAAAGGTAGTGTTGCGTTTCTGCCGCACTATAATAGATGGCGTTGTGGCTGGATCGTGTTATTTTTTTCTTTTATAATATAAGATGGCAAACGAGCAAGCGGCCACCTGAATCCACCGAAATGGATAACGACCGCTGCCCATAAACATCCCCAATTGTAGATGCGTTGCCTACCTTTCATTGACGGAGGAGGAGACGCACCTAAAGAGGATATTTCCCCTTCCTATGCGTCTCCTCCACCGTCAAATCCACTTTTCCTTCCCACCCTCTCCTCTTAAGAAAAGAGTGAAAAGGGAAAGGGACCAAAATTAGGCCTCCGGCGACGATTACGCGATATTAAGTGAATCGTCTCGCCACACATAGTTCCTGACGGAAGTTCCATCTTCGGTGTTTGGTCGAAGTCATTGCGTTCTCTGTCATTGTTTTCGTTGTTTTATACAAGTCTGGTTGCGTTGGTTTCGAGTCGTTCAATTTTTGAACGAAGTTTTGTAGGAGACAAACAGGTAGTTTTAAATTTACTTACCGTTAGTCATTGGCCAATTTTCATCATAGTGTGTGACGGCCATTATAACCATATTATGAAGCACTTTCTTATTTTCTCCAACTACGCTACTTTCCGAAGTTTTTAATCTATCTCTACTGTCATTTAGTAAAAACTTTAATTTCTCAGCAGAGAGATCTGAAAATTATATTCCGTATTAATTTTAATGAAATTAATTAATTGAATAAATTAATTTTAATTGATTGATTAATTGGAAATAACTTAATTAATAATGTAATTAATAAAAATGCGAAAGTTTAGATAGATGGATGGATGGATGCTTGTTAGCGTTTGTAGCCTAAACGGCTGAACGGATTTCAATGAAATTTGGTATAGATGTAGAGGATAGCCTGGAAGAACACATAGGCTACTTTTTATCCCGGGAATAGTTTCGGTTCCCGTGGGATTGTTTACTTTATTTCTTTATAATGTTTACTAGATCATTCTGCAACGGTTCAACATATCTTATTGAAATTTGGCACAGATATAAAACAAAGTCTGGAGTACACATGGCATAAAGTTCATCCCCGAGAAATGTCCGGTTCCCGAGGGATACGTAGCTTTCTGTTATTTATATAGTTCGTATGTTTTCTAATACCACGCGGACGAAATCGCGGCAACAGCTAGTTCGATATAAATTTATTTTACTCTACATTAAATGTAATATTTACTTGTTATCATTAAAATATTAATTAATCGAATAAAATAACTTACCGTTCAAATCTTTTTGCAGATTAATTATAATATAGTTCAAACCAAGAATACTCTTTACAGGGGTGTTATTCAAAAGCAATCGACTATTATTAACTGAAAATAATATTACAATAATGAGAATTAAATGGATGGATGTTTATTACTACGTATCTATGCTACAGTTAAAATTTTGTACTAAGGAAACAATATTATAAATGTGAAAGTAACAGCTGAACGGATTTCGATGAAATTTGGTATAGATGTAGAGGATAGTCTGGAAGAACACATAGGCTATTCATATTTTTTTAATTCAACGTGGACGGAGTCATAGGCAAAAGCTAGACTAGGTATAAATAATGTTATTGAAGTTATAAAAGTCCGTGTGTGTGAACAGAAACCTCAGAGATGTCCAGACATCTTAAAACTTTTCTTGTTTATCATAAAGAAGAGATTTATATTTTTGTATGTATTGAAATAACTCAATAACTACTACTATTTTTAGTCAATTTAATAGTAATTTTATAAAGGAAAACTGTGATATTAAAATAGAAAAACTGTAAATTAGCAATAAGAAAACTGTAAGATGTTGAAAGAGAAAAAAATAATAAATAAAGAGTTCCCACCCGCACCCAACGTCCCTTTTCCATAAATATGTTAGGGGGAACGAGAGGGCGGCATAGTGCCGCCCAACAAAGAAAAAGAAACTCAATAACTACTGGGCAGATTACAAAAAATCTTTCACCAATAAAAAGCTACGGTTACAGTGAAAAACATAGGTTATGATTTTTTAATTTTTAATTGCATACAGACGAAGTCGCGGGTATTATCTAGTATACAATAATTTGAATTTAATTACTTGAATAATCTTACCTTGTAATTTGATATTACAATCAATATTTTCCTGTTTTGAAGTCCCTGGCTTTAATTCAATTACCATCGCCTCAGTAGTTTTGTTTTCTACGAGTAAATCGTTAGCTGTAAAAAAAAATCACTGAAATATTTGGACGTGACATGTACTAAATACTAGCTATAAACTTCATTCGTATGAAATTGTAAAAAAAATTATTGTTTACATTTGTCAAATTGTCAAATGTCAAAATTCAAATACACAGATATCAAATGCCTTTGACCAGCAATCTTACTTCCTTAATGTTGGCAGCTTGTAGTTTATGGTCCCTTTCCCACATAACGGTTTTTGTCCAAAACATTTACCCCTAAGTCTAATAACGTGAAAATATATAGCCTAAAGCGTGTAAGTGTAAGGATTTTAAAGAAATAATTATTATAAAATATGCTGTGATCGACATTCTACGCCACGAAGTGTGTTTACGCTTTATTATATTAGTATAGATATATATTTACAATAACAAACTGCCATATCCCGGATCTGAATGAGCTCTTCAGTATCATTTCTGTTGAGGGCCAGCTGTCTCCTGGCGAGGAGTTCCTCACATCTCCACGGCAATGTGGACAGTTCACACCTATACATAATTAAAGGAAAGTTGTAATCACACTAGAGTCAAGTGTAAACTAGATTTTAAACTGGGCTAGAAAGAGTGATAAAGTCTAATATATATAGATAATGTAATTTTAGATTTAAAGTCTGTAATTTTTTTTGAAAATAAGAACACACGCATCCCAGGTCCCTGAGGAATGCCAGGAGAGTGACGAAAGCGGCATCCTTATCCTTAGAGGCAAAATTGTTGAATCTATACTAATAGTATAAAAAATTGTATTTTGTATGGAAGTAACTCAAAAACTACTGCGCCGATTTCAGTAGTGTTTGAGTTATTTTAATACAAAAATGCAAATCAATCCTCTTTATAATTTCAGTATATACATGAATAAAACGCAAAAGTAATACATTTTTAACATTAATATAAACAGAAAATTGATACTTTATTAATTAATTACATAAAACTTTACTAATTATTAATTACTTCATTAATTAATTCTTCACAAACTATTAATTAATTTTAAAATATACTTTACTCGTCTATAGTACGCATGCAGCTTAACACTTGTAAAGGTAGTGCCATCTCGTTCGCACGGGCGCACCATCGCAGTGCGTGCGAGTGAGACGGACTGATTGGACAGCTCTCCTCCATATCTTCATACATCTTTTGAATACACGCTGATCTGTTAATACAAATCAATAATTATTATTCAATACAATAATAGACATATTACTAATATTATAAATGCGAAAGTCTAGATGTCTGTTAGTTACCCTAAACTAAAAGGATCTCGATGATTGTCATACACGTAGATAGTCTGGAACACATAGACTTGTTTTTATTTATTTTTTATCACGAGGACGGAGTCGCCGGCGAAAGCGAGTGCAGTTACAATTGTAACGAAGTTTGATTTATTTGTAGCCAATTATTAAACAAAATTTCACTTCAAAACTGATTTTATTAATACAACAAACAATAAACAGCATCCTTCTGTTCCTTACTTAAAAAGCAATTATTCCATTAATTAATTAATTCATTAATTAATCAATCAATTATTTAATCAATTAATTAATTAACTAATTAATCAATTAATAATTAATTAATTAACTAATTAATCAATTAATAATTAATTAATTAACTAATTAATCAATTAATAATTAATTAATTATTGTATTAATTCGCGTATTTATTTCTTTACTTAATTAATAGATTATTTTTGTATAAGCTATTGGAAGTGTACCTGGTCATTATTCTAGCGGCCCACTCCACCAGACAGTCTTCGGACTGAATGTGACACTCCAACTCCTGAGCATGCTCTTCATCTTGCATCCTCTTTAACTCGAACGAATCTATTGTCTATAAAAATACGAAGGTAACATATACTAATATTATGTCTATACTAATATTATGAAGAGGAAATATTTGTATTTTTTGTATATATTGAAATAACTCAAAAAATTCTCCGTTAAAAAGCTACGTTATCGCTAAGTAACATATCTTTTAATTTCCCGTGAGTAAAAGTCGCAAGCAACAGCTAGTGAATAAGTTATTAAGCTGGGAAAATACAAAAATTAAAAAAAGGAAACTTAACAATACAAATGTCTCAAAAAGTCAAAAACAAACATGAGAATTATTCTCCATGAGAAGGGGCAAACGATATTTGCTACCCTTATGTTTAGTTCTTACTAAGCTAATAAATTAATCATAATTAATTAAGTAGTAATTAATACGTGACTAAACAACTAAAGTCGAGAAAATTATCAAATGATATAAGCAAGAGTAATTTAAATCTTACTAATATTATAAATGCGAAAGTTTAGATGGATGTTTGTTAGAGTTTGTAGCCTAAACCGCTGAATGGATTTCGATGAAAATTGGCATAAATGTAGAGCATAGTCTAGACCACATAGTCTACTTCCTTTTGTTTTTTTAATTCCACGCAGACGAAGTCGCGGATGGAAGCTAGTGGTATACTTTCAGAGAAAGTAACTCTGAAAAAATTGTTCACTGCCTGGTGATATTTTTTACATGTAGTGTGCAAGCATTAATGTTAGATCTCTGTCTACCCTATATGTTTAGAATAGTGTATGTACTCACAGCGGATATTGCAAACTGTCTCTTCGGCCAACGACATACGTCATTTTGCCATTGGACATATTTATAAGTGTTCTTCGATTTTTGATAGATTAATAATATCTTATCGAACCATGTATTTGATGAGGTAACTGTGAATATAAATGGAAATATTTTTCAAATCTTACTAATATTATAAATGCGAAAGTTCAGATGAATGTTTGTTAGTTTGTAGTCAAAACTGATGAACGGATCTCAATGAAATAGCAAAAAACACATATCCTACTCAATACTTTGTTTTTTTAATCTCATGCGGACGGAGTCGCTGGCGAAAGCTAGTACACCATATTTTGATTAGATAATCGTTAATAGAACGCTTAAAACTTCCTGTAATATAGATTTTTTATAGTAAATATACCCATTTCTTATTTAATTAATTGCAAAAAGTAAATAAATTATTAATTAAATGAATAATAAATGTAATTAATTAATCTAATTATAAATAATATATTGGTAATCGATAGTGGTAACCAGTAGCTTTTATTATTTAATTCAATTCATTATTTTTTAACATCATTTTAAATGTATTAAAAATGTATAGATATAAAAACATAGTACATTAATTAAATAATAAATTATTAATTTAATTCCGTTAATTAATCTAATAATTAATTAAATAAGATTAATAATAAATATAACTTTTAAATTAGTTTAGGCCATAACATACCTTTCCAATCATCTATTTGTTTTCTAAAATTATCCATACAAGTCCAGAGTGGGGGGAGATCGTTAGCTGTAGTCTCTTGCTCTTGTAGTGTTAAATTATCCCAGTTGGAGAGAGAGTTAAAAGAGTTCACTACATCTGAAAATTGGCACTTATTATAATAGTGGTAGAGTACATTTTAACATATTCGCTCTGTAGGCTGTCGACAAACAGTGAAAGCAATTCTACGTACACTCTGTGTCGAAGGCCTAATTTTTAACCCCTTTCCCTTCCTACCCTTCAATATCTATACTAATATAATAAAGCGTAAACATACTACTTCGTTATATAGGATGTCAGCAATCACTGAATATTTTTGAATACTTTACAATACGACACGTTTTAGGCCATATATTTTCACGCTATTCAACTTAGGGAGTAAATAATTTGGTAAAAACTGTCACGCGGGAAAGGGACAGAAACTACAAGCTGACATCGAAGAAGTAAGATTGCTGGTAACGGTGTCCTCTTTATGAGAATTCCCTCCTTTTTTAAAAAGTAGTAAACAACGCATCGAAATTGCGGTAGTCTGTGCTCCAAACGTTTCGCTATTTTGGCGAATTCATATGGCCGCTTACTCATTTGCTCTCTTATTACATAAAAAGCATACTAATATTTGTATCATTCATTTAAATTATTTATAGTATTAGTTTATTTTACCTTCTAATGAATATTCTCTTGACAAATCCATCATTTCACTATTTTTCCCGTCTTGAGTTGCGCTATTATGAAAAAATTAACATTTTAAAATATTTTTCATGATGTTTTAAATAAATTACATCATTAACCGTGTCAAATGTAACTTGTAATTAATCTTTTAATTTGGCGTTAGTCGCATAATTAGATTAAATGTATTGTAATTTTAGATGGAATGAAATGAAAGAAATCAAACAGGACTAAATTTAATAAATCGAATGAAATGGATTGAAATGAAAGAAAACTTTTACAAGATCATATATTTATTACAAGTGAAAAGTATAACTTGATACTTACCCTAGTACGAAATAATCCAAACCAGACAATCTGATCTCAACATCTTCTAATAACACCCTAACTAATATTTCACCTTCAGTACCTTTGACGGATTTCAAAAGCTCTTCCACTGCTGGTTTAAATCTATAAGAAATTTAATCACTTCAGTAAAAAAATCATTGATACCTAAACATACTCAGAGTTAATTAATTGTTATATCGCTTAGGGATCGTCTATTACACAAGAGATTTTTGATTATCAGAAACATTTTTTTTTAATAATTATACACTATAGGCTATATATTTTCACGCAAATTAATTTAGCGGGCGAATAACTTGAAAAAGCCATACGAGAATGGATCAAAAACTACAAGCTAGTGATAAAGCAACATTGCTTGGTAACGACAAGCCTTCTTTGTCATTTATGTATTCAAGTTTTACAAAACGCAAACAAGAATCATTTTTACAATTTAATTTAGATGAAACCTCAAGGAAACAGCTAATCTAAATGTAAACGTAGAAATTATAATTAATTAATAATGCTAATTAATATTTAATCAATTTTATTACATTAATTAATAATATTGGTATATGTAAAAAATCTAAAGACAAGATTGGATAAAGTTAAGGATGTGTACATTAGAGGAAGTTGGAAAGTAGCGCCAGTGGTGGAGAAATTGAGAAGCAAAAGGTTAGCGTGGTATGGACATATTATGCGACGAAATGATGGGGACATAAACCAGAAAGTGTTGAGATTGAATGTGGATGGCTACAAAGGAAGAGGAAGACCGAAGAAAGTATGGATGGATTGTGTGAAGGAAGATATGCTTAAGAAAGGAGTGGATTCAGATATGACGGCTGATAGAGATGTATGGAAGAGCAGCACATACTGTGCCGACCCTCCATAAGGGATAAGGGCAAGTGGATGATATGTAAAAAATCTACCTAAATGGTGTTTTCGATTAATTATAAAACGATTAATTACACTCACCCTTCAGTATGACAGCATTCATCGATAAACAACCTACAAACTTGTATCACAAATGGTGTGGTATCACCGACGTGTGATACCATCTGCAGTAACAAGGGTGTCAATGCGGCAGGAAGAATACTGCTGACTGATTGTAAGTATTTCAGGAGTTGCAGTATTAATGCTGACGCTGCATCACCTGTCTGGAATTGCAGTTTTATGATACTTCAGGTTTTAATACCTAAATAACACATTTAAACTAACCTGAGCTTAAAACCAAAAATCTTAACTAAATCTGATAAATGAATATATTTGAAAACATTGGGAAATTAGTAGAAAATAATTAGAAAGGAAGACGAAACTAATGACACCCTTATTGGTCAAAATTTGTTTAGTACTTTAGTCTGTAGACTGTTGCAATGAAGTCATATATCATATAAATATAAATGCGAATGTTACGATGGATGGATGTTTGTCAGCGTCTGTAGCCTAAACGGCTGAACGAATCTCCATGAAATTAGGCACAGGTTTAGAGCATAGTCTGGAAGAACACATAGGCTACTTTTTATCCCGGGAATAGTTACGGTTCCTGTAGGATTCATTAATTTAGTTTTTTTTTAATGTTTACTCGATCATTCTGCAAGTTCAACATATCTTATTGAAATTTGTCACAGATATAAAACAAAGTCTGGAGTACACATGGGATAAGCTTCATCCCCGAGAAATGTCCGGTTCCCGAGGAATACGTAGCTTTTTATTATTTATATAGTACATATCTTTTCTAATACCACGCAGACGAAGTCGCGGGTAACAGCTAGTTCATACATACTTACATACGCGTGAAATTACACTCTGTCGGGTATTTATTGTGTGCAATTTATATTTACCTTACAAAACTGCAACAAAGTGTCTAAAACGTCATCAACGGTTTTCGTTTCAACAGTTGGATCTAAATGGAAATGAAATCACATTAAAAAAACGGTTATGTACAGTCGAGGAATCTGTCAGTGTTCCAGCTTAAAAGCTACAATCGTTTGAACATTTTGAAACACGCGGAACAAAAATATAACGCAGTTTAATGTGTACAAAAAAGTCGGTTAGTAATACACGACTTTTTTATTATTATTATCCTATCGTTTCTTAACTCACTGTTACATAATTAGTCATTTTTAACCAAAGTTCCTAACAGTGGTAGAGCCCGCTTTAACATCTCCGCACTGTGGGACCGGCTCGCCTCCAGTAATACCACGACCACACAGAAAACAGGCGTGAAGTGGAAGCAATTCCGTGTTTTGTCTGATGAGTGTGGTGCCGGAGGCCTAATTTTAATCCCCTTCCCTTTTTACCCTTTTCTTAAGAGCAAAGGATGGAAAGGAAAGGTGGATTTGATGATGGAGAAGACGCATAGGAAGGGGAAATGTCCTTTTTATGTGCGTCTCCTCCGTCAATGAAGAGTAGACAACACATCTGCAATTGCGGATGATTGCGGACAGCGGTCGCTTATCATTTCGGTGGATTCAGGTGGCCGCTTGCGAGTTTGCCACCTTATATTATAAAAAAAAGAAGGGAAAATAATAAAAAGATACTAGGCGTGTATCATGAACCGACGTTTTTCGTATACATTTATAAGCATTGTATTGATTTTTGTTTTATGTCTCGTTTTAAAATGTTCAAACGATTGTAGCTTTAAACAACACCGTCAATTTCCCCGATTGTACATAGAACTTTGCCTTTTGTAAGAAAGCTACGTAAAGCAATAAATTACCTTCATTTTGTATATCAATATTCTGAGTTATATCTTTTGAAGTCGTAGGAAACCTGAAAAGAATAAAAAAGTTTTTCTTGGACAATAATCTATACTTATAAAAAGGAATTTGGATTTTTGGACTTTCGTATATATTGAAATAACTCAAAAGCTACTGGATTCATTTCAAATTCTTGCACCATTAAAAATGTACATTATTACTAAGTAACATAGGCTACATATTTACTATATTTTTAATTTCACGCGAGCAAAGTCGCGAGCAACAGCTAGTTTTTGATAATGACAATACAATTTGTAATGTCTTAAGGCCGGTATACACGTCCGAGTAATCAACAGGTCCTGAATTCGAATCCCGTATCAATGTGATTGTCGAATTTTCATAGTTATTTATTTATTTAACTCATGTATGATATATTATTAATTAATATATTTACAATTGACAAAAAACACTAGATCTACTTATAACATGACCTAATACCGGCTACGTGTGCGCGCACCCAATGGCCTGATGATGATGATGCATACCGGTGAAGAAATTCAAAGATATGTGTGACGTCACAGTGCAGTTAACTGTCCTAGTCACCCTTAGGGTAGACTCCCCTTCAGTGGGGACGTATGAGTTGGTGATGGTGATGATATTGTGTATAGAAAACTAATGTTACTTACTCTTTAATAATGTGTTCTGTGATCAGGTTTCGTTTTAAAGCTTCAGTATCTCTTATGTCTTTAAAGAACATATAGAGAAGGGCTGTGAGGCAGTTCGTAGATTTACAATCACCATAAACAACAGGCAAATAAACGCTGATAATAAAACTCTCACAGAATCTGTATTAAAAAGTAAAAAAAAATAACTACCATCATATAACTCACAGTTAAACGTAATAAGGCACGTTTTTTACTTTACTTTTTTGTAAAATAAAGATAACATCGCGATCTAATAAAACCCTAACGCCATCTATGAATTCAAGATTGAAACACATAAAACAATTTTAACACATTTCCACATACAAACTTGATATAAATAATTGCAATAGTACTTCAACCTTAAGCGTTAAACGCAATTAAAGAAGTTTTTTTTTGGCTTAATTTTGATAAAAAATGATAACATCGCGATCTAACACGATCTCAACGCCATCTATGAATTCAAGGTTGAAACACATTTAACAATTTCACCACATTTCCATAAACATAAAAGATACATCTATCGACTTTTTATTTATTTACCATTTAGTATTTTATTTTTTTTATATAACGTAACATAGTTACTATTAACGTACAATAGATGGCGTTAAACACAAAAAAACCTACCTGGTTGTAACTTCAGTAGGGAGACATGAACTCACGGCGTCTCGCAGACCATCGTCAGATACCAGCTTCATGCCTAACGTGGCCAGAGCCACCTTCAACTCCTCATCCTGCAGTAGTGGACTGCTGAACCGAGCTGATCGTTTGGGAGGCGTTTCCAGATCATCAGTGAACAGACCTTAGAATAAATAACATAGAAGTCACGAATATATATGTACATACAAGCTTTTATCTGCGATTCCGACCGGGAGGAATTAAAAAAATAATAATTAGCCTATGTGTTCTTCCAGGCTATCTTTTACATCTATGCCAAATTTCATTGAGATCTGTTGAGTAGCTTAGGCTACAAACTCTTACAAACATCCATCTAAATTTTTGCATTTATAACATTAGTAAGATTTTTCCATGAACAGTTGTTTTTTGTGGCGGAACAACTCAAAAACTTATCCGTTTGCAAAAAACATTTTATTAATACAAAGCGTTGCTATCAACAAGTAAAATAGGTAGATATTTGTAAAAAAAAAACAATTTTTAGTAGATAAAAGTCATACATTATGCATCAAATAAAAATAATCTAGTGTTCAATTTTTTTTTTTAATTTAAGGTAACGCAAAAACTACTTCATAAAAGTACTAATTTAGTACAAAAACTTAAAAACTAGTATACTTACACTCAACAGCTGATCTTAGAACACCAAACGCCGCGTCTCGAACTTTCTTCACATCACTACGACAATGTTTCGCACTTTGCAGTACTAAGCCCCGCCCTACTATAGTCAAGCCACGCCCCATTCTTGTCAAACCACGCCCCACGAGTACTAAAGTAGCACTATCTCCCTCCTGCACTAATTTACACACTTCCTTGCTTAAAAACAACGATTTCACGTCATCTGAATATTTCTCTTTTATTGTTAGAGATAGTATTTCTAAACATTTCGTTTTGCTTTCTTCCACCATTTTCGGTAGAAGTTTTATTATACTCCTAAAACATAAAAAAAAAAATACCTATAACGTTAACAAGAATAAAGTCCGCGTGGAATTTAAAAAAAACAAAAGTGACTAGTCTATGTGTTCTTCCAGACTACCCTCTACATCTATAGCAAATTTCATCCAAATCCGTTCAGCAGTTTAGGCTACAAACTCTAACAAACATCCATCCATCCATTTATAATATTAGTAAGATTAATTACAAGCTTATAATAAATTTGGGGGCACACAAAAGCAAAATGTAACCACTGGTGTAGACGATAGTCAGAAAACAAAGCGTTTAATTCCACGTAGAGTCGCGGTCGAAAGCTGGTTTGCAACTTGCAGAATGATCGAGTAAACATTAAAAAACTTAATGAATCCCACGGGAACCGTAACTATTCCCGGGATAAAAAGTAGCCTATGTGTTCTTCCAGGCTATGCTCTAAACCTGTGCCAAATTTCATGAAGATCCGTTCAGCCGTTTAGGCTACAAACGCTAACAAACATCCATCCATCCATCCAGCCATCCATCCATCCATCCATCCATCCATCCATCCATCCATCCATCCATCCATCCATCCATCCATCCATCCAACCATCCATCCATCCCTCCATCCATCCATCCATCCATCCATCCATCCATCCATCCATCCATCCATCCATCCATCCATCCATCCATCCATCCATCCATCCATCCATCCATCTAAACTTTCGCATTTATAATATTAGTAAGATTCTTACCTGAACAATTCAACATCAGAAATATCTGCATTCTCTCTTACAGCAAATAAAACTATATCTACATAATCTTTTATATTATTTTTATATTTATTTAAAACTTTTCTAAACGTATTTAAATTTTCAATTCTATCATTTGCGGGTATTTTAAGACATCTTGCAAAAAGAAATGCTATATCTTTCTGTTTTATTGTTTGTGTGTCTTTTGATTCCAGTTTCTTCACCAATTCTAATATTAACCCTCGTATATATATCTTTTTCGTCAAAGTTTTCAATATTGATATATATATTTTGGCTAACTCTTCATTTTTGACTGGAAAAAACGTTTATTTTAGTGTTTTTTCCTTAAAAATGTGTACAAACTTCAATAACTAGCTATAATATTCCCGTCTGTCAGCTACCCTTCAGTGAAAGTTCGGTCGAAATCGGCTCAGCGGCCGGAGATTAAGCGGAACAAACAGACAGACAGACAGACAAAAATAAATTTTCGTTATCAGCAACGCAAATACATCACATTCCCAAAATTTGGAATTTTTCTTTTGATATTACAGACACTCCAATTTTATTATATCTTTATTATAATAAAGCGTAAACACACACTTCTTTGTTGCCTAAGATGTCAGCAATAATAGCATATTTTAGAATAATTATTTCTTTAATAAAAAGCCCTACACTTACGTCACGCTTTATTCTATATTTTCCCGCCATTAAACTTACGGGGTAAATATTTTGGATAAAAACCCTAAAGTGGAAAAGAGACCATAAGTTGCTGCCAACATCAAGGAAGCAAGATTGCTAAGGTTTGACATGTCATGTCATTTTGACATTTGCTATTAATAATTTGACAAATGTAAACAATAAAATAAAAATATTCATAAATTCATGCGGATGAAGCCGCACGAGAACAGCTAGTGTATAGATATATATTACCATGAACACATTCACTCAAACAAGACCATTCGATTTCTAACGGTTCAAAAGTTTCCAGAATTAAATTCATCTTCTGCATTAGAATGGTTACAATCTTCTTATTCCTTCTGTTCTGTATCACAGTTTCTACTAACTTCTTTAGTATTATATTAACTTTGTTTATAGTATCGGGTTTAAAATCTTTCTGTCCCCAGTAAATGACTAAATCTATCTGAAAAATTACAATAGTCCAAATAAATAAGACAGAATACAACTCAAGAGTTCTATTGCTGTATACTAGTATTTGACTAAACTATCGCACAACTGTTTAGTCTCGCTTTGATTTCTATGAGCTTATATGGAACACTTTGATTTTTAGTTGTACAACTAAACAGTTGACAATCACACAACGGTGTGAGATATTTTAGTTGTGCGACAGTTTGGTTGTGCGATAGTTTAGTTGTGCGATAGTTTAGTTGTGCGATAGTTTAATCGTGCGATAGTTTAGTTGTGCGATAGTTTATTTGTGCGATAGTTTAGTCGTGCGATAGTTTAGTCACAGGTGCACGCTGTAATAATAAAAGATGTACTTACAACGTCAATATGTAAACTGTTAAGATGATCACCAGAAGTTTGTACTACCATAGTAAGCAACGCCGGGCTTAATGTACTAGCGTGTACCTTCAAATCCTCCCTACAGTTGCATATTGCCTAAAAAAAATATTATACCTTAGTATTTGTAGTCGATATCAGGAAGTACTAATTAGGTTTAAAAAATATATTTATAACTAGCTATCGCCCGCGACTCCGTCCACGTGGAGTTCAAAAAAACAAAAGTTAGTAGCCAATGTGTTCTTCCGGACTATACTCTACGTGTATGCCAAGTTTCATCGAGATCCGTTGAGCCATTTAGGCTACAAACTCTAACAAACATCCATGCATCTAAACTTTCGCAATTACAATATTAGTACGATAGTATGAAGTATGATGTCATACTTGATGGATGTTAGTTAGAGTTTGTAGCCTAAACAGCTGAACGAATTTCATTTTTTTTATAACATAAGTTGGCAAACGAGCAAGCGGCCACCTGTATCCGCCAAAATGGTGAAGCGACCACTGCACACAGACATCCGCAATTGCAGATGCGCTGCCTACCCTATCCGATGGAGGAGACGCACATAAAGAGGATATTTCCTCTTCCTATGCATCTCCACCGGTAAATCCACTTCCTCTTGCCATCCTCTCCTTATAAGAAAAGAGTGGTAAAGAGAAAGGGACTTAAGTTAGGCCTCCGGCACCACACTCATCAGACGAAACACGGAATTGCTTCCATTTGACGCCTGTCTTGTGTAGTCGTGGTATTGCTGGGGGCGAGCCCTGCAGTGCTAAGATGTTAAAGCGGGCACTACCACTGTTAAAATGAATGTCAATGAAATGTGGTATAAATGTAGAGGATAGTCTGGAAGAATAGGCTACACTTTTTGTTTAAATTCACGCGGACGGAGTCGCTAAAGCTATTATAATCTTATCTCGTTAGTTACCTGTGCTAATAGCCACTTGGCGTTCTTATATGTGTTTGTGGTCAATGTGGTGAGTGTTGTGGTCAACCATGTGGTATGTGGTAAACTAGTTGCTCTGCTTAGCGACATCGTTAAAATGCCAGCACAAGGATGTTGGTTAATTACATTCTCCGGTATACATAACTCTTGGCATTCCTGGAAGTACTACGAGGGGTAAAATTTTATGTAACTCTTTTCATCCACTCTTTATAATTTGTCTAAATAAGATAAATTAGTTTGATTATCGCATATGTAGTATCGTTCTATTTGTATGAAGGTAAATGCCGTACTTTATAGACAGGTATCGTAGTGACGAAACACGCAGCGAATTATGAACTATCGATATTCGGTTTAAATAATTATCGAACACAGCTGAAATTATTATTTTCGTATTAACTAATTTAGAGGATAATTAAATAATAATAATAAAGAAATCCAATTCGATTACGTACGGCTGTAGTAGTAACAAGCATTACCTTTCGGATAAAAAAAGCATTATCCAAATCGGTCCACTAGCGGCGGAATTATGCCGTAACACACATAAAAAAACATACAGACGAATTGAGTACCTCCTTCTTTTGGGAAGTCGGTCAATAATAAACATTTATTTACTGTCATTATTTGTAATGGTTCTGCAGGTCATTATTAATTTGAGAAAACAGTGTTTGTTTCATTCAAAAGTTATAACTATGAATCTATCGATTCCAACTTCTATAAGAATAAAAATCTAAAATCGAAACTATAGTTTATCTAAATAAGATAGATTGGTTTGACTATTCATTACAAATTTAGTAGGGATGGGTTGTGTAAAATCGGTCATGAATCTTATCGATTTTCGATTTTCATTGTTAATACTAGAATTATCCTCTAAATCAGTTAATAAGAAAATAATAATTTTAGTTGAGTTCGATAATTATTTTGTTGTTCGTCACTACGATATCTGTCTAAGTATGGCATTTGCCTTCATACAAATTGAATTCGATACCTCATATGCTATAATCAAAGATAGATTAGCTATCTTATTTAGACAAAGTATAAATGAAAACATATACATATTTATATAAGCATGTTACTTTCAACGAAAAGGGTTACATTTTTATATGAAAACAGTAATCTTACCTGGTCATCCTGAATCAGACCCTCGTCGAACTCTCCAGGGTTTTCAGAGAGCGTGCGAAGATATGTCCTAGCTGTAGAACTTGAGGCAGAAGTTAACAGACCACTGCTTTCTTCCAGTTTCACGCCCGCGTATTGATGCATTGTACGTTTTTGCTAAAAAAAATTATTTTTAACAAATATGATCGGTAGTTTTTTTTTATAACATAAGGTGGCAAACGAGCAAACGGCCACATAAATCCGCCAAAATGGCGAAGCGACTGCCCATAGACATCCGCAATTACAGATGCGTTGCCTACCCTTATCCGACGGAGGAGGAGACGCACATATAGAGGATATATCCCCTTCCTGTGCATCTCCTCCACAAACAAATCCACTTCCCCTTCCTATCCTCTCCTTTTAAGAAAAGGGTGGTAAAGAGAAAGGGACTTAAATTAGGCCTCCGGCACCACACTCATCAGACGAAACACGGAATTGCTTCCACTTCACGCCTGTTCTCTGTATGGTCGTGGTATTACACCGGGCGTACCGGCCCATTCGTGCTCAGATGTTAAAGCGGACACTTCCACTGTTAGGTAGTAACTACAAACAACTAACTTATAAAAAACTATGTATACAGTAGGGTTGTAACGGAACTCCGCTTCTGCATTCGCAAGTGCGGAACTTCCGCAAGAAATGTTAACTCCGTATCTGGTTCCTGCTACGTTATTTCTTATGCGGAGTTATAACGGAGGTTAATTTACGTCTTTTTTCGTATTATGTATCGTTTATGCGGCTCTCGCGGGCGAGCCAGGTCAACTAACTATAATTGTTATCTATACTATTATAATAAAGCGTAAACACACACTTTGTTGCCTAACATGTCAGCAATTCCAGCATATTTTTGAATAATTCTTTTTGTAATAAAAAGCCTTACAGTTACGTCATGCTTAAGACTTTGTAATTTCACGCCATTAAACATAGGGGGTTAATATTTTGGATAAAAACCCTAATATGGGAAAGAGACCATAAGTTGCTGCCAACATCAAGGAAGTAAGGTTGCCATGGTTTGTCATGTCATGTCATTTTGACATTTGCTACTGATAATTTGACAAATGTAAACAATAAAATAAAATTTTCATAATTTCATGAGGATGAAGCCGCACGGGAACAGCTAGTAATTAATAAAAAACCATGTCTTAGATAGCTGTTGCTCGCGATTTTGTCCAGGTGAAATTAAAAAAATAATAAAAACACATAGGCTATGTTACTCAGTAACAACGTAGCCAATATACCAATTTTAATGGTGAAAGAATTTTTGAATTCTACCCAGTAGTTTTTGAGTTATTTCAATACATACAAAAATACAAATCATTCCTCTAGAAAAATTCAAAAATACAGTACATAGTTAGATAGTCTGGCAAAGAATGTGCCTACAACTTACCCAGGACTCGACTAGAGGCAGTTGGTACTCCAAGTAAGGGTCTACTATTCTGCACCAGGTCTTAACATCGAAGACCAGGGAATAGAACTTAGGATCTGAAGGTTGTCTACACCATATCGCTGATACCAAACTATTGTAATTTTCACAATAGAATAACCTATTTTGTAGGGAATAGAGTTCAAAATTGTATGATTACAGCTAAATATTACGTATGTTAAGAATATATATATTTTTTTTATATAATACGAGGTGGCAAACGAGCACGCGGCTACCTGCATCCACCGAAATGGAAAGCGACCGCTGCCCATAAACATCCGCAATTGTAGATGCGTTGCCTACCCTTATTGACGGAGGAGGAGACGCACATAAAGAGGACATTTCCCCTTCCTATGCATCTCCTTCACCGTCCAATCCACTTTTTCCTCCCATCGTTTCCTCTTAAGAAAAGGGTGGAAAGGAAAAGGGACTAAAATTAGGCCTCCGGCACCACACTCATCAGATGAAACGCGGAATTGGTTCCACTTCACGCCTGTTTTCTGTGTGGCCGTGGTATTACACCGGGCAAGCCGGCCCATTCGTTCAAAGATGTTAAAGCGGGCTCTACCACTGTTAGAGGAAATTTGAAAATAACGCCAGTGGTGGAGAAATTTAGAAGCAAAAGGTTAGCGTGGTATGAACATTTCGACGAGATGGGGACATAAACCAGATATTGTTAAGATTGGATGGCTACAAAGGTAGAAGACAGAAGAAAGTATGGATGTATTGTGTGAAAGAGGGTGTGATATTTGGACTAAAAAATATAGCCTATGTTGCTCACTAGTTTTGTTGACCCAGTAGTTTTTGAGTCATTACAATACATACAAAAATACAAATCTTTCCTCTTTATAATCATACTAATATTATAAATAGATGGATGGATGTTTGTTAGAGTTTGTAGCCTAAACGGCTAAACACATTTCGATAAAATTTGGCATAGACGTAGAGAATAGTCTGGAACACATAGGGTACTCAGTTTTGTTTAAACTCCACGCGGACGAAGTCGTGGGCGAAAGATAGTATTAGCATAGATATAACAATGAAGCATAAAAAGAGGGGTCAGTATGTTAAATAGCTATTTTAATTAAGTATTTAACTCACAAACAATTCTTTGTAATGCTATCAAAACCTAAATTCGGAATCTTGACGCGTCTATTTTGTACAAGGTCTACGCATAACATTGACAGAGTTTTCGTCAAATAAAACACCTCTGTTCCTACTTCATCTGTCATTTGACTGTAAAGTAACGATTTGGGTGATTCTATATGCGAACGAGGGACCTGGAATAAAACATCATTTTTGGATTGGAACAGAAATTAAATCTCACTAAAATATACCCTATGTTATTCACTGATAACGTAACTTTTTGGTAAAAGAATTTTTGATATTGCGTCAGTAGTTTTTGAGTTACTTTACGACTTTACTTTTGAAATTGCCCCGGTAGTTTACGAGTTACAATACAAAACTACAAATCTATCCCCTTTATAAAACAGTAGAACCTCAATAACTCAAACCTTAGTAACTTACAAACCTCTATAAATTTAAAAGAAAATATGTTCCCTTCTCATCAGAGCCCAAAACCTCTACAACATAGACCCTTGATAACTTAAAACCTCTCTAAAAAATAGACAAGAAAGTTGGATTATTGCCAACCGTCACCCCACTCTGTCCCCTCGTGGTAACAGATGAGAATAAAAAGTTTCATCCGTCCCACTACCCACCACGACGAGGGGACGGTTTTAAGCTCATAAGAATCAACGCGAGAGTAAACAGTTGTGCGATAGTTTAGTCAAACGCTTATTACTTACCATTTCAATACAAACTCTGAGTAAGACAAGAGCTCGTATGTAATTGTAAACCACTATTTGACATGTAAAAGAGCTATTATATACGGATAAAGTCTTTTTTAGTACTAAAAGAAGATCTTTTAGCTTTAAAGAGAAAAATTCCTCGCAAACTGCTGCTGTTGAATTTCTGAAAGAATATCATATAATGAACTATTGGGGTATTTGACGGTGTTACTAAATAGTACAGTTTTAAAGTTTTTAATATATCTGTACCAGAGACATCTATACTATTATAATAAAGCGTAAACACACACTTCTTTGTTGCCTAAGATGTCAGCAATTACACCATATTTTTCAACAATCCTGGCGTCACGCTTTAGGCTATATATTTCATGCCATTAAACTTATGGGGTAAATATTTTGGATAAAAACCCTAATGTGGGAAAGAGACCATAAGTTGCTGCCAACATCAAGAAAGAAAGATTGCTAAGGTTTGTCATGTCATGTCATTTTGACATTTGCAATTGATAATTTGACAAATGTAAACAATAAAATAAAGTTTTTACAATTTCATGCGGATGAAGCACGCACGGGAACAGCTAGTTAAAATATATATAATGTCAAAATGTCATGACACGACAAACTTTAGCATTCTTGCTTCCTTGATGTTGGCAGCAACTTATGGTCTCTTTCCCACATTAGAGTTTTTATCCAAAGTATTTACCCCCTAAGTTTAATGGCATGAAATATATAGCCTAAAGCGTGACGTAAGTGTAGGGCTTTTTATTAAAGAAAGAATTATTCAAAAACATGCTGTAATTGCTGACATCTTAGGCAACAAAGAAGTGTGTGTTTACGCTTTATTATAATAGTATAGATAAGTAAATATAACATACCTCAGCAATGGAACCATTAGTCTAAAACAGACTTCAAGACTAAGTCCCTCCCAACAGTAAGCATAAAGAGTGCCATACACGGACATGTCGTTCCTTTTAGACAATGACACCATGCTCGCATCTATGGCATCATCCCACCAACCTGAAGCCGTTTCGCCTACAGAAACAAATTTAATGTCCATTTTCACTAGAGATTGCTTAAACGCGGTGGAAATCAGCAGTACAAGTAATAAAAACACCGTTAAAAATGATATTTCTTAGACAACATTCACATTTTATCACATTTTTTTAGTACAAAAGTCCCTTAGTATAGAGATAATATAAGATATTGCGTCTGTTAGAAAACTGGATAAACCTGGTCTTGTCTATAGAAGTCCGTTCTTTTGTGTAAGACCAGTCTTTTGTATAGAAAACTGTTCATCTACATGGAAGACTTTAGTTATATAGAAGACTGTTCTTTTGTATAGAAGACCGGTCTTTTATGTAGATTGTTCCTTTGTATAGAAAACTTTTCTTTTGTATAGAAGACCGTTCTTTTCTATAGAAGTTCGTTCTTTTGTTAGAAGACCGGGCTTTTATGTCGAAGACCATTTTTTTTGTAGAAGACCAGTCTCTTGTACAGAAGACTGTTCTTTTATATAAAAGTCCATTCTTTTGTTTAGAAGACCGGTCTTCTATGTAGAACACCAGTCTTTCGTATAGAAGACCGTTCTTTTGTATAAAAATCCTCTCTTTTGTACTCACCCGCTATCAACTGGCTGATAGTCTTCAGTAGACTGGAATCAGCAGCTATCAGAGCTTCCAATAAAGCTCCCAGCAGTAGACCACTCTCACCTTGAGCTTCAGAGAGACGTGCGGGCAGTAGACCGACATACCAGCTCCAAGTAGACCTGGTTAAAGGTGGAACTTATATAACCAACACGTTTGTTGTTGTTGAAGTTTTTTCCAATTTATTTATGCCCTAAGTAACAGCGTGAAAATATATAGCCTAAAGCGTGTCGTAAGTGTAGGGCTTTTTATTAAAGAAAGATTTTTTCAAAAAAGTAGTGCGTGTTTACGCTTTATTATCTTTACTTCTATACTAATATAATAAAGCGTAAACACACACTACTTTGTGACGTAGGATGTCAGCAATCACAGCATATTTTTAAATAATCATTTCTTTAATAAAAAGCCCCACATTTACGTCACGCTTTAGGCTATATATTTTCGCGCCATTAAACTTAGGGGGTAAATATTTTGGATAAAACCCCTAATGTAGGAAAGAGACCATAACTTGTTGCCAACATCAAGGAAGCATGATTACCATAGTAAGGTAATTGGTATTTCAACATCTGCAATTGAGAATTTGACAAATGTAAACAATAAAATAAAGTTTTTTATAATTTCAAGCGGATGAAGCCGCACTGGAACAGCTAGTTATCATAAAATTTGAAATGCAAGGGATAAAAATCTGAATGTTTTTGTCGTGATGTCTGTGTGTTTGTGTTTGATAATCTACGTAACTCTTTAACATATTAAAATGCGATTTTTACTAATATATTGTGATAGGTTTTGTTTATAAGCAAAGAAAGCAAAAATGACCCGAAATTTCGTCGCGCGATTTTGAGTTAAACTATTTAACTACGTCGTAGTCTTTGACTCCAAAAATCAAACAAAAAAATGGGACCCACCTGCAAGCATTACCTTTCGGATAAAAAATGAATTATCAAAATCGGTCCACTAGCGGCGGAGTTATGCCGTAACACACATAAAAAAAAAACATACAGACGAATTGAGTACCTCCTTCTTTTGGGAAGTCGGTCAAAAACTAGCTGTTCTCATGCGGATGAAGCCACATTATAGTATTAGTATGCAGTTTTTCATACTTATAAGCTTCTCCAGGCGGTAGTAAACCAATAAGTTTGGTTTTCATTTCGCATGTCGATGTTTCTGATTTCATTGTATTTATTAACCATTGCATCGGTTTCGATTCCGGTAACAATTTATTAGGTAAGAAAGAAACTTCTAGAAGTAAAGAATATTGTTGTTCGAAAGTGGATACTTTCTCGAATTCCGGCCACAACTGTTGGACAAGAAATCATATTTATATTATAAATGCGACAGTTTGTATGTTCGTAAGAGTTAACCTAAAAATGAACGGATCTCGATGATTGTCATACATGTAGAGATTTTGGAACACATAGACTATTTACTTTTGTTTTTTTATAATCCCACGCAGACGGAGTCGCGGGCAAAAGCTACAAGATATAGGACCTGTCTGTCTGTTAATTGTTAACAATCCAATGTGCATAGTATGTGATGGAAATATCGGATTTTTCCCTTATCTGACTGTGACGTCATCTTTAAGCTATCTGAAACTCTATCAGCCGGTGATGGGACAGTGTCAGTTAGTTTGAAATTAAAGTTAACTATAGTTTAACATACATACATAAAATACTTATACTTAAATTAGCAACAAAAGTATATAACACAATACATGAAACGCCCCCTGATGAATAGGGGGGAGAAATCCCCCCCCCCCCAGATGAAAATATCGTAAAATTGAGATAACTTAAAAAAGCTTAAATCTTACTTCTTACTAATATTATAAATGCGAAAGTTTAGATAGATGGATGGATGGATGGATGGATGGATGGATGGATGGATGGATGGATGGATGGATGGATAGATGGATGGTTGGATGTTTGTTAGAGTTTGTAGACTAAACGGCTGAACGGATTTCGATGAAATTTGGTATAGATGTAGAGGATAGTCTGGAATTACACATAGTCACACACCTTTGAAGGAAAACATCGTGATGCAACCTGCACATATCGGCGAAGAAATTCAAAGATATGTGTGAAGTCAACCAACCCGCACTTGGCCAGCGTGGTTGACTATGGCCTAGTCACCCCGTATTAGGGTAGGCTCCGAGACCCTCGGTGGGGACGTATAGTGAGCTGGTGATGATGATGATGATGACACACCTTTGTTTTTTTTAATTCCACGCGGACGGAGTCGCGGGCGAAAGCTAGTTACTTATAATTCCTACCATAATAAAATAAAGTTTATTTAGGGACAAAATAATTACTACCTTCCCCCTTTAGCCTATCCCCCCTTAATATTAAAAACAATAAACTCCACTTACCTGATCGACTAAATCCAGTACATCATAGTTTTCGATCTTCGAATATTTTACTAAAACCTTCATCACATCTCTCTGATGAAGAATCTTCACCAGATCAAAATTCATCACCAGATGATGAAATACCACCGGCATGAAGTCTACACTAAACCCTTCCAGTATCACCACTCTTTCAATATCTGGTGTAGGCAGAAACTTGAATATTATGTGCAGTAAATCAGTGAAATATGGAATAAAACGCTTTTTTATACCGTTTTGATGTTTTTCTACGATTAAAGGCAACCATATTTTTATTTCTTTTATCAAATCATTTTCAACGTTTTTATCGAAAATGTTTAGTAATATTTTCAATGATTTTATTAGATTTATATCTTCGAAGAAATCGTTTTTTATGTCAATTGCTATTTTGTCTATTTCAAACTCTTTACACCATAATTTGAAATTCATTATAAATTCTTTTGGTAAACATTTCAATAGGTTTTCATATCTTTTCAAGCATGTTAATAAATGTTGTCTGTGGTCAATTATTTCTTTGGGTTTTAATTTTAATAAGATAGTTGAAATTATTCTCACTGTATCCTAAAAAACAATCTATTTTTAATACTAGAGAAAAATGAGCACTCAGAGTGATCACTCATGTGACAGAAATGCGAATTTTAAGATGTGTGGTAACACGAATGGATAAGATACGAAATGAGTATATTAGAGGAAGTTTGAGAGTAGCCTCAATAGTAGAGAAGGTAAGGAGTAAAAGGTTAGCATGGGGGCATGTTATGAGGGATGAATCGCATGTTACAAGGAGAACGTTAGTTATGAGTGTGGAGGTACACCGGTAGAGGTAGACATAGAAAGAGATGGATTGTGTAAAAGGTGACATGATCAAGAAGGGAGTGACTGAGATGACGTATGATAGAGTTATGTGGAGGACAAAAACCTAGTAGGATAAGGAGATGACGATGACTCAGAGACACTAAGGGACGCAGGCCTATAAGAACTTACCTCTAGATGTAATTTCACCAAAATATCAGCATATTGAATACAAAAATTCAAAATACCATCCAAATAAAGACAATTACAATTTTCTTCAATATTAAATCCAACAAAATTCTCTTTTAATAATTTATTAGAAAAACTTTCATCGAAATCAAACATTTCTTTAGCAATCGATAGAATTACAAAAAGGCGGGAAACATCGCCATTTTGTTTCTCAATTACTTCAAAAACTTCACACCAATTAATTTCTTCCCCATATATTTGTTTTATAAAATCTAATGTCAATTTTATTTTATTCTTTAAAATAAGCACATCCGCCATTTTGTTAAAACGGCCGCCATCTTGTATTACGTTTAGAAGTTTCATTACAATACCAATTATTACATTTCTGAATAATTCTATTTTATCTATAAACAAATCTGTTGCATTTTTGAATATTATATTTGCTTTAGTTAAATTTGTTTCCGCTGTCCGTAATATTATTTCTGGAAGATATTTCTGTGCTAACACATTATCTTCTTTCATTATATTTACTAACATTTCCGCTATATCTAAAAATGCTTGTTTATTCACAGCTGTAAAAAAATAAAGATTATCTATACTATTATAATAAAGCGTAAACACACTTCTTTGTTGCCTAAGATGTCAGCAATTACAGCATATTTTGAATAATTCTTTTTTTAATAAAAATCCCTACACTTACACGCTTTTGGCTATATATCTTCACGCTAATAAGGGGGTAAATAAATTGGAAAAAAACCTTCATGTGGGAAAGGGACCATAAACTACAAGCTGCCAACATCAAGGAAGCAAGATTGCTAAGGTTTGTCATGTCATTTAGACATTTGCAATTGATAATTTGACAATTGTAAACAATAAAATATAGTTTTTGTAATTTCATGCGAATGAAGCCGCACGGGAACAACTAGTTTGAAATAAAACCTATCATAATATATTAGTAAAAATCGCATTACAATATGTTAAAGAGTTACGTAGATTATCAAACACAAACATACAGACATCACGACAAAAACAGACAGATTTTTGTCCCTTATTTCCCGAATTATATGATAACTAGCTGTTCTCGTGCGACTTCATCCGCTTGGAATTATAAAAACTTTATTTTATTGTTTACATTTGTCAAATTATCATTGTAAATGTCAAATTGATGACAAACTATGGCAACCTTGCTTCCTTAATGTTGGCAGCTTGTAGTTTATGGTCTCTTTCCCACGTTAGAGTTTTTATCCAAAATATTTACCCCCTAAGTTTAATTGCGTAAAATATATAGCCTAAAGCGTGACGTAGGTGTAGGGCTTTTTATTAAAGGAAGAATTATTCAAAAATATGGTGTAATTGCTGACATCTTAGGCAACAAAGAAGTGTGTGTTTACGCTTTATTATAATAGTATAGATAGAAGTATAGATGGGATATACTTACAGTATAATGTAGTGTCGTTTAACACTGCACTTGCTAGTTTTTCATAATGACCGATATGTTTAAGCGCAGTGGAAGCCGCGCTTCGATCTCCATTGCTTACGGTCTCCGTAAACTATATAAAACAGGACTGTATTTACATACTAACTGTTGCTGGCGACTTCTCCCGCGTGAAATTAAATAGCGTATGCTACTCACAGATAAATTATCTTTCTAGCAGTATTTCTTATTAAAACAGAACAGTAGTTTTCGAGTTATTTCAATACATACAAAAACACAAATCTTTCCTCTTCATTATATTACTATAAATGAGCTGTCGCCTGCAAACTTAGTTAGCGTGGAATTAAAAAAAGGGTCGTCTTTAACATTCCCGCGTGCATCTACTTTTTACCAGCTACCTTCCAAAGTCCCGTCTAAATCGGTCTACCCGTTCCAGAGATAGCGATCCGGTCGCCTTTTTGATAGCGCGGAATTAAAAAAAAGCAGCCTATAATGTCTATGTCAGCTACCCTTCAGTGAAAGTTCGGTCGAAATCGACCCACTCGTTTCGGAGATTACTACCAACAAACGCGGCTTGCGGACAGACAGACAGACAAACAAAAAAAATGCGATTTTCGTTATCAGCAACGCAAATATCTGGCTGAAATCTGTTATTTTTCTTTTTATATTAGACACTCCTATTTTATGTATACTAGCTTACCCGCGACTTGTAAGCGCGGTATTTAAAAGACCAAATGCAAGTAGCCTGTGTTCTTCCAGACTATACGTCTATACCAAATTTCATCGAAATCCGTTCAGCCGTTTAGGCTACAAACTCTAACAAACATCCATCTAAACTTTCGCATTTATAATATGGTATAACTTATAACTCACGTGAAACCATAGTATTATAGGCAGTGCTATATTCCCACATAGAGATAATATTTGCGTATGTACTTGTGCAGTTTGTAACAACGAACACGCACTTTTACTAAGTACTGTAAGTACTTTCTCATTTGGTACACGTTCCAATACTAAATGAAAAATATTTATTACTAACTTCCGCCCGCGATTTCATCCGAGTGGAAAAAAAACAAAAGTAGTCTGTGTTCTATACTATCCTCTACATATATGCCAAATGACACCGAAATCCGTTCAGCAGTTTAGGCTACAAACTCTAACATCCATCTAAACTTTCGCATTTATAATATTAGTAAGATAACTCGCGAATTCATCCGAGTTATATAAAAAATAACAAAAATAACCTTTTACTCAGTATTATAATATCTTTTTAATGGTAAAATTTTTGAAATCGACCCAGTAGTTTTTGAGTTATTCCAATTATAAAAATACAAATCTTTCCTCTTTATTTAGTATTAGCTGTTGCTCGCGAGTTCGCCCGCGTATAAAAAATATAGCCTATGTTACTAACTGTTAACATAGCCATTAAATTGTGAAAGAATTTTAAAAATCAGAACAGTAGTTTTTGAGTTATTTCTATACACACAAAAATACAAATCATTCCTTTTTATAATGTTTAGTATAGAAACAGTACGGACGAAAACGCGGGCAAAACAATAACATTTATAAAGTTAACTAAGAAATTATGAAAATTGTAAAATGCAGGTATTTACATAGGGAACATTTATTATATAAATATAGTTTATAACACTTACAGTTTGCGTAAAGTAAGTCTAACAAAACTTGTAACATCTTGGAATCCCCATATTTCAACGCTAAATTGTGAATTTCTTGTAGATTTAGCTGAAAAATAAATCAAATAAATACCAAAATGGAATTATTCGGCAAGAGAAAGGACGTATAAGGAAGGGTAAATATTAAATTCGAAATGTTTTTACTTTGTTCTGAAAGTTTCGAAAACACATTTTTTTTTATAACAAAGATGGCAAACGAGCAAGCGGCCACCTGAAATCGCCAAAATGACGAAGCGACCGCTGCCCATTGACATCTGCAATTGCAGATGCGTTGCCTACCCTTAATTGACGGAGGAGGAGACGCACATAAAGAGGACTTTTCCCTTCCTATGCGTCTCCTCCATCGTCAAATCCACTTTTCCTCCCCATCCTTTCCTCTTAAGAAAAGAGTGGAAAGGGAAAGGGACTAAAATTAGGTCTCCGGCACCACACTCATCAGACGAAACGCGGAATTGCTTCCACTTCACGCCTGTTTTCTGTGTGGTCGTGGTATTACACCGGGCGAGCCGGACTATTCGTGCGAAGATGGTAAGGCGGGCTCTACCACTGTTAAACACACACACATTTAAAATTACGATCATTGTAAATTAGTGGGTTTCAACATTTTTTGCACATACAGGGTTTTTTAAACAAAAGAATTGTAATTTGACGATTTTTAACAGATTATTGTTAAAATTATGTTTTTTGCAAAACAAAAATGTACTAAATTTTCTCAATAAAATTGATTTGTGAAATAAAAATTCACAAACACTCCAGTTTCCACCGAGTTATAAATATATTTCATCCGAAACTGAGAATAAGGCCGAAACTAGAATTTCGACTGTAACCAAAAATTTAGTTACTAGTAAATACCTTTATGTATATGTCGAGATTTCGCTATTTTTGCGAAATCAAGTCGTTTAAACACATAAATTACAAAAAATATTTTTACCTTTATAATAATTCCCTCGTTAACAACAGGAACAGATAAATTCATATATTTCTCTAAATGTATTGTTTCTTGTACATTTTCATTCATATGAGTATTTTGTCCATGTTTCCCTTAAAAAAAGAGTTTAAGTCATTTTGCTAATTTCTTTAGTTTACAATATAACTAGGAAAATCATAAAATAACAGCATTGTAAGTGTTAGGGCAAAATTTTAACTGCCAATTGAACTTTTCAGTTAAAATTATGCAGATGTAGGCAAAATTTTAACTTTCTAGTTAAACCTTTGTGTCTGTAGGCAAAATTTTAACTGACAATTAAACTTTTCAGTTAAAATTATGCAGCTGTAGGCGAAATTTAAACTGTTTTGTTAAACTTATGCGTCTGTAGGCAAAATTTTAACTGACAATTGAACTTTTCAGTTCAAATTATGCAAATTTAGACAAAATTTTAACTGTTTAGTTAAACTCATGCGTCTGTAGGCAAAATTTTAACTGACAATTGAACTTTACAATTAAAATATAATTTCCACAGGCATAGTTTTAACTATACATTTAATTGTTCAGTTAAAACTTAGCGTAAATAGTATGTAAAGGTTCAGTGTACAAACAGACAAAAAATATAATTTTTTACCTATAAACATAAATAATTCCTTTCGCAAATATCGTCCATCTTTCCCTTTGTATTCATTATGTTGCATTTTCTGCAATAATCTTATTATCTATATGGAAAAAACAAGTAAAATTAACGGTAAAGAATATCCGTCTCATATCTTTTTTGTCACATCTCTACCCTTCCCGTTTATGTACTATTGCATGGATGGGAATGGGAAAGATTTGTGAGAGAATGAAACGCATAGAAAGGGAAAATATCATTAATATGCGTACTTTTTAATAGCAACGCATCTGCAAATCTGTCTAGGGCATTTGTCGCTTCGCTATTTTGGCGAATTCCGATGGCAGTTCGCTCTTTTAACAATATATAGGGTAAAGAAAACATTCAGTAATAATATAGCTTTCTAAAGGTGAAAGAATTTTTGAAATCGGTCGAGTAGTTTTTGAGTTTATTAGTTACATAAAAAAACTTTCTCTACATATTAGTAATTAAATATTATTTTTCATGGCTTTTGCATACTTACGTTATTTAAAATGTTTAGATTTAATTCTTCATTCCTAGTAGATATAAGATTATCTAAAGCCTTGAGACAACGAGACAAAATTTTCGCTTCAAAATGAACAGAACGAGAAAAAATAATCTGAAAAACACTTCATTATTCAATAATTTAAAAAAAAACTAAATGTATGTTTAATTTTAAAATAGTGAAATGCCTGTTTTAAAAACGAAGATTTTAAATTATTATTATTGATTCAATGCAAGAAAATATAATTTATAGTAAGTGCAAAGGACATACAAAAAATATACGAAACTCGATTTATATTGTTAACTTTTTAAATTATGCACTAATAAAAAAAAAACAAACACCAAACATTAAATAAAACCCACTAAAATAAATAAATAAAAACCGCATTACAATCATTTAAACCACTCCTGAGATTAGCGAACACAAACACACAGACAAAAACTACCTTGAAAAATTTAAACCATCACTAGAAGAGTTTAAAAACCAAATAACCGCGTAGAAATAAAAAAAAAGTGAGTAGTCTATGTATTCTTCCAGACTATCCTCTACATCTATACCAAATTTCATCGAAGTCCGTTCAGCCGTTTAGTCTACAAACTCTAACAAACATCCATCTAAACTTTCGCATTTATAATATTAGTAAGATTAAACAAAACTAGCTGTTCCCGTGCGGCTTCATCCGCATGTAATTATGAAAATCTTATTTTACTGTTTATATTTGTCAAATTATCAATAGCAAATGTCAAAATGACATGACATGACAAACCTTAACAATCTTTCTTCCTTGATGTTGTCAGCAACTTATGGTCTCTTTCCCACATTAGGATTTTATCCGAAATATATAGCCTAAAGCGTGACGTAAGTGTAGGACTTTTTATTAAAAAAAATATTATTCAAAAATACGGTGTAATTGCTGACATCTTAGGCAACAAAGAAGTGTGTGTTTACGCTTTATTATAATAGTATAGAGTATAGATATACCTGTAGTGCTTGTAGAACTCTTGTTACAGTAACTCTTGACGCAGTGAGAACCAACGCTAAACAACTCTCATTCAACATTAAGTCATCGGTACAATCCTCTAGAGAAACATCCTGAGAATTAAAACAAATAAATGTAGAGATTCAAAATATATAGAGGAGTCAAATTTGACACTTGAAATAATTTTCACATAATCCTCAAAACATTTCAATAATAAATTATCATTAAATTATTAATTGTTATATTTTCTTTTGTAAATAAAAATGAAGCCTATTATAATTGTTATAAAATGTTTTATTACATGACAAAACGAGGTGGCACCAAACTTGACAAGTGATACCTTTCAGAGAAAGTACCGGTGGATTTGTTCACTGCCTCGTCTATACATTTTTAATGTCTGGGTAAATATATGTTGAATAGAGGAAGTTTGTGAGTAGCTGCAGGGGTAGAGAAGGTAAGGAGTAAAGTTAGCATGGGGGCATGTTATGAGGAGGGATGAATCATGTAACAAGGAGAACGTTAGTTATGAGTACAGCGGTAGAGGTAGACATAGAAAGAGATGGATAGTGTGAAAGGTGACATGATCAAGAAGGGAATGACTGAGATGACGTATGATAGTTATGTGGAGGACAAAAACCTGTTGCGCTGAGAGTAGGATAAGGAGGATGATGATGGTGAAACAGAACAATAATTAGAATGAATGAATGATTGAATGAGTGAATGAGCGAATGATTGAATGAGTGAATGATTGAACGACACTCACCTTCACCATATCCGCGTACAAATCGTCACTCCCATACCGCAGTAATCTAGCTACCCGCAACACTGCACCCCCTAAACCCTCCATCCCAGCGAGCAGCCGCTGCACCCCCCGACTGACGTCACTCACCCCCTCACCCCTCACATCACCCCCTAAAGGTATTATATACGAACTGATAATAATCAGATACGTTAACCTGTCTGGTAGTTCCTGGAAATGAGACTTTTTAAACAGCTAGAATTTTTTTTTTTCAAACATTTTGTAAAAAAAAACAGTCGATACCAATAAATTATTAAAAAAAAATTGTTTATTATGCAGAGAAGCTTTGTACACAAAAAACACCAAAAAAAAATATTTTTTTTTATGGTATCTACCACATTCATATTATTAAAAAACTAGTTTTCGGCCGCGATTCCGTCCGCATAGAATCAGAAAAAACAAAAGTGAGTAGCTTATGTGTTCTTTCAGACTACCCTCTACATTTTTACCAAATTTCACCGAAATCCATTCAGCAGTTTAGGCTACAAACTCTAAAAAACATCTATCTAAACTTTCACATTTATAATATTCCTAGCTACTGGCAACATAGTTTTTTAATAGTGGAAGATTTTTTTGAAATTTGTCCAGTAGTTTTTGAGTTATTTCAATACATACAAAAATACAAATCTTTCCTCTTTATAATATTTTATAAGCAAGAAGTAAAACGAAGATTAAAAACTCACCTCTAAATTCTCATTTAATTCGTATTGTAACAAAGATTCGTGTAAATATTCCATAAAATCAAGGAAAACTTTGGATTTTGGTTCATCTGAATTTTCAAAAAATAACATCCATAAAGGAAGATATTTGTCAATATTACCATTCTCTTTGTAACACTTGCATGTTTCATTTGCAAGGAAAATTATCGCGATCTATTAGCAAAAAAATTAAAAAAAAACTTTAAAAAATCCAGTAGCCATTTTTTTCTATTTTTTTTTTACCACAAGAACTTTCTCCTGACAATTTACAATACTATTGTCCCAAAATTATTTTTCAATGTTTTTTCCATTTTTTTTTTAAACAAAAACCAAAAACAAGCACTTTATGTTGCATTAAAAAACCTTTTTTAAGTAAAACAAATGTTTAATAGACACTAATTAAACAATATTGAAAACTGTTTAGATGAAAAAATTGAAAAAAAAGACTAAAAAAAATTAAAAAAAAATAAAAAAAACTCACCTTTCTATCACTAGATGGTGCTCTTAGTATACAATTTACTGCAATTTCTCTCTGATACTTATCTGGTATATTTTTATAAAATACTGAAACACTTTTCAGTAATTTCATATCTTTTTCTAGATTATACTCCAAACACCATTGTATCTAAAAGCATTATAACTAGCTTTCGACCGCAATTCTATCCGCGTGGAATTAAAAAAAACAACCAAGTGTTCTTCCAGTTCTCTACGTATGACAATCGAGATCCGTTCAGCAGTTTAGGATACAAACTAACAAATATTTACATTTTACTAATATTAATGCGAATGTTTAGATGGATGGATGTTTCGGGAAGTTTGAAGCCAAAACCGCTGGAGGAATCTTAATGAAAACTAGAGATGTAGATATAGTCTGAAAGAACACATAGGCTACTTGATTTTGTTTTTTTTTTCAATTCCACTCGTACGAAGACGCGGACGAAAGCTAGTTTATAATATTAGTAAGATTAGTATGATTTCATCCGTCCAACCTTTTGCGACCAGGGGACAGTTGGAACTTATTTTATTTCATAAGGGTTCTATCTGTCACCTTATTGGTGAAAGTGGGACTAAAAGGTGGGACGGATGAAATTTTTTATTCCCAAGTGGGGACAGAGCGGGTGACGGATGGAAAATCATTCATTCATTTCAAGGTAAAAGGCAATTCTGAACGTGGTAGTTAGTTATGTAGTGTTTCAATCAAAGCATATTTTTAAATTCTTTTTTATATAAGCCCTTACACGCTTTAGGTTATATATTTTCAAGCTATTAAACTTAGGGGATAAGTTGAAGAAATGCAAGAAAGGGACAAAAATTACAAGCCAATAGCAAAGCAAGATTGCTGACATAGGTAATTGTTAGCTAGTGACAGGCATTCTCATTTGTGCTTTGAATTTTGACATTTGCAATTAAACATTTTAAAGCAGGCCTTTGACTAAACTATCGCACAACTGTTGTGTACTGTGTGTGTGCACGACTGTCGATTATTTCGCAATTCAACTGTTCAGTTGCACAACTAAAAATCTAATAGTGTAGAATAACATCTCACAGGAAAGCGAGACTAAGGGCCTGTCCTACAATTTTTGTAAATTATCAGTCAATCCAACGTACAAAATACTAGCAGTTGCACGCGACTTCGCTCGTGAAATTAAAAACTAATAAAAACAGCCTATGTTACTGTAAAAATAGCTTTTTAATGGTGAAAGAATTTTTGCAATCGGTCCAGTCGTCTTTGATTTATTCCAATACATACAAAAAACCAAAAATACAAATTTTCCCTCTTTATAATATTAGCATAGATGTGATGGATTGGATTTTGGTACTATATCTGACAGCGTCACTTAAACTATCTGAACCTCTATCAGCCAGTAGTGGGACAGACCGTAAACAATGCAGAAGTTCAATCAAAGGTAATAAGTAAGTTTTTACATATCACCATCCACTTGCCCTTATCCCTTACGGAGGGTCGGCACAGTATGTGCTGCTCCATACATCTCTATCAGCCATATCTGAATACACTCCTTTCTTAAGCATATCCTCTTTCACACAATCCATACTTTCTTCGGTCTTCCTCTACCTTTGTAGCCCACTTAACACTTTCTGGTTTATTTCCCCATCGTCGCGTCGCATAACATTCACAGTGACGTCACTTATCTGAGTCTCTATCAGCCAGTAGCGGGACAGGCCGTAAACAATGCGATAGTTCAGTCAAAGGTAAAGTTTTTACACAGCGAGAAAAGCTAGTTTTAATATCTCACCATTTCACAATGTTCGTAAGTAAGTCTGTCGTGTCTGAGTGCGTGTATCGCGTGCATGTCGCAATACACGCGTGCTGCACGCGTATTCACCGCGTGTAATACGCGTAATACAGTATACTTCAATTCACAGTTACTTGAATGTTTAAATTTAAATGTTTCTGTATTTACTATTGCATTAAACTGTAAATAAGTAACCTATAGTTAATTTTTTTAAAAACCCAAAAAAATGAATAAATAGATATTCGAAAACATCGAAAAAAATTACAAAAAATACGGCAAGTGGGATTTAAACTCGAAAGAACGTATAACGGGTGAAAAGTAAGAAACTTTGTACAGTCAGCTTTATAAATATAAATACATCTATGTCTATACTATTTTTATTATAATAAAGCGTAAACACACACTTTTTTTGTTGCCTAAGATGTCAACAATTACAGCAATTTTTTGAATAATTCTTTTTTTAATAAAAAGCCCTACACTTACGTCACGCTTTAGGCTATACATTTTCACGCCATTAAACTTAGGGGGTAAATATTTTGGATAAAAACCCAAATATGGGTAAGAGACCATAAGTTGCTGCCAACATTAAGGAAGCAAGATTATTAAGGTTTGTCATGTCATGTTATTTTGACATTTGCTATTGATAAATTGACAAATGTAAACAATAAAATAAAACATAAATTCATGCGGATAAAACCGCACGGGGACAGCTAGTGTATACATATTTAAACATCTGACTGTACATGTCGATTTTTTTTTAAATTCTTTATAAGTTGGAAAACGGCTTACTTTAGAGCGATTTTCCTTGAAAACCTGTTCAATGGCATTGTACACTGAAAGTATGGCTTGTCGGTTGACACCATGAGTGTCAGAATCCGGGTAAGATTGCCATAATGACATCCTTATTCTGGGGTCGTTCGCTAAAAGCTCCCGGAATAAGTCTGCGTGCTTTGCTAATATTTTGAGATACACTAAAGAAAAAACACATTTTTAACAAACTTCATAAATGTTCTATCATAAATGTTCTATCTACCTTCCCCTTTCTTATAATAATGGGAAGGGTAGTGAATTTAACAGGGGAGGAGACGTAATAACCTTTTTCTGTTCTTTCCTTCATGTCTGTTAGGACAGCATTTAACCATACTGCAGATCAAATTGCCCAAAATTTCTAGACTTCGCCATATTGGCGAAATCTATTCGCCATTTCGGCGAATTCAAGCTACTTGCTTGTTTGCAAGATTGTATTACCAAAAAAGTATTTTTTTTATTATCTTAATTACTTACCATCTCTACATTTAGATATACTCCCAGAGTCTACTAAATGCTTGTAAAAGACCGGAAACTCTTTAGTGTCCAGTTCATTCCCGAAGGACTTCAGCACTCCTGACACACCCAGGAGTAACGACCTCATCACCGTATCCTGGGGAGAAGGTGGAACTGAGAGGTTGTATAACCACAAATATTTAGATATCCTCTAAAATTGACAGTTTTACTCCATTCTCATTTTAATTCAGGTACTGATAAATAATTCTATCTATTAGTACATTAACACTGCTAGCAATCGCCAAAATGGCGAAATATGTATGTGGTTTAAACTTCCATACATCTCAATCAGCTTGAATATCTAAATTAACACCTTTTTCTTACTAAATGCATGTTTTTTATAGCTCTTTGCTTTTTCATTAAAATAGCTGAAAATCATTTTTATTTTCATACCGAATGTTTAGAATCCAGTAAATTCAGATAAACCCTCCATATTTTGGCCACATTTGATTTTACTATATCTGGATAATGGCAACAAATTGCACCTGAAAAAAACATACATTAAAAGAGAAAAAAGTATTCAAACGACAAGAATAGATGCATTTACGAAAACGAGATAGAATATAAAATAATTTAATTAGAATTATAAACTAAACTCTAGTTCACACACTAACTTGAACCCCAAATTGCAAAACTACCAATTATTTAAACCTCAAATTGCAAAACTAGCGATCATTTGAACCCCAAATTGCAAAACTACCACTCATTTGAATTCCAAATTGCAAAACTACCAATCATTTGAACCCCAAATTGCAAAACTACCAATCATTTGAACCCCAAATTGCAAAACTACCAATCATTTGAACCCAAAATTACAAAACTATCAATCATTTGAACCCCAAATTGCAAAACTACCAATCATTTGAACCCCAAATTGCAAAACTACCCATCATTTGAACCCCAAATTGCAAAACTACCAATCATTTGAACCCCAAATTGCAAAACTACCAATCATTTGAACCCCAAATTGCAAAACTACCAATCATTTGAACCTCAAATTGCAAAACTACCCATCATTTGAACCCCAAATTGCAAAACTACCCATCATTTGAACCCCAAATTGCAAAAACGTGTTTGAACCCTTAACTTACCTATCAATTCAGCGAGTGGAGCTTTGCATGTTTTCTCATTACTAAGACTGACGAGATGTTTGTTATAATTGTTTGCAACTTCTTCACAATACGGCACCAAAGAAGTTAGACATTGTAGAGCTAACGCTCGTTGTCGAGACTCGAATGGTATCTCGCATATCTAAACAGAAATAAACTAGGTACAACTAAGTAGAACTAGCTGTGGCTCGCGATTTCGCCCGCGTGAAATTAAAAAATATAGCCCATGTTACTCACAGATAAAGTACCTTTCTAATGGTGAAAGAATTTTTAAAATCGGCAAAGTAGTTTTTGCGTGAATCAAATACATACAAAAATACAAAGTTTTCCTCTTTATAATATTAGTATGGATTATTATCAAAAATAAACCAACGCTTGACTACGATTCCACCTAAACTGAACTAAGTGAAGACGCGGTAAAGGAATGTAGGTGATTGTTACACTGGGTGGTGAAATATTTATTTCTTAAAGCTTGAAAAAGCTTGTTTTATTTGGGTTATAAGAAAATGACAAGGTACACCCACCACAGGTATATTGGTAGACTTTACTATTAGATTGGTGATTGATATTGAAAAAAATCATGGAAATCTTGGAATCTTCTATTGCACTTTTTTTTATAATACTCGTATAAGATGGCAAACTCGCAAGCGGCCACCTGAATCCACCGAAATGAAAAGCGACCGCTGCACATAGATATTCGCAATTGCAGATGCGTTGCCTACTCTTAATAGACGGAGGAGGAGACGCACATAAAGAGGACATTTCCCCTTCCTATGCGTCTCCTCCGTCGTCAAATCCACCTTTCCTTCCCATCCTTTCCTCTTAAGCAAAGTGTGGAAAGTGAAAGGGGCCAAAATTAAGCCTCTAACACCACACTTTTCAGAAGAAACGTGGAATTGCTTCCACTTCACGCCTGTTTTCTGTGTGGTCGTGGTATTACACCGGGCGAGCCGGACTATTCGTGCGAAGATGGTAGGACGGGCTCTACCACTGTCAAGCTACTAGTTATGTTGTACAGATGTTTGTTGAAGTATCCATGGCCTGGCAATACTTACCCTGATAATATTATCAAAATGTTGTGAACATTCTTCTTTGAACTTCTCAATAACATTGGAGAGTAATTTAAATGCTTTCCCGATAGGATCAAACCAAACGGGATCCTTCCATTTGTTAGCTATAGTTGTCAATAAATTAACCGGCTCCAGTAACAGTGTATCTACGAACCATGCTAAAAAAAAACAACCAATTCAATTAAGTAATAACTTATCTATACTATTATAATAAATCGTAAACACACACTTCTTTGTTGCCTAAGATGTCAGCAATTTTCGAAGATCACAGCATATTTTCGAATAACTCTTTTTTTAATAAAAAGCCCTACACTTTCGTTACTCTTTAGGCTACATATTTTCAGGCCGTTTATTATTATAACATAAGGTGGCAAACGAGCATGCGGCCCCCTGAAATCGCTAAAATGGCGAAGCGACCGCTGCCCATAGACATCCGCAATTGCAGATGCGTTGCCTACCCTTATACGACGGAAGAGGAGACGCACAGAAAGAGGATATTTCCCCTTCCTATGCATCTCCTCTACCGTCAAAACCACTTCCTCTTCCCAACCTCTCCTTATAAGAAAAGGGTGGTAAAGAGAAAGGGACTTAAATTAGGCCTCCGGCACCACACTCATCAGACGAAACACGGAATTGCTTCCATTTCACGCCTGTCTTCTGTGTGGTCGTGGTATGCCGTGGTAGTGCCGGCCCATTCGTGCTAAGATGTTAAAGCGGGCACTACCACCGTTAAACTTAGGGGTAAATATTTTGGATAAAACCCCTAATGTGGAAAAGAGACCATAAGTTGTTGCCAACATCAAGGAAGCAAGGTTGCCATGGTTTGACATCATGTTATGTCATTTAACATTTGCAATTGATAATTTGACAAATGTGAACAATAAAATGTTTTTTTTATAATTATGTAAGAATGAAGTCGTGTGGGAACAGCTAGTCAAGTATACAGGCTTTTGCCTGCGACTCTGCGTTGATTTGAAAAATAACTCAGTACAGTGCCAGATTAGACATAGCAAGCGTAACAGCTACAAGCCACTCGAATTTGGGGGCCCCAGATTTCTGTCTGTTAGTAATCAAAAAATATTAATTTAACTAGGATTGTAAAACATCTTGCATGTCTTAAACGCAGAGCTTAGGCTATATTCCTTCCAATTTTCAGCCTAATACTAGTAAAATTTAATACCATCAACTATAGAACCCAAAGCAAACTAAGGGCCTCTTGACAGAATTTGTTACTGGCCCTGCACTGGCTTCTGGCACTGACTCAGTATGTGTTCTTCCAGACTATCTTGTACATGTGTTTAAATTTTTTATTAATTTATTGATTACATATTAACAAACATCCATCCATTTAAACTTTTATTGTATAATATTAGCATGACTTTTGTCTGTGAGGAATTATAAAAAAGTTTATTAGATAATATAACTTTCTAATGGTGAAATAAATTGAAATAGCTAACATAGTTTTTGAGTTAATTCAAAATATACAAAAACACAATCTTCTTAATGTAGCTGTATTTATGTTTACTATGACTCCATCCACATGGAATTAAAACAAAAACAAAAGCCTATTTGCTCTTACAGACTATCCTCTACATCTATGCCAAATTTCATCGAGATCTGTTCAGCCGTTTAGGCTACAAACTCTAACATCCATCTAAACTTTCGCATTTATAATATTAAGCACAATTTATGTTGGACTTAATAAGAAACATGAAAGTAATTTACCAATTTCTGACGATGTTAAGTCATCTTTGAGTACACGATAAGCACATTCACATGCCTCAAGGAAACTTTTACGTTGAACATCTTGATATCTGTCCACAATTACTTCCCACTCCTCCATAATGTAGCTAAAACCAAATATATTTTATAACACAATAGCTGTTCGCGATTTCGCCCTGTGAAATTAAAATAATAATAAAAACAAAGCCTATGTTATTCACAGAAAAATGACCTTTCTAATGATGAAAGAATTTTTGAAATCGGCCCAGTAGTTTTTGAGTTATTTCAATACATACAAAAATACAAATCTTTCCTCTTTATAATATTAGTATAGAATAAAACTACAGTAGAACCTCGATAACTCAAACCTTGGTAACTTAAAAACCTCTATAACTTCAAATATATGTTCCCTTCCCATCAGAGCTCAAAACCTCTACAACATAGACCCTTGATAACTTAAAACCTCTATAATTTAAAATATTTCGTGTTTCCCTTAGACTTTAACTTATCGAGGTATATTATACATCTAAAAATACAATATACTTTAGTATTTAAATTGCCTCACTTGATTTTAACTTAATTTTTTTGTTGATATTTACAAATAAGCAGATGTAATATACATTTCAGATTTTACTATGCAATTTTAAAATAATAGTTTACTTTTGTAATCGCTTAAAAAGTCACTTTTATCCAGATTATTCGTCTATTAACCACAATTTGTATTTATCTTTGTTGGTATAACTGTTAATCTCTTATTTTTCAATAAAATTATATCTATTTCTATCCCTGTACTATGCAATAAAGTAGAACATTTTAACTGGAAATGTTTATTTTCTTTATTACAGTTTTAAAACCTTAGTTGTAATTAATCATGAGTTTCTTAAAGAGAAATGTCATCAATAAGAGATTACCAATTTTCCCGCCATAACTATTTAGGATTTCACACTTATATTTTACCGTAGTGATTGTTTGTTCCTTGAACAGTTTAAAAAGCATTTAAAATACCGTTATCACTAGTGAGTTGCACAAATACAATAAAGATATCTCAAAACCGGCTTAATCCTTTATCAGTTTTTGACCGGTTTTTATTGTATGTCAATGTCAGCTAACAATCAATATGACATCGAACGAATTGACCAATCAAAAATAACCAAAGAGCGTTTGTCTTTGGTCGGGAACTTCACGACTTTACATTCGTGACAATGGAAAATTAGAATTAAAAGGCACCAAAATATTGAAGGAGTGTTTTCAACGAAGGTAGAGTTTTGTTATGTTTTCAAAAGAATACGGAATTAATTAAAATATTAATATTTTTTTAAGGCAACAATATATTTAATCTGTGCTGTCAAGTGTTATTAACGTTGCACAGATAATAATCGAATTTAAACCATAGACTTTTTTCATAAACCTAAAAAAACTGTTGAAGTATCCAAATTAATACAAATGCAAACAGAAACGGAAATCAAATCAGTCAAATGTTGACTATCGTTGATCCTGGTTGTTCCTTTAATTTTGATGAATGTAAATAAACACTTCTCAAACATTTATAAACAAAAATATTATTTTAACATAGGATATTAGAACAACAGTTATCCAGACAGCCTTTCTCCTTGTCTTATAACGGCATTTCTCGGCGGCAGCGCAGCGGGCATGTTAATTCGAATAATTTATGCGCGGCTGGCACTTGAACTTGCAAATTGCAGGGTCAACAATCTTTTTTTACTTGATATAAAAACTTGCATCTTTTATAGTCAATTCCTCAAACACAAAGCTATATTTAACTACGACCTGTTGCCCGCAACCTTCCGTGTGGTATGAGAAAACATAAGAACTATATAAATTACAAATAGCTACGTATCCCTCGGGAACCGGACATTTCTCGGGGATGAACCTTATCCCATGTATACTCCAGACTTTGTTTTATATCTGTGCCAAATTTCAATAAGATTTGTTGAACCCTTGCAGAATGATCGAGTAAACATTAAAAAACTAATTTAATGAATCCCACGGGAACCGTAACTATTCCCGGGATAAAAAGTAGTCTATGTGTTCTTCCAGACTATGCTCTAACCCTGTGCCAAATTTCATGGAAATTCGTTCAGCCGTTTAGGCTACAAACGCTAACAAACATCCATCTATCCATCTAAACTTTCGCATTTATAATATTAGTAAGATTTATCAACAGATAAAACAATTGTTAAAGTTTCTATAGATTTTTTTTTTAATAAAACGGCCAAAGAGTAAGGGTCCATCGTAACTTAATAGTTTAATCGACGGAGAAGGGACACAAAAGGATCCCCGTCCTATGTTTCCTATCAAATAAAATTGTAAATTACATACTATATTACTTAGCGATAATCCACATTGTAATGGTGCGATTTTTTTCTAAATCGGTTCAGTAATTTTTGAGTTATTTCAATACATACAAAAATACAAATAGGGAACTTTATAATGTTAGTATTACGTTGAATGTTTACCACTACGTACATTACTCGTCAGTAATTGGAAGGTAAATAGGTAATATGTTGAATACAAAACAACAAGGCTGAATAAATCAGGCAGTGACTTAACAAACAACTAAAGGTGTATTCGCATATGCTGACTTCTATACTAATGTAATAAAGAGGGAAGATTTGTACTTTTGTATAAATTGAAATAACTCAAAAACTACTGGGCCGATTTAAAAAATTCTGACACCATTAAAAAGCTACATTATACTCTATAATTTTAATACTTTTTTCTATTTCACGCGGACGAAGTCGCGAGCAACAAAGTCAAAATAAAATTTGACAGCAATACTGCTACTGTCAGTGTCAAAATGGCGAAATTCAATTGGGCACAAAATACCACAACTTATAGCCTATCTGTGTATGAAGATCGGTTACATTCGTAATTTAACTGCTTCATTGCTATTTATACAAATAGTAATTTCAGCTAGATTTATAATTTGTTGAAACTAGAATTAAACTATTTGTAATACCTATTGTATAAAAACAGAATGAAATTTTTAGTGAAATGTAACGTAAAGTTGTGTTCAAGTTCACGGAAAGCAGAAACAATTAGAAATAAAAAAAAACTCGTGTATGAACGCACCTTTACACGCTTACCGGTTTATAAGAATAAGAACTCGATGCTACGAATATTAACACTCGTGTAATATGCAATGAGTACTTATAGAAACTAGTGATGTGCGCATGTAAAAATATCGATATTGTTATGTCGGTTTTAGTACCGGTATCACAATCTGTCCAAATGAAATAAAGAGGAATGATTTGTATTTTGATATTTGATTCACGTAAAAGTAGTGGACCGATTTCGAAAAATTCATTAATATATGTTGTCAATAAGAAACATAGGTTAAATCTTTAATTTCAAGCGGACGAAGTCCCGAGCAACAGCTACTCTAGACTAATATTATAAAGAGGAAAGATTTGTATTTTTGTATGTATTGAAATAACTCAAAAACTACTGAATTCTTTCACGGTTAAAAAGGTAATTTATCTTTGAGTAACATAAGCTATATTTTTTTAGAGTAACGGGGACGAAGTGGCGTATAGAGCTAGTACAAAATAAAGTTACTTCCCACTGTTCCTCCCTACGTTCATATGCTTAGATCTTCAAAACTACGCATCGGATTTTGATGCAGTTTTTTTAATAGAGTGATTCAAGAGGAAGGGGAAGGTAAACATACGAGGGGGAGCTGCCCCCGCCTGCCCCTGTACCTATGAGTTAAGCGTAGATATTCAAATGTCGGAACAGAAAGAATAATCGTTAATAAAATTTTCTTATAATGCAATATGTCACATTGAATCTACACTTAACACTTCACTCTTAAGTAAATTCTTTGTTGATTTAAATGCTAAATCCTTTATTTATATCGTAGTTAAGTTACACATCTATCCAACTTCTATACTAATATAATAAAGCGTAAACACACACTACTTTGTGACGTAGGATGTCAGCAATCACATCATATATTTGAACAACTCTTTCTTCAACAAAAACCTTTCCTACGACACGCATTAGGGTATATATTTTCACGCTACTAAACTTAGGAGGTAATTAAATTGGAAAAACCCTCATGAGGGAAAGGGACTATAAAATATAAGCTGCCAACATTAAAGAAGCACATTATTATGGTAATCGTAACTTGACATTTGCAATTGAGAATTTGACAAATGTAGACATTAAAATAAAGTTTTTATATACGTTTTGTATCCACAGGATAAAGCCGTATGGGAACAGCTAGTTCATGATGAAATATAATTACTTGAACGTAAATTCGCCTTAAATATGTAGGATCGCTTACAGCTTACAGGGCTCCGGTCGATTTTAACCGACCTCAGTCGTCGTTTGGCGCGCGTACAGTAAGCGCGCGTAATTCGTCCGTGATAAAGCGAGTGGTTATTTCGTAAGTCCAAGGACGGCCATTGTTGGCTAGAAAAAAAATATAAAAGGTACGTAAGAGAACTTATTTGTCTTTTTTTACTTACATGTTCTGGTTTGGCATTGTATAGTTTTATATCGCATGACGATTTTTATGGCATAATTGTTTGATTACCTTTGCCTGTAACGTTATTGATATCGTAAATATTAACGGTTTGTTAATCTGTTAAATCGTTTAGTAACCATTAAATAAAATGTAACAGTTATTTGAAATAGTTCTCAATCATTCATTCAATCTTATTTTGAACCAAAAATATTAGTATTTTTTTATTTAGTTTAGTAGACGTAATTAGTAATTTATAACGATTTTACTGTAAACAAGGAAAACTTATTGAATAAATAAAACCGCGCCTAATTTTCAATATCTGCCTAACCTAGAAGTATGGGATACGGCCACAATAATATTGAAAACTTATTTAATTACTACTATATTATGTATTACTAGAATAAATTAGGAATTACAGTCGAAAATCAATATTTTACTAAGCGATATTTATTACTCAAGTATTGTTTACTATAAAAATGCAGAAGCTTATTCTCTTTTAAATAAGGTAAAAAGATGGCTCAAAAGCTACTGTCCACAAACAGATGAATTACTTAAAAAAAAAAACAGAGTGCTAACAAAATATTTATGCAGTTCATAAGTTGTTAGCACTAAGGGTTAGATTCGCGTGTATTCTTTTCAAGGTTTTGCCCATCGGAGCAAAGTAAACGTGCGACACGAGCTAGCGATTCTAATCTTTATTGCAACATTAGTACATTACGATATGATTTTGTTTTACAGACGTGGTTTTTTCGCAAACATGAATGTTGGGTTTAAAATGACCAATCTTCCATTATAAAATATTGTACATGTATGTTTTTACAATGTTAACCCACTCTTACATCTATTTCATATTTGTACTACATAGAAATTATCGTAATTTATGACGCCATCTATAATTGACGTATTTGCCGCCAAAACGTTTCAAAAAATTGCTTCAAACACCGAGCATGATTTGCGAGAAAATATTTTTTTTCACCGGTACTTTCTTTGAAAGGTATTGGTTGTCAAGTTTAGTGCCATCTCGTGTTATGAAACATTTGACAAAATTATAATAAGCTGCGGAGTTTTTTATTTATAAATATTATAAATACGAACATTTGTTACAATACAACGCTTGTTAGAGTTTGTAGACTAAATTGATGAACGGGTTTCGATGAAATTTAGTTTAGATGTAGAGGATAGTCTGGAAGAAAACATCATATTCACTATTCTTTTTTTTAAATTCCACACGGACGGAATGGCGGGCGAAAGCTAGTAAAAAATAAACATTTAAATATTGTTTACCGACATTAATGACACCTATTGACAATTAATATAAATAAAATTAATATTAAAATATAGTTTTGAGGATCTATCAATAGATAGCGTTAGTTGTGAAAATGTTTCAAGTGAAGTGTCAATGCCTCCTCTTTCTTCAAACTCTCCTTGTATAACACAAATTCGCGATTTATGCTTGTGACAGTATATCTTGATTTGATTATAAATTGGTAGCGAATTAAATGTAAACATGATTTAACAGAATTATCTTAGCGCCACTGTAATTAACCTCTGACATTTTATCAAGAAAAATGACGTATAGGTATAAATTTACACGAGGCTTGTTGATTCTGAGGTCAATGAACTTTCGTAGTTACGATGTCAGATTTATACCACGACTAAAAAGACTAGATACTTTATGCAATTATTGTGAGAGATATTGCTCGCGACTTAAACCGCACTAAATCTATTTTAGTATAATAAAGCGTAAACACACTACTTCGTGGCGTAAGATGTCAGCAATCACAGCATATATTTGAATAATTCTTTCTTTAATCAAAAGCCCTATACTTACGACAGTACGTTCGTTTTAGGCTATATAATATATATTACATTTTCATGCTATTAAACTTAGGGGGTAACTAAGTTAGAAATAGAAGTTAAAAATTCACTAAATTTCAACTCTCGGCTTACGCTGCCTAAACCATTAGAGGTATGTAAAAATGATGTACGAAAGAATTGTAGATCTAAAAAAGTTCTACAGAAAACTCCGCGATAGCATGTATCTAACCTAAACTGCTGAATGGATCTGGATGATTGATGTAGAATAGTCTGAAAGAACACTACTTACTTTTTTTTTTATAACATAAGGTGGCAAACGAGCAAGCGGCTACCTGAATCCACCAAAATGGCGAAGAGACCGCTGCCCATAGACATCTGCAATTGCAGATGCGTTGCCTACCCTTATCCGACAGACGAGGAGACGCACATAAAGAGGATATTTCCCCTTACTATGTATCTCCGTCAAATCCACTTCCTTTTCCCATTCTCTCCTTATAAAAAAAGTGCGGTAAAGAGAAAGGGGCTTAAATTAGGCCTCCGGCACCACACTTATCAGACGAAACACGGAATTGCCTCCATTTCACGCCTGTTCTGTGTGGTCGTGGTATTACTGGGGGCGTGCCCTGCAGTGCTAAGATGTTAAAGCGGGCACTACCACTATTACTTTTGTTTGTTTAATTCCTCACGTAGCGATTCGCAATATAACGAAGTAGCCGTGATCGGTATTTAAAGGTTTTATATTTACATAATTTAGACGTTCAATTTATGTGAAAGTCAGTGTTATAATAAACAAAAGAAGTTCAACAATTGATTTGTTAAGATATCGCATATTTTAAATGTTCATCTTCATGACGTTAACTTTACTTAGGGCATGTTCCACCGAATTGTAAATAGTCTAATAGCCGCGGGTTCCAAAGGCAATTCGAGACATCGTTTCTCGTGCGCACAGCAAAGGAGTGGAATAAGTTGCCGGCGTCAGTGTTCCCGTCAAGTTATAACGTGGGTGCCTTAAAGAGCAGGGTGAATCGGTACTTACTAAACTAGCGCGACCATCCTTCGACCACATCCACCTTGGTCTAGGTAGAAGGTCAAGCGCTGGTTTTTGCAATTAAAAAAAAGTCTGATAATCCAATGTATAAAATATGTGATGGAAATATCTGATTTTATTCCCTCTGACAGCGAGTGGTGGGACATGCCCTAACTGTATCTCATTTCGCAGTATTAGGTATCGAATATCATGTGTCACAGTATAAAACAAAGTCGTTTCCCACTGTCTTTATGTATGTAGGCGACAGCTAGTAATATAACAAGCTATAAATTTAAATTTTATCAACTGTAAGGCTCCAAGATGGCTGACTTGTATCGCAATGTGCGCCTGACCTTTGTCGTTTAAAAACGTGTATAACAATGTTACTAACTAGAAGACAATGTATTAAGTTATTAGCAATAATTAAACAGGTATGTCTTAATAATCTATATCTATACTATTATAATAAAGCGTAAACACACACTTCTTTGTTGCAATTACAGCATGTTTTTTAATCATTCTTTTTTAATAAAAAGCCCTACATTTACGTCACGCTTTAGGCTATATATTATCACGCCGTAAACTTAGGGGTAAATATTTTGGATAAAAACCCTAATGTGGGAAAGAGAACATAAGTTGCTGCCAACATCAAGGAAGCAAGATTGCTATGGTTTGACATCATGTCATGACAAATGTAAATAATAAAATATAATTTTTATAATTTCACGCGGATGAAGTCTACAACTGAGGTACAATTTATTCCTCACTTAAAAGATAAATGTTTTAACAAGTATAAATTCAAACAGTGAACTTTGCTTATTCTTTTTTAGATTAACTAACAACAAAGTTTATCTAAAGTCAACGGAGTCGAATGCAACATTATATTACGCGATAAATAACTATTTATAGACTACTATAACTATTTTTTTTTATAACATAAGGTGGCAAACGAACAAGGTGGCCATCTGAAACCGCCAAAATGGCGAAGCGACCATAGACATCCGCGATCGCAGATGCGTTGCCTACCCTTATCCGACGGAGGAGGAGACGCACAAAAAGAGGATATTGCCCCTTCGTATGCATTACCTCCACCGTCAAATCCACTTCCCCTTCCCATCCTCTCCTTATAAGAAAAGGGTGGTAAAGAGAAAGGGACTTAAATTAGGCCCCCGGCACCACACTCATCAGACGAAACACGGAATTGCTTCCATTTCACGCCAGACTTCTGTGTGGTCGTGGTATTACACCGGGCGTGCCGACCACTGTTAGAATGACTAAACTACGACTATCGATTATTTCGCAATTCAACTGTTTAGTTGCACAACTAACGAGTAGTGTAGCTCCATATCAGCTAAAGGAATCAAAGCGAGACTACACAGTGTCTAGTTACGTTTAGTCAAACCGCGCGATCTACATATAAATAATTTTAATGAGTAATTTTAACTATCTTACATATGCATTTAGCGTATTCGCCAAATTATATCTTGTTGACCTCGTCCGATCTCGTGTAATAAACAGTGGTAGAGCCCGCTTAAACATCTTCGCACGAATGGGCCGACTTGCCCGGTGTGCCACGACCACACAGACAGGCGTGAAGTGGAAGCAATTCTGCATGTCGTCTGATAAATGTGGTGCGGTGGCATAATTTTGGTCCCCTTGGAAAGGATTTGACGATGGTGGAGACGCATAGAAAGGGAAAATGTCCTATTTATGTGCGTTTCCTCCGTCAATGAAGGGTAGGCAACGCATCTGCAATTGCGGATGTTTATGGGCAGTGGTGGTTATCCATTTCGGTGGATTCAGGTGGCCGCTTGCTCGTTTGCCAACTTATATGATATTAAAAAAAAAACTTAAATATTATTCATCACAAAAGTTCAGCGACATCCTTTGATTCGTTCTAGAAATACGTAATAACAAACATCAGTATATTCTAAACTTTTGCTTTTATATTGTTTAGGAGGAAAACTAACACAATCGGGGAAATACATGGGTATTTAATTTAATTTTATTTAATGTACTATCAAAGGTAATAAACCTTTGAAATACGATGTATTGTTAAAACTTAAATTAGCAACTATTTAGTATGAAACTAGCATTTGCCCGCAACTCCGTCCGCGTGGAATTAAAAAAATAGTGAGTAGCCTATGTGCTCTTCCAGACTATCCTCTAAGTCTATACCAAATATCATCGAAATTCGTTCAGCCGATTAGGCAACAAACTCTAACAAACATCCATCTAAACTTTCGCATTTATAATATTAGTAAGATTGAATATTACTGTAATATTAAATGCGAGGATCAAAACGTGTCGAACGTGACGTGTTATATTTCTTGCACTAGCTAAAGTGGTTGCATAAACCGACGCTCTTAAGGACGCACTAAAATGACTTAGTGATGTGCACATTTTATCGATTGAAATGTTATTATAGCTACATATAGCTATAGATCTGTCAAAATTACAGATTAAAAAAATCCTAATATCGATCTGTCAAAATCAATAGTCAAGAAAAATACAGATTTAAAAAATGACGTATTTGAACGTCATTTTTTAAAAGCACAAATCAATTGTAAAACCTTATTGTATTTTGGTTCATCAAACGTATTTTTTTTGTGTAACGAAGCGTGTTTTACACAGACTTAAATACTTGCCCTTTTTAGACGCAATGAAGTCTTTAGGATCGAAGTGGCCACATAGAAAGTCGTATAGAAAGCTTGCTTTACGAGAAAGTTGTACTTTTCACGACAATCTAGGTAACTAATAATGAACGTGGGTTAAAAATGAAATATTCATAGAAAAATAATACAAGATTATAGACTATAAAAGTTTGAAATTGATGAATTCTTACTAATATTATAACGAAAGTTTAGATGGATGTTTGTCAGAATTAACCTAAAATACTGAACGGATCATGATGAAATTCGACATAGATGTAGAGGACAGTCTAGAACACATGGGGTATCTCTAAATTGTTGGATTCTCAAAGGAATTTTAGTTTTTGTTTATAAAGTTCGTGTGTTTAAATATGCGAACAATAAAATGCAAAATCATCCATAGTTTTAACTGTGACAATCTTGTAAATAATTAAAATCAGTGGCATCAAGTGTTAAGACTGACCTACAAAAAAAAACAAAGAAACATGGCTGACCTATAAAAAAAAAAAAGAAACATGGCGTCCGTTAGTTGACAAATGGAAACATTAACATGAACGGTGAAAGTATTTTTAAAGTGCTTAAAATGACATTAGAGTTACTGCGGTAACCTCCTAACCTAAAAATAAATAGTAACGATTTAAAAGTACTTAGAGCGCGCACTTTGACAAAACTATCGCACATCTGTTCTTTATTTTGTTACAGAACAAAATGCGTACTCTATTCTTTATGGTGCTGGCGGCCATCTTGTGTAGCGCGTTGGCCAAGACCAAAAGAGATGACAATAAGGTAGTATGTTCTAGATATAAAAACGATTTTAAATAATGCATGGTTCACAATTGGCCAATACAGTTGGACAGTAACACAAGCCAGAAATGGATTTATTAACTCACTAGTGAGAATTACTGTTCATATTATGCTATTTTAATGCCAGTGTATTTATTTAATGCTACTGTCCAAATAATTGCTTATATTATTGGTGCTGTCCATTTTCGTCTGGCGTATTATGAGATTATATATTTTACGCCATCTTTATTTGTTTGTAGCCTATAATTTCTATACTAAATTTTAAAGAGGAAAGATTTAAATTTTTTGATTTTTGTATGTATTGAAATAACTAAAAAACTATTGGGCCGATTTTACAAATTCTTTAACCATTAAAGCTACGTTATCAGTGGGTAACATATGCTGTATTTTTTAATTTCACACGGACGAAGTCGCGAGCAACAGCTAGTACTTTCTATTTTTAGTTTTATTTCATGTTTTATTCAAGGTGAAAATTGCCGTATACTACGAAGCGTTATGTCCTGACAGCAAGCGGTTCATTGTCTCCCAACTGGCGCCTGTCTGGAGAGACTTCAGGGGCGCGGTGAAAGTTAAATTGGTGCCATACGGCAAGGCTACTGTGAGTAAACGTTTCCAATAGCGTCTGATACAATTTACAATTGTACAAGTTTTATTAAAATTATGACCTTTCTATACGGACTGGTGCAGGTTTTTTAAACTGCCTATAAGGGAGCACACGAACAGAGTGTACTTAGTTAATGGCCCGTTCACACTCAGCCAGTACAGTCAAGTCATAGATTGCATGGACTCACTGGTACAAGTTAACATTTACACTGTGCCAATTTATTAATAATCCAGTTTTAGCGCTTTATTGACCAACTGTACTGGCCTAGTGTAAACCGCGCGCTAACCTTGAGACGCCCTATTCCTTATAAGGTAAGGAAATAGGAAAGGTATCGATATGACAGAAGAGATGAAAAGAAAGTAAATAGGGTTACTTTAAGCAAAAAGAAAATACTTAACTACGAAATTCAAAATTTTAGTAACTTAAAAAGTGCAAAATCGAACTTCATTTTATATATTTTTTCAGCACGACAAAGTGGACGGCAAATGGCAGTTCACGTGCCAACACGGCCCTGATGAGTGCTACGGGAATAAGGTATAAAATATTATCCTATTAAAAAAAATGTTTGTAACCAATAAACTCAAAAACTACTTGACCGATTTGAAAAATTCTTTCACCATTAGAAAGCTGCATTATTACAGAGTGATATAGAATACTTTTTTACTCGAAAAAGTGTTTATTTTCATTAAAAATTAGTATTAAATAAAATTGTAAATCTGTAGGTGCAAGCTTGTATTCTGAAGGACCGCAGTTTGCAGGACACTGACAAGATGGAGCTGGTTATGTGTCTAATGGGTACAGCCAGTCCTGATAAATCTCTAGACACCGTAAGTATTTATTTCCATGGGTACCAGGGGAGGGGATATGCCTACGATCTAAGAAAAATTGGAAATATTAATAGGCATTCTCTTTAGAATAAAATATTTTTACTACTCCTAGACTAAACTATCGCACAATTGTTTCTCGCTTTGATTCCTATGAACTCAAATGGAGGCACACTACTCGATTTTTAGTTGTACAACTAAACAGTTGAATTGACACAATGGACAATCGCACAATTATCGTGCGGATTCCGGACCGTCACCCCGCTGTGATGGGACAGATGAAACTTTTTTCTCATCTGTCGCCACATGGGGACAGAGCAGGGTGACGGTTGGAAGAAATCCAGTTGTGCGAAGTTTAGACAAAGTTGTGCACACGCTCTTACAATTAATTACTTTTTTTTTTTGCTGAATAATCTAACTTATGTTTTGTAATTTTTATTATATTCCAGTGTCTAGGTCAAGTAAATAAATCTAATAACTCGGATAAGTTGAAGAGATGCGCTGCGAGTGCGCAGGGCGACGCGCTGCTCGCCTCATACGGAGACAAGACGGACTTAGTGCAACGTCCGCTGTCCTTCGTACCTACTATCATTATAAATGAGGTGAGGACAATACTGAACTTATCACAATAAACCATGAAAACTCTGACACCATCATGTTCACAAGCCAGTTGAACTGTCTAACTGTAATAGCCAAGTGTGTACCTGGCATTAGGCGGTCATTTTAAGACGAGGCACAGGGGGTTAAAATCTCAACTTATATAGACATTTTTATTATTGTCATTGGATTTTAGAAACATCCATCTAAACTTTCGTATTTATAAGATAGGGAACCTAAAAATTAGAAGATCCGTTCGTAAAGGTAGATAATAAGCAGTCTATGGGCAAGTTATTTCGCCATTTTTGGCGAATTCAAATACTCGTTAGCTCATTTTGCATCATTTAATTGCATTTATATTCTTGTTTCAGAAATTCGATCAAACAATCCAAGATCAAGCGGTCAATGACCTGCGCGGGGTAGTGTGCCGCGTCGCCGTCAACAAGCCCGCCAGCTGCTAATAAAGTTGCAACTTTTATAAGTACAACGCCATCTGTTGATAAAAGCTTGTAAAGTACGCTATAACCTCTAATTTTCGTAATCGCCGCTAGATGGCGTTATTTTTAACTTTTGTATAATTATGTTCGTAGTACAAAAATTGTAAAACCTTTAAGTGGCTATGATCAAAAGACGTCAATTTCTTACTAAAATTACCCCTATTTCTTATACAAGTACAATTTATAATAATTCAGTTAAGACTTTGTATTCAATTTTAGACTTTCTTTTAAGACAATAACTTAGTTTTTAAGACATTTGTAATGTTTTTAAGATATTAAATTTTAAGTACTTACAATTGCTTTTATTACTGCGTCCTTTCCTATAGATACCTAATCTAGGGCTCAAAAGTGAGGAAATAAAGGAAATCTATCCTTTTTTGGTGTAAATTCCCTCAGACTATAGGTTCAAAAAATTTAAATTACTCAAAGGTAAAGGTAAATAAAAACATTATAATTTTTATTACAATTTTATTAAAAAATTACATAGAAATTTAACTAAAATCTATTACAAAGACGACTTTTATGTTCACTGTTTATTTATAGATAAAATAAATTAAAAAAATTGCACAAATCTAAACAACAAATAGAATTTAATAAAAACACACAATTTATACATTCTTTTGCTAAAAAAACCATAAATATACATGTGTATAGATATATATTCTACAGATATTTAATATGGAGCAAAAAATGAGGCAAAAGGAAGGCATGTTGGGGCAAATTTCCCCAGTTTTACTTACAATATGAAATGACAATTGGAAAATTCTCTCAATTAGATGTCGAAAATCTATAACACACTCCGTCTATACATTATATCTATGGTTACCATAATAATAAAATTATGTACAATTATAAAATAAAGTAAATACTGACCATTTATTTAATTTAATTAAAAAATGTATAAACCTATGACAGTCCAATAAAAATAGAGTATACAAAAAATATATAATCTATATTAATATTATAAAGAGAAAAGATTTGTAATTTTGTATGTATTGAAATAACTCAAAAACTACTGGGACAATTTCAAAAATCTTCCACCACTAGACAGATAATTTATCTGTGAGTAACACAGGTTAAATTTTAAATTATTTTTTACTAGCTTTCGCCCGCGACTCCGTCTGCGTGGAATTAAAAAGGAACAAAGTTGATAGATAGCCAATATGTTCCAGACTATCCTCTACATCTATGTCAAATTTCATCGAGAACCATTCTGCCGTTTGGGCTACAAACTAATAAACATCCATCCAAGTAAGATTTCCCGCGGAAGAAGTCGCGAGCAACAGGTAGTAAATGATATCTTCTATGAATAATTTGTATTAATTACTCTTTATAATATTAGTATGGATTGCTAGTAGTTATTTTGGAATGATACAATAATTATGTGTTAATTCTGGTTATAAAATATTACGTTACATTGTTTTTCCTGCCATTTTCAATTTCAATCAAACATTTATAATTATCAAGATATTTCTGAGCAAAAACATTAAAAATAACTTTTTAAAAAAAACATAAAATAACAACGATTTTAGAAATATCTACCACAAAATATGTCCACCAAAAACATTTTAAATTTCAGTACATTATAACAGTAAGGTTTTTCTGCAGAACAGTTCCCCAAAACAAAATTATCATATTTCGAACTCAAAAAAGAAAATGTTTCTATAGATTTGTTAATACAAAAAAACTTGATTTTTTCTCTATATTTTCAATTTTTCATAATCTAAATTCTAACTTCAAAACTATCTACAAGTACTACCATAGACAATTATTGCTGTCGATTTCGATGGCATAAAAACACACACATATAAGTGGAATTATAAACACACAAACACTCATCTGTCCTAACCAAAGACATTAAAAAATATATAGACAAGACAGTGAACAAATTTACAAGTACTAGATCTAAAAGATATTAGTTGCCAAGTTGACTCGTGTCGACATGTTATAAAACATTTGACAACAATCATAATAAGCACCTTTTGTTATAAAATAAACCAAATAATTGAATATTTTTAATGACATCTATTGGTAACGAGCTGTTGCCCACGACTTCGTCCGCGTGGTATTAGAAAATATAAGAACTATATAAATAACAAAAAGCTACGCATCCCTCGGGTACCGGACATTTCTACAGGATGAACCTTAACCCATGTGTACTCCAGACTTTGTTTTATATCTGTGCCTTTCAAAAGGATATGTTGAACCGTTGCAGAATGATCGAGTAAACATTAAAAAACTAAATTAATGAATCCCACGGGAACCGTAATTATTCCCGGGATAGAAAGTACCCTATGTGTCCTTCCAGACTATTCTCGAAACCTGTGCCAAATTTCATGAAGATCCGTTCAGCCGTTTAGGCTACAAACGCTAACAAACATCCATCCATCCATCTAAACTTTCGCATTTATAATATTAGTAAGATTAATTTAAATACAATTAATTATGTCGACAAGTAATTTTGAGGCTATCAACAGATAGTGTTAGGTGATCATTTGAAAATGTTTCAAGTGAAGTAGTCAGTCTATATTGATTTTTTTTTTTATAACATAAGGTGGCAAACAAGCAGACGGCCACCTGAAATCGCCAAAATGGCGAACCGATCGCTGCTCAGACATCCGCAATTGCAGATGCGTTGCCTACCCTTATCCGACGGAGGAGGAGACGCACATAAAGAGGATATTTCCCCTTCCTATGCATCTCCTCCACTGTCAAATAAACTTGCTCTTCCCAACCTCCCTTTATTTTTATTTTTTTTGTATCTTTTTTTTTAAAATATGATTTGAAGCGAAAAACAATAGAGTGCAAGATGTAACATAAAGAAGATAACAACATAAAAATGTAAGCTCTGCAATAAATTGTATATTTTGTGCAAAAGAAGTCATACAAACAAGATAGTACTAGTTTACATTAATTCAATGCCACCTCTATATATTTAAATCTCTTTGGTCTAAACTTCAATTGTGTGTTAACTATGACCTAGTCTCCTTAGAGTCTCCGGGCGAAGTCCACATCTAGTTAGTCAATTTAGTAACCAATAGCAACATTGGTTCAGATAAACTCCTTGATATCACCAACTATATGTCTCCACTGAGCTCAGAGTCTACCCAAAGGGTATCTAGGGGATTATTCCTAACCGTCACCCCACTCTGCCCCACATAGTCAGATGAGAATAAAGTTTCATCCAACACACCCTTTATGTGGGGACGGTTGGTACTTATTTCATTTCATGAAGGTTCCATCTGTCAACTTATTTGTGATGGTAGGACTAAAAGGTGGGATGGATGAAACATTTTATTCTCACGTGAAGACAGAGTGGGGTGACGGTTGGGAGTAATCCTAATTGGGACAGTCAACTTCACACATATCTATGAATTTCTTCCCCAATATGTACATCACAATGTTTCCCTTCACCGCTACATTGGGTAAATATACAAATGAAAAGTCAAAAATCACATTAGTTGACGGAGAACCCAAGAGCTATTTACAAGTAAAATGGTTACCACAGAGTCGACACTCCCATCAAACTCAAGTATTTATCTACCTTACCTCTTTAGTCCTCCGCTTATGTCTTCTGGATTTAATTTTCCTCGCACTACACACTAACACATGCTTCATTAAATAGCGTTTGACACTTGACACATAATCACATTTGTCACACTTATACAAACACTTGTCACCAACACTTTCATGACACTTCAGATGGTATACTAGACTCATTTCATGCCGAGCCTTGTAGGCACAAAGGTGACATTTATATCTCCTGACATCTTTGTGCCGCCTCATATGATGCGTGTATCGAAGTTTGCTGGCCGTTGTGAAAGGACAGCGGTTGCAGACCAGCACAGCAGTGGAATGCTGGAACGTGTGAACCTTGTACTCAGCTTTGCTCGGTGTCCTGTAGTTACATTGCGGACAGAAGTACTGTAAAATCGTCAACTTCGATTACAATTTAAATCTAGTTAGAAGTAATTTACTAGGGTTTAAGAATTTTTTCTAGCATTTACACTAATATTATAAAGATAAGAGATTTGTATTTTTGCATGTATTGAAGTAACTCAAAAACTACTGGGACAATTTCAAAAATTATTTTACCATTAAAAAGGTAATTTATCTGTAAGTAACAAAGGCTGTGTTTTATAAGTTTTTAATTGTACGCGGACGAAGTCGCGAGCAACATCTAGTGTGTCATATAGCCTATGTTACTTAACATAGGTTTTAAATGGTGAACGATTTTTAGAAATCGGCCCAGTAGTTTTCTTGTTATTTCTAAAAATACAAATTCCTCTTTCTAATATTAGTACAGACTAGCTGTTGCTTATAACTTTGTCCGGGTAAATTAAGAAAATAATAAAAAACATAGCCTCACAGATAAACTACCTTTCTAACAGGTAAAGAATTATTGAAATCGTCCCAGTAGTTTTTACTGAATTCATACAAAATCCAAAATTACAAATCTTTCCTTTTATAATATTAGTGTAGATAGAGTAGGCATAATTAACACTTGTGAAATTTCCACATGATTTTACAATTTTTAATTGGAGCTCGTCTACATATTAAGGGCCTGTTCCACCAAATTGTAAATTGTCTGAGAACAATCCAATGTGTAAAATGTGATGGAAATATCTGATTTCTTTCCCTCTGACAGTGACGTCATTTTAAACTCTTAAATGCATGATGATTCATTTATAAATCAGTCTTACCCAATAGACTATTTGGAAAAAACATTTTTTTCCCTTAAGCTATGTTCAATTTACTACCCATTTCAATTTATAGTATTTAAAAAAATAAAATAGTGTATTTAATAGTTAACCTATTTGAGTCTCTATCAGCCAGTGGTGGGCAATCTCTTCATACCTGATAAGTTCCCCACACATCTTTCCTATAGAAGGGGTTGGGGGCGCGCCACCGGGGGCGAAGTCTCGCGGTGCTCGGCAGCAGCCGCACTAGAGGCACGTCGTCCTCGTCAGTCGCATCTGACACCTCCACCGTGTCGATGTGGGGCTCCTCTATGATGACGTCATCGTCGTCACTTGACGTCACCAAACTGATCGGATCAGCTCTGAAAGGGAAGTTTTTTCTAGTTATGGCATTATTTTAAAATGCGAAGTCGGTATTTTGCTAATTTAACCGGTATTCTGTTAAGTTATGTAATTATTCTGAAATATTGTGCTAATTTAGTTGGTATTTTGTTAAATTATTCATTCTATTGGGAAGTAGTCGTTATTTATTTATTTATTTAATACTTTTGCACATTAACAGAGCTTAAATTAAGTAATAAATATTAGATTTGCGCAAGGACGGCCTCATCACTAAGAGCGATTTCTTCCAAGCAACTCAGTGGGACAGAAGAAGCAAGACAAACACACAAGGGTATATAATAGATATAAATCGTTATTCAACTAATTTTAAATGGTTTCTGTTAAATTAAGTAATTATTTTGGTAAATAATGTCGTTATTCTGGTAATTTGGTCAGTATTCTGTTAAGTTATGTCATTATTCTGCAAAGTAAAGTCAGTATTCTACTAATTTTCTAGAAGCTTCCAATTGAGATTTCAACTTACTGTTCACCATTAGGTCCGTTTTCATCAACATCTGACATCATCAGCTCGTTAGGGTCCAGTTCCACTTGTACACTCTCCAACACCATAAGGCAGTCCTGAGGACTACCTGTTTCTCGGTTTTGCTCTAAAATATAGAAAAAAAGATCATTAATTGTGTAAAAGTATAGAAAAATTAGTTAAAAAAGTGAAATATGTATAGAAAATGACAGTAAAAAAATATAACATTGACAATCTGTTCTGAATACAATTTGAATTTTAAATTTTTCAAAAATGTTTGAAATCTAAGAACATAAAAACTCCTTCAACATACCGGCCACCAATTTTACTAATATTATAAATGCGAAAGTTTAGATGGATGGATGGATAGAAGTTAAAGTTTGTAGCCTGAACGGATCTCGATTGTCATAGATATAAATAGTCTGGAACACATAGGCTACGTTTTTTTTAATTCCACGAGGACGGAGTCACAGGCGGAAGCTAGTATTATAAAAGCGAGAGTTTAGATGGATGGATGGATTTTAGAGTTACCCCAAACTACTGAACATACATATGTAAATAGTCTGGAACACATCTGCTACTTTTGTTTTTTTTTTTAATTCCAAGCGAAACCGCGGGAAAAGCTAGTTTAAAACTGCTGCCCGCGACTTCGCCCGCGTTTAATAAAACAATAAAATATATTATGTTACTCAAAGATAAATTTCTTTTCTAATGGTAAGAATTTTTGAAATTGCCCCAGTAGTTTTTGAGTTTTTTCAACATATACAAAAATCCAAAAATACAAATCTTTTCTTTTTATAATATTATTATAGATTAAGCTTACTGTATATTATTTTTATTTACTTTACCTTCATTTACAGCCACTTCTATAAACACCGGTGCAGGTTCATTCTCTTGTACTGATAAATCCACTATACTTTGTCCATTCCTTTCCCTATGTATTTCCTCTGTCTGTCTCTCCGCTACCTTTTTGTTCTGCTTTATTGAATAATAAGTCAAAATATCTTCTATATCGTTTTCCGTTGACGCGTTTGCATTTAAATCGACTTGAGTAATACTGAAAAGAGGAAATAAAAATTCGATTATTTTATACTGCAAGAAATTTACACTTATTTTTCTATACTAATATTATAAACAGGGAAAGATTTATATTTCTGGATGTATTGGAATAATTCAAAAACTACTGGGATACTTTTAAAAAATCTTTTACCGTTAAAAAACTACGTTATCAGTGAGTAACATAGGCTATGCTTATTATTATTTTTTAAGGTCACGCGGACAAAGTCGCGAGCAAGAGTTAGTTTATACTAATATTATAAAGAGGAAAGATTTATATATTTGTATATGTTGACATAATTCAAAAACTACTGGGGCAATTTCAAAAATTCTTTTACCATTAAAAAGCTATGTTATCACTGAGTAACATATGTAGGGTATATTTTTTAACAATCAATAGCTAGTATAAAGTGGAAAACGGCCTTCCGGCCATCTGAATTCGCCGAAAAGGCGAAGAAAATGCCCAGATATCTGCAATTGCAGATGTGTTGCCTACCCTTAATAGATGGAGTACGCATATAAAGAGGTTATTTCCCCTTCCTTTGCGTCTTCACAATCATATCCACTTTCCCTTCCCATCCTTTATAAGGGTAGGAAGGGAATGGTACTAAAATTAGGTGCACGCGTCAGGAATTAGGTAAAAGTTTGTAAAAACGACAATTTTATAGCATACCTTTCCGATAGATTTTTTAGAGAATCTTTTGTGGCTCGATGTTTACTGAGAGGTTCTTCATCGGAAGATGTGTCACTTGTATCTTTTGTATTTTTTGTGTTCTTAGCATTGCTTGTATTCTCGGCAACTTTTGTAGTCTCAGCATCTTTTGTATTCTTAGCAACATTTGTATTTTCAACATCAATCGTATTCTTTGTATTATTTACGTTCTCCGCAACTTTTGTATTCTCTACATTTTTTGTATTCTCAGCAACTTTTGCTCTATTTGCATTCTCAGAATCTTTTGTATTCTTTCCACCTTTTGTATTTTTGGTATGTTTTGTATTTTTTTTATTTTTTGCATCTTTTATATTATTTGCAACTATCGTATCATTCTGTACATCTCCATTTACATCTTCTACGCTGTTCTTTCTTTCTTCTGCTTTATTCTTCACCTTGCGGTTACCAATTTTCTGATTATCTAAACTGTTTTCTTTATTAGCATTGCTATTTGATGTTTCATTTTGTTTCTGTTCGTTCTGAAATACAAAATACTCTGTAGAAATTTTTGTTCGTTACCAAGGGAGAGATAAGGGTTTGTAAGAGAATCGGAATAAAAGAAAAAAATGTATATACATAAGAAAAATAAAAAAAGGAACTCATTAATGTAATAAAGTATACGCAACCAAAAAAAATAGAAAAAAGACACAACCTGTGCAAAAATGAGTACGGATCAAGAGTCTGTAGATGTTGAATCTAATAAAAAAAGCGAACCGGAAAAAACCAAAACATGTACACTACGAGTTAGGTTTAGGGCCTCCTACTAATCATCATCATCATCACCAGCTCACTATACGTCCCCACCGAGGGACTCGGAGCCTACCCCAAGTTAGTGACTAGGACATAGTCAACCTGCACTGCGGGTTGACTTCACACATATCTTTGAATTTCTTCGTCGATATGTGCATCACGATGTTTTCCTTCACCGTAACGTCGGGTAAATTATGTACATATAAAAATTTGAAAAATCGAAATTCACATTGGTACAGGATTCGAACCCAAGACTTGTAGATTACAAGTCAAGAGCTTAAACCACTGAGCCACCGACGCTCATACCAATAATAATATATTATGTAATGTATTGTATTTCTTTTTATTTTTTCGACTTTCTAAAGCACGTTTATTTATGGAATTGTGCCCATAGTATAGAAAACTTTTAAATAATAAGTTGCCTCCAAACCCTATAAATCTTTCCCAAAGTGGGTGAAAACATCTCTTTTGTGGAGACTAAAACAGACCAAGAAGGAACCCAGAAACAATTGGAAAACACTTTTATGGTTAATGGTTAACTACTTAGCTTTCGCCCGCGACTACGTCCGCGTAGGCAGCCTATGTGTTCTTCCATACTCTGCTCTACATCTAAGCCTAATTTCATTGAGATCCGTTCAGCCGTTTAGGCTACAAACTCTAACAAACATCCATCTAAACTTTCGCATTTATAATATTAGTTAGATTGTTAATTTTCAATAAAAGATACTTTTACTGTAAAATTGTATTGCTTTTTTTTGGTTAAAAAAATCACTAACCTGCGATTTAGGTATAACTTTAGGTTTTAACCTGACTTTACCCCGCACCACTCCATAGTCTTCGGGTTTAAAATGATCGCTGCATATCACAGAGTTGTAAGATAATTTGGTTGTTAAATTCATCGCTTCGATCCATTTCTTGCATTGTGTTTTACTGTTCGGAAATCTGGAATAAAAAGATTTATGTCTCCTACCCTGTACACATTCCCTTCTCATTATGCACAGAAATACATATGTATAGTTACGGAAAACCGCGTTGTTCCACTACGAGACTAGGAGACCAATTTGGAAGCTGTGAGTTGTGCTACCAACATAATAATAAAAAGTTATTTGCTTTTTCTTAAAGACAACCTTTTTGGTCCGTTCTATTTGTTATTGTTAATAAGTATATTTTTATGTATAACACAACTAGTTTCCTGGATAGTACATGTTAACTTTTTAACTAAATCAAAGCATTAACTACAACATTAGTAGTTAAACAGTGTGCCCGCTTTAACATCTTAGCACTGCAGGGCCGGCACGCCCCCAGTAATACCACAACCACACAGAAGACAGGTGTGAAATGGAAGCAATTCTGTCTGATGAGTGTGGTGCCGGAGGCCTAATTTTAGTCCCTTTCTCTTTACCACCCTTTTCTTATAAGAGAATGGAAGAAGTGGATTTGACAGAGGAGATGCATACGAAGGGGAAATATCCTCTTTATGTGCGCCTTCTCCTCTGTCAGATAAGGGTAGGCAACGCATCTGCAATTGTGGATGTTTATGGGCAGCGGTTGCTTTCCCTTTTGGTGGATTCTGGTGGCGGCTTGCTCGTTTGCCACCTTATATTATAAAAAAACACAAAAAGAAAATTTAACTCACCTGAAATAGACCACATCTTTTGCAATACAACCTCCAACACAGCACAATTTAGCCATAACCCTCGTCTGAAATAAAAAAATTACAATAATTTGTGTTAAATACAAAACCTGACTTTAAATAATCTATGGAAACTACCGATTTCTTTTTTTTATTTGTTTTTAATGTCAAACTGTTAAGAATATTTGTTATTCTCGACATCCGTACAAAAGCAACGCGCATCCTAATTCTGATGTATTTCACGTGACAATACCATTTAATCCTTATGTCTATTCCATTAAGATTCATTTTGCAACAACAACACGTCAAAGTTACGATTTAACTTTCGAAGTAATATTCAGAATAAGACGCGACGAAAATCAAACTGGTTAAAATCACGCAAAATAGTCGAAGACGCTAACATTCTATTAACTCATCTTGGTATTATATTTGTTTTAAATACAATTTCGCGCGCAAATGTATAAACAAGTATTTATGTACGAGAAAACTTACATAGGTTTGTGATGCTGGAAAACGAGTTGATATCGTTTAATATGTACAAATATCGTTAAATTTGTTATGTCCTTTAGCCATGTTTTTTTTTATAGCAATCCAAAATGCACAATTGTTTTTCTTTTTTTAGAATAAGCGTAATAAACATTTACCAAGGAGGATCACAAATTATTAACTTGACTTGACATTTATTATTTTAGTGTTGCCCGTTGCCCGAAACGAATGTTTTAAATTCTTTACGTCAGTGTTTCGGTTTTCAAATATTTTTCGAGTTGATAATATATTTTATGGTAATGTTTTTCTCGGACATTTTTACAAATTAATATTAAATGTATAAGTTCCACAAGACAGTTACAAATTCGGCCGTAAACTGCATGACAAGAAATTGTTATTGTTTAAACATCTGTGGTTGAGTTCAAGTTTACAATGTTGCCATTGGTATAAAAACGTTAAGCATATTTTATTAAAGTTAGATTCAAATATATTTATAACACTATAAAAATAAACTTATGTGAATACGAAGGGTCATGAAATCATAATATTACGTAATATATCATTTATTTATCAAATAAGTAAAGTAAAGATATAATTCTAAAATTATTTTCAGTCAAACTCATTTAAATCCAATGGAGTCATCAAATCAATAAAATATAAAACATAATTTGATAATAATTAAAACTAAATCAAAGTAACGTTTTAAGTATAAAAATATAACTTTAGTAAATATCTTACTTAGGATTTAAAAATCCTAACTTTGCTATGGAAGCATAATTGATATGCTTTTCTGTTCCTAAATGTCTGTCATAGCCTCGTTTTGAAATAAAAGAGGATTTACACAAATCACATTTATAATTTCTTGTCTTCATATGAACCTCCTCTGTATGAAGCAATAGTCTTTGGTACGTTGCAAATGTGTTCTTACATACAGGACATTTGTAGAGCATATAATTCATATGATATCTTGTATGTTGAATCATACTAATTCTATGGAAGAATTGACGACCACAATCATTGCATTCATATTTCTTCTTCATATCATGTACAATCATATGACTTTTTAATCGTGTAGAATTATAAAAACCTAGTGAACAAATTGTACATTCATAAGGTGTTGACTTTGTGTGCATTTTCTTCATATGGTAACGTAGCCCTTCATGTTTAGTATATTCCTTGCCACAATACAAACATTGGAATGCCTTGACTCTAGTGTGTATATACATGTGTTCATCAAGATCTCTTTGCGTTTGAACATGTTTACCACATTCAACGCAATCATAACCAGGATAATGGTAGTTCTTTTTGTGTCTATGGAGATCTTTTGGTTGTGTGAATATTTCCTTACATAAATGACATTTATGATGTCTTAAATAGTGTGTTGTTATGTGGTTTTTATATGATTTTCGCAAATTAAATGTGTAAGAACACTCAATACATTTATAAATGCCTGTATCTACATGCTTTGCATTATGTTGCATGTAATTGTGGTGGTCTGTGAAGGACTTTTTGCATTTCTTGCAGTTAAAACTATGGTCCTCCGAATTGTGGAATAACTTGTGGTTAATCAGTTCATCGTTAGTGTTAAATTTATTACCGCAGATGGCACATATAAACGTAATTCCATTGGACTTGATGTGGAAACGAGTGTGATGCATTAATGCTCGCATCGATTGGAACGTATCGCCACATACGTCGCAAGAGTATGCTGAAAATTTTTCGTTGTACAATTTTGATTGTTGATTTATTTCGTAATCCGATTTGGTTTCTGGGAATCTGCAACCAAAATATTAAATATTTCGGAATATAAGGAGCGCCTGATTGTTAAAGTAAAAGAAACTTACTGCGTTTTTTTTCTCACTTTGGACCCTGTTTTACTTTTTATTTCTTCTTTTATGCCACCATTGTTTTTTAATCTATGTTTACTTGTTCCATTTAAATAAGAATTAATAAGGCAATCGTTACGTACTAGTACAATCTTCAGTTCTTTCAAATTGTAATTCTTTATCGCTGGCGATATTAAGTCCGCGGCGTTTTCTTCCATTTTTCTAAGTAATTACAAAATCAAATTGTCGTTAACATCGTGTTGTGACAACGGGCACCTTGATTTGACAGTTATTTGTAAACATTTGTCGACATCTGTCATTTTTTGTGTTGCCAACATTTAAAATCTTTTCACTTTCTAAATATTGTTATGCTTTCAAATCTTACCTTGGAGTATTTATATTAAAACAGGTAGGAAATAAAAAAAAATGTCTTATAAAAACTTTTACTATCGCATCCATATACAAGTACAATAAAGTCGGATTCGAATTAGGTATTGTTAGGAATAAAATTAGAACCGTGCTATAGAATTGGCGCAACTCTAGATTATCGGCATAAACGTCACGTCCCTAGCTGACAGCTGTCAATGTCACTAGAAGTATGGATAGATTGGCGCGCAACCTGGGTCTGGACGAGAAGCTCTGAGTTTAAAGCGACAATATCAAATAAGTTGTCTAAAAGTATTTACAAATAGAAACATTTTTTTAATACATTTTCTACAGCATTTTGTTGTTACATTGTCTAGTCTTATTTAATATTATATTAGCGAATCTAAAAAATTAAGTACAGTCAGGATAATCGTCGGTGCTCCACTTTAAAAGCAACAATCGTTTGAACATTAAAACGAGACGCGGAACAAAAACCAATACAAATACAACGCATCTTATGTGTTAAAACAAAAATGGGTTAGTAATACATGGCTAGTTTCTGTTTATTATTCTCTTCGTTTGCTCACTGCTATCAAATTAGTTATTTGTAGAGGCGAAGTTTGTTTTGTCGCAATGAACATTGTGTTTAAGCTATAAACCAGTAGATGGAGTTATTAGTTTTTTATATGTCGGTGGCATTTTATTCTGAAATGTCACCGAATTGATCTGTATTTGAATGTTCAAAGTATAATCAAGTGTTTGTTTGTGGTCCTGCTTTCTATATTAAACACATTACCTGAAGTGGAACAACAATTTTTGCAACTGCACAAACTAACTATATAATATATTTACATTTACATACATTTAAATATATTTTACCACCAACTTTCATACACATATAAAAATATAAATGCTTTGAAACCCTAGTTTTGTACCTAATCTTAACTTCATATTTGCAAGTAACAAGATCCATACAATATACAATTTTCAAGGAATTCATCTTTAATAATAACAATACCAATAACAAGTATTGCTAATATTATTTTTACATAGAGAATAAAAGGGACATATTTTTGTAATTGTCTAAACTCTGGCAACATTTTAATTAAAAGGCTGCTTTATTTATATCTATAGCTAGACTGGAAGCCTGGCTTTCATAATGCAGGAAATAAAAATTTATCTATACTATTATAATAAAGCGTAAAAACACACTTCTTTGTTACCTAAGATGTATGTAATTACAGCATATTTTTGAATAATTCTTTTTATAATAAAAAGCCCTACACTTACGTCACGCTTTAGGCTATATATTTTCACGCCATTAAACTTATGGGTAAATATTTTGGATGAAAACCCTAATGTGGGAAAGAGACCATAAGTTGCTGCCAACATCAAGGAAGCAAGGTTTGTAATGTAATGTCAATTTAACATTTGATAATTTGACAGATGTAAACGATAAAATGAAATTTCCATAATTTTATGCGGATGGAGCCACATGGGAACAGTTAGTTTTAATTATAAAAAAGAAAACAGCCATCGGAATACACCAAAATAGTTACCAACTGCTACTCAGATATCCACATGTTACAAGACAGAGTCTATTTCCCTACTTATGTAGTCAGAAATGTTAAGCACTATCTTGAACAAAAAGTCTTCACATGTCACTTATAAACACCATTCACTATTCAGTCACCCAAGCGTATCACACTTAGGGCTTCGCCCCGCGATGCCGGGACCGCCTTCTGACCGCTCAGAAGACTCGGTCCTGGTACCCTGAGTCCGCAACAGGCTGGGAAGGCTTCGCCTGAGCACCAGCCACATGGTGATGATGCCGTAAATGAGCTGGTCTCCTCGGAGGGGCTAAGTATTCGAACATGCTCTGCGTATGTTGGGCGAGCATATTCGCTAGATCACACGGCATTGGGTCGGTCCAGAAGAAGTCGTGGTTCAAAGCTGTGTCCGCGTCATACCTAAAATAAAAAAAATAATTAAATGTATATCTTTTAATTGAAAAATATGTAAAAAAACAACAGTGAATAAATTAAATAGCATATATACAATCAAAAATACAATATAACTATGGAAAACGAAATCTCAGTGATGACAAGTGTCATTTGAACTTGGTTTCTTGCTATTTGTTTTTGAATTTCAGTTATTACATCCATTGTATATTTTTTGTGTTAATATAGTATACCCTATGACACTCTGAGTAAGAAGACGAATCTGATGAAAACTCATTCATCCAAATTGGGTGACTAGTTTTGTCTGTAGACTGTTACAATGGAATTTACATAAAAAAAAACTTACACGTAAAATTACCTTCTTTGTTATTCAGGTAAAAAAGCCATAAAAATTATGTATTTTTAGATATTCCGAATAAAATAATTAAAAAAAAATATGGACGATCAGCCATATCAACAATACTTGTTAATTACCTTAAAACTAACACAAAGTCAACTTTGTAAAGATATCGAACGTTTTTTTTTATAATATAAGGTGGCAAACGAGCAAGCGGCCACCTGAATCCTTCTGCCCATAGACATCCGCAATTGCAGATGCGTTGCCTACCATTATCCGACAGAGAACGCACGTAAAGAAGACATTCCTCCTTCCTATGCGTCTCCTCCACCGTCAAATCCACTTTTTCTTCCCATCCTTTCCTCTTAAAAAAAGGACGGAAAGGGAAAGGGACTACAATTAGGCCTCCGAAACTAGAATTATACTGAGCTACTGACGGACTGAGATTTAGCTCTGTACAACTCCTTGCAAGTATTTTGTAAAACTACCCCCCACACTTTCTTCGGTTTCATATTTCCTAACATTATAACATAGAAATACATACGAGATAAAAAAAATTGGTACTAATACAAGATTTTATTTGATTACCTTTTAGCTGGATCCAATTGTAACAGCTTGTCGAGCAGATCACAACCATATGGGTCCTTTACATAAGGCTTCAGACGTTCCTAAAAAATTAGAAGAACCTTGCTTCTTACTAATATTATAAATGCGAAAGTTTACATGGATGTTTGTAACTTTGTACCCTAAACTGATGATTGGATCTCGATGAATTTTGGCATAGATGTAGAGGATAGCCCGGAAGAACACATTTTTTTTTTATAACACAAGGTGGCAAACGAGCAAGCGGCCACCTGAAACCGCCAAAATGGCGAAGCGACCGCTGCCCATAGACACCCGCAATTGCAGATGCGTTGCCTACCCTTATACGACGGAGGAGGAGACGCACATAAAGAGAATATTTCCCCTTCCTATGCATCTCCTCCACCGTCAAATCCACTTCCTCTTCCCAACCTCTCCTTAAAAGAAAAGGGTGGTAAAGAGAAAGGGACTTAAATTAGGTCTCCGGCACCACACTCATCAGACTGTACACGGAATTGCTTCCATTTCCCGCCTGTCTTGTGTGGTCGTGGTATTGCTGGGGGCGAGCCCTGCACTGCTAACATGTTAAAGCGGGCACTACCACTGTCGAACTTTTAACTTTTGTCGAGTTTAACTCCACACAGACAGAGTTACGGGCGAAAGCTAGTCTGTAGATAGATTCGATTATGTACCAATAACTTTCAATTTACAATATCTACGGAAAAGGAAAACATCATGATAACATATCTGTGAAGAAAATCAAAGATATATGTGAAATCACATACAGGGTGTTACCAAAAGCCTAATTTCTAACTTAAGGTAGGCATTAACTATATAAATTCCTTGTACACACCTTCACCTTTCTCTTCTGACCCTTAGGGAGCTCCATTTTGTTGTATAAATCCAGATTCTCTACTCCGGGCCACACATCGGGGGTACAGGACCCACAAAGTTGGGATATTAAGATCAATTGCTGCTGTTCAGTAGGACCCTGGGGAAAAGAAGATAAACTATATAAGAAAATCATATCTCACTGGAATAGGGGCCAGAGGCCTAATTTAAGTCCCTTTCTCTACCACCCTATTCCTATTAGAGGATGGGAAGGGGAAGTGGATTTGACGATGGAGGAGATGCATAGGAAGAGGAAATATCCTCTTTATGTGCGTCTCCTCCTCCGTCGGATAAGGGTAGGCAACGCACCTGCTATTGCAGATGTCTATGGGCAGCAGTCGCTTCGCCATTTTGGCGGATTCAGGTGACCGCTTGCTTGTTTGCCACCTTATGTTATAAAAAAAAAAGGGATATGCATGCGTTTTTATTCTTTTTTTAAATGATTCTACTTGAAATAACCAGAAAAAAAAATTGACGCGAAAATATTCAACCATTGAGCTAAAAAATAATAAAATAAAATTACGACCATTTTCCAATCCAAAAATACAATTTCTTTATTATGTTACGATAGATTAAGTAATTAATATTTGTTAAGTTACTTATAAGCAGTGGTTTACTATTTAACAGTAACCTATATTACAGTAGAACTTCAATAACATAAAAACCTCTAAAACTTTAAAAAATAACATGTTCCCTTCCCATCTGAGCCCAAAACCTCTACAACATAGACCCTTGATAACTTAAAACCTCTATAACTTAAAATATTCTGTGTTTACCTTGGACTTTAACTTATCTAGATTCTACTGTATTACCAAGTAATATAGCTAACCTGCATAATTGGAGATCTAGTCCACATTTCTGCCATAATGCATCCCGCACCCCACATGTCTACTGGAGGTCCATAATTCCTGTCTCCTGCAAATTTAAGAGTATAAAACAATTTCATTTGACAATCTATTTTTGTCTATTTTTATATTTATTTCAATGAAAACAACATAGTGCCATTTAACATACAATGTTTATATTGGCACTGTACAGTTTACATTATAATTAAAAGTTATATGTCACAATCATCACCACCAGCTCACTATACGTCCCCACCGAGGGACTCGGAGCCTACCCTAAGTTAGTGACTAGGCCATAGTCAACCACGCTGCACTGCGGGTTGGTTGAATTCACACATATCTTTAAATTTCTTCGCCGATATTTGCAACATATTGCATGCTACATAATGCCCGTGATTTTATCCCCATGGAATTATAACTTGTGTCACTTAGTGAAAACACTTTCTATAGCAAAAGAATCTTTGCAATCTATTAAAAAGTTGCAGAGCCTATTCAATGCAAAGATTAAAATTATTTTAATGATATTAATAAACAAACTTGATATTTAAAAGATTTTTACTAATCTTACTTACCTAATAACAATTCCGGAGGTCTATACCAGAGTGTGACAACTCTATTAGTGTATTTGTTAACTTGTCCAGCCTTTGCCACGCTAAATGCTCGCGCCAGACCGAAATCCGCCAACTTTAACACACCGTTCTTGGTTATTAACACATTTGCGGCTTTCATGTCTCTGTGTAATATTTTATTACTGTGTATGTAGTATAAACCATTTAGCAATTGCTGCATAACCTTTTTAATCTCACCTAAACTAAATTTAACGTTAACATTTGATAATAAACCTGCTAAATCATGTTCACAAAAATCGAATACTAGGTAAAAAGTTGAACGATATTTATTATGTAATGTCGCTTTTGTACGACATATTTCTATTAAATTGACAACATTGTCGTGTTTGAGAAGCTGTAGGATCTTAATTTCACGCAGAGCAGTGATAGGGAAGCCTTCTTTCTCGTTGTCCATAAGTACTTTTTTCATAGCAACGAACTTTTTGCTACTATTCCTTGCGCGGGCTTTAAACACTTCCCCGAAGGTGCCTTGACCTATTTTAGCGACTTTCTCGTATTTAGAAGACTCGTCGCAGAAGGGAAAGTCGAAGTCTTCGATGTACTTTTCTTTTTCTCTCATATTAAGAATTGTCGAACTTGTGCTCAAGACGGGAGCAGGCTCCCGCGGAGCGTTCACGTTTTGCATTTTGGAAGCAATTATGGCTGTTTTAACGGAGCTGGGTTGATAGAATTTTCTGTTAAATCTTTCTTTTGTTCGTATTAAACTTTGATACAAAAGAAAACGCTTTTATTGATAGAAATAGTAAGATAAAAGTAGACAAAAGTCAAAACTTTAGCATTTGTCAAAGTCAAGATGTCAAGTGTCTTGTCATATTAAATAAAGATAAAACAGACTTTTTATAGACAGACACAAAATAAACCTTTGAAGACGTATTCGTAAACAAAAGTTTTTTTTTTTCAATAGTATAGCTGTGTGATAGAAAAAGCGTTTATATTAATTTTAGAATTTAAAATAAAATTCTTTTGTGAGGCAATTTTCAAATATATTATCTGTTCTAAAATCAGTTAAGTTGTCAATTCCGAAATGTCATAAATGTCAAGTCAATATTCGCATCAAGTCATGAAGGTGTTTTAGTTTTAGATGTTTTAAAATTTTCAATATCTACAACAAAGAGATTTCGTTCTTACTAAATTTTTCGTACATAGGTATGTACTTTAATTTCAATTTGAATGTATTAATTGCCATTTCTAAGTAATATTTATACATCGTTGGCTTTCTAAGTAGTATTGATCCAAAAATGGAAATTAGGCCACCTCTATCAAATTTTTATCTTTGTTTTTATGTTATCGGTTTATAAAATCAATTGAAAACTGTAATCTAAATACGTCATATATACGCCCCTTTTTATCGGTCCTTAATAGACATATCATTTGTTATTGTTGATTAAACTCGTTCGATTTACGATTTCGCTCTTTGTTAATTATGTTTGCTTTAGTAATGCAATTTTATTCATCAATTTAATTACATATCAGCAACAAATACGTAAAATAACAAAACAAATCGATTTATTTTCCTTTATCAAAGTTATGTGGTATACTAATATAATTTCAGTGATGGCAAGTGACTCAAGCTCAGCAGTGCTAGATCTAAATGATGGAGACATCACAGAGGACACGGAAGCTCCCAGTGTCACTGATGATGCAGTTGACGGAGCCCCCTTGATTATGGAGCATGGCTATGATATAGCTGTTAAGGTTTGTAATTAACAAATATTTGTTACTAGCTGTTCCCGTGCGGCTTCTTCCGCGTGAAATTATTAAAATTTATATTATTGTTTACATTTGTCAAATTATCAATCTTGCTTCCTTGATGTTGGCAGTAACTTATGGTCTCTTTCCCACATTAGGGTTTTTATCCAAAATATTTACCCCCTAAGTGTAATGGCGTGAAAATATATAGCCTAAAGTGTGACGTAAGTGTAGGGCTTTTTATTAAAGAAAGAATTATTCAAAAATTTGCTGTAATTGCTGACATCTTAGGCAACAAAGAAGTGTGTGTTTACGCTTTATTATAATAGTATAGGTTAATTGAATTTGAAGAATTGCAAAAGTTAAAACAAACTGTAAATGGCTAATTCCTTATTGAATCATTTAAATAACAGCACTTGTAGAGCCCACATTAATATCTTTGCACTGAATCTGAAACAAAAGATAGAAGTGAAGTGGAAACAATTCTGGTTTTGGACTGATTTTCGTCCTTTCCCCCTTTCCATGCAAGGCAAGGATGTGAAAAGAAAGTGGATTTGACAGTAAAGATGCCTAGGAAGGGTAAATATCCTTTTTATGTCTGTTTTACAGGTAGACGCACCAATGAAACAGCTGTCTACATTAGAGACGTTTGTAACGTATCGTGTACGCTGCGTGTGTGCGCGTTGGTCGACTCCACCGTTTGTTAGGAGACGATATAATCATTTCAAGGTATGTTTAATTCATTATTTACTATATAAAATGGGCCTATGTTCCTCCAGATTGTCTTCTGCATCTCTGAGAAATTTCATCGAGATCCATTAAGCAATGGAGGCTACAACAAACATCCATCTAAACTTTCGTGCTTATAATATTACTACTTTTCGTCCGCGACTCCGTCCGCGTGGAATTAAAATTAAGAACAAAAGTGAGTAGGTGTTCTTCCAGACTATCCTCGACATCTATACCAAATTTCATCGAAATCCGCTCAGCGGTTTAGGCTACAAACTCTAACAAACATCCATCTAAACTTTTGTATTTATAATTTTATAAACAGTGTAAACTCTATATAACGATGCTGAAGGGACTGTCCATTTTATGGCGTTATAGAGAGTTGTCGTTATAGAGATAACAAAAATCAGATTAAAAATAAGAAAAGTTTATTTCAAAATAGTGTTAGTAGTTACATATGTGAAAATAATCTTATTTGAACGCTATTGCGTAGTTAGTTATTTTTGTCTGAAATCTTGCTGCACCAGTAATTATTTTGTAACGAGCTGTTGCCCGCAACTTTGTCCGCGTGGTATTAGAAAACATACGAAATACATAAATTACAAAAAACTACGTATCCCTCGGGAACCGGACATTTCTCGGGGATGAAACTTATCCCATGTGTACTCCAGACTTTGTTTTATATCTGTGACAAATTTCAATAAGATATGTTGAACTTGCAGAATGATCGAGTGAACATTAAAAAACTAAATTATTGAATCCCACGGGAACCGTTACTATTCCAGGGATAAAAAGTAGCCTATGTGTTCTTCCAGACTATGCTCTAAACCTGTGCCAAATTTCATGGAGATCTGTTGAGCCGTTTAGGCTACAAACGCTAACAAACATCCATCCATCCATCCAGCTAAACTTTCGCATTTATAATATCAGTAAGATTTGTTACTTATTTTATTCATATCTTGCAATATTGAGCCATCTTTATGATAAAGCCACAAAAGGATGTACACAGCTGAGCAGTTTTTACTAATTTTAGCAACATAAAAGGTATTTATTACTCAATTGTGGTCGTTATGAAGAGTGGATGTAATGCAATGTAGCATGTATTGTATGGAAGACAAGCTCCAACCGAAACCAATTGATTTTGACACTTTAGGGAGTTTGTCGTTAAATCGAGGGACGTTATGTGGAGTTTGCACTGTATTTAAGTAAGATGGTAAGACTAGCTTTTACTCAGACCATCGGAAAATGAAATAGACTATTTGTTCAGGTTATTTTTAAAGTCTTTGCTAAATTTCAAATAGTTCTGTTCAGCTATTTGGGAGTTACCTTCTAAGAATCTATTCTCATAACCTTTCACATCTCACTTAAGGCTTGTCTAACAAATTGTAAATGGTCCAAACAATCAAACATGTTAATATGTGATGGAAATATATTATTTTGTTACCTTATTTGACAGTGTAAGCAATCTGAGACTCTATCAGCCAGTTGTGGGACAAGCCTTTAATGATATAAAAGTTTTTATGGATGGATGTTTGTAGCCTAAACTGCTAAACCCTATTTAATTAGTCATAGATGTACAGCAGTCCAGAAGAACATAGGCTATTTTTGTTTTAATTTCATCCGAAGCTATAAATTATAATTTATTGTCAGTTGTTACACCGTCGGTTATGCGCCGGCGCACCTTTACTGGCGCCACCCGCGTTGCCGCCGCTCCATTCAGCAAGACAGCAACTGGACAGATATCAGCCAGCGTTTGTGCATATACGAGCACTGGCATTACACGCATTCCTAGGTAATATAATAAAGCGTAAATACACACTACTTCGTGGCTTAGGATGTCAGCAATTACAGCATATTTTTAAATAATTATTTCCTTAATAAAAAGCCCTACACTTGCGTCACGCTTTAGGCTATACATTTTCACGCCATTAAACTTAGGGGGTAAATATTTTGGATAAAAACGCTAATGTGGGAAAGAGACCATAAGTTGCTGCCAACATCAAGAAAGCAAGATTGCCAAGTTTTGTCATGTCCTGTCATTTTGACATTTGCAATTGATAATTTGACAAATGTAAATACTATTTTTTTTATAGCATAAGGTGGCAAACGCGCAAGCGGCCACCTGATTCCGCCAAAATGGCGAAGTAGCGAAGTGCCGAAGTGACTAAAATACAATTCTTATAGTTTTATACGAAGTCGCATTGGAACTGCTAGTACTAATATAAACGTAAAACATCTTTTTGTAAATATATAGTATATTTTTAATTTTCAGATCGCGTGGCGAAGCACCCCATTTTAACTCACAGTGAGGATTTCAAACTATTCGTCACAACTCCTGATGAAGAATTTGATAAGGTAAGATTTCCTTTTTTTATAACATAAGATAGCAAACGAGCAAGCGGCTACCTAAAATCGCCAAAATGGCGAAGCGACCGCTGCCCATAGACATCCGCAATTGCAGATGCGTTGCCTACCATTATGTGATGGAGGAGGCACATAAAGAGGACATTTCCCCTTCCTATGCTTCTCCACTGTCAAATCCACTTCCTTTTCCCAACCTCTCCTATAAGAAAAGGGTGGTAAAGAGAAAGGGACTTAAATTAGGCCTCCGGCACCACACTCATCAGACGAAACACGGAATTGTTTCCATTTCCCGCCTGTCTTGTGTGGTCGTGGTATTGCTGGGGGTGAGCCCTGCACTGCTAACATGTTAAAGCGGGCACTACCACTGTTGGTTAAAAAGAACATAATTTTTTTTCAATGTAGTAAATAATTGTTGCTCGCGACTACGCGTGAAATAATAAAAAAAATAGTAAAAAATAGCCTATGTTATTCGCAGATAAATTATCTTTCTAACGGTAAAAGAATTTTTGAAATTGTCCCAGTAGTTTTTGAGTTATTTCAATACATACAAAAATACAAATCTTTCCTCTTTATAATATTAGTATAGAAATAGATTTAAAGCCAATAGTATTATCTCCAAATGATTTAAATATTTTGTGAATTTTGCCTTTAACTAGCTTTCACCCGCGACACCGTCCGCGTCAAATTAAAAATACAAAAGTAGTCTATATGTTCCAGACTGTCCTCTACATCTGATCAAACGAGATCCGTCCAGCAGTTTAGGTTCTCTAACAATCTAAACTTTCGCATTTATAATATTAGTAAGGTTTTTTTTAGGTATTCAAGAGTGAAAACAGTGCATTAAACTTATGGGGTCTGAGTAGTGCTCTGTACGGCAGCGGGGAATCGAAGCCTGGACCCAACGGAGCCAGGTGAGACATTTACTTCAGATAATTGCAACAAATAACATCATTTTATATGTTAGAATTAAATTTGAAATATATCTCAAAGAGTACTTTAAGGTAAATTTCCAAATAAGACTACCACCCCCAATATCACTAATGAAGACCCCCAATAAATTTAAGACCCCCAATATGGGGATCTCCCGTTTATCTAGAACCAATGTGTATTATAAACCCGCAAAATATAAAAAGTTCTCTAAATATGGGATCAAAGACCCCCAAATGTAGAACACAGACCCCGAAAATATGATTTTATCCTAAAAAAGGCGGTCAATTTACAATACAGTCGGGTTACAGTAACAAAATAAGGGTTTCCTAGACATCTGCCCCTTTCCTCTAATATAGAAGTATGTTCTGGAACCTTCTAGAGTGCAAGACCCTGAGTTTACAGCAGCATCGGAGTATTTACAGTCCCTGGAGCAGAAGTTGACCACACTTTGCTCGCTCACAACTAAACTGTACAAGGGTTCGGTGGCTCTCAGCGGGGAGTATATGAGGTTAGTAATATCTCTAGAGGTTAGCTCCTTTTGGAAATATATTTTCTTATTATTATTGTCTTGGTTAGGGTAAATAAAAAAAAATTGAAAATTAGTTTTTTTTTTAAATTGAAAAATGCCATATTTGTTCTGTGTGAACTTTAAAACGACTCGGGTGATTTTGACAGGACTTTTATTGGAATGTAGCTGATTCGCGAGGGAATGTTATGGTTTTTTTTATTATTATATGACTAGCTGTTCCCGTGCGACTTCATCCGTATGAAATTATGAAAATCTTATTATTTATATGTGTCAAATTATCAATTACAAATGTCAAAATGACATGACAATGACAATCTTGCTTCCTTGATGTTGGCAACAACTTATGGTCTCTTTCCCACATTAGGTTTTATATCCAGTTTATTTACCCCCTAAATTTATTAGCTTGAAAATATATAGCCTAAAACGTGACGTAAGTGAAGGGATTTTTATTAAAGAATTATTCAAAAATATGCTGTAATTGCTGACATCCTACGTCACAAATGTGTGTTTACGCTTTATTATATTTGTATAGATAAAACATGAGATTTTCTCGAAATGTTATTATATTCGCACTGACGTTTAGGCAATAGATTGTCCCATTTCTTAACTACTATTATAAATTAAAAAAACAACCATAAAAAAATACAGCCAGTTCCCAGTAGTTTTTGAGTTATTTCAATACAACATTTTTTTTTTTTATAACATAAGGTGGCAAACGAGCAAGCGGCCACTAGAATCCGCCGAAATGGCGAAGTGACTGCTGCCCATAGACATCCGCAATTGCAGATGCGTTGCCTACCCTTAATATAAAGATGCAAAGCTTTCCTCGTTATAATATTAGTAGGAATTGCATTTTTTATTATAAATCAACACATATTTTAAGTTATACTAAATACAATAACAGTATGTATTGCAGTTTAGGTGTGTGTTGCGGCGGGGGCGCGTGGGGGGGCGCCGGGGGCGCGCTGGCGGGGGGCGCGGCGGCGGCGGGGGGCGCGCGCGCGGCCGCCCCCCTGCGCCACCGCGCCGCGCTGCCCCTGCTGGCGGCGTACGCGCGCGCACACGCACACAAGATACGACACAGGAACGCGTTACACGGTCAGTAGATGGCGCTGTACTCAGAATAGAACACGCTAATGATGTTTTTCATATGATGTAACTTAGTGTACAAGTTTCCGTTGTTTTAAGCACTTGATTTGAGGTCTTGGGTTCGAATCCCGTATCAATTTGATTTTTTCGAATTTCCATACGTACATTTACCCACGTTACGGTGAAGGAAAACATCGTAATGCATATCGGTGAAGAAATTCTAAGATATGTGTGACGTCACACATATCTTAGTGCAGTTGACTGTCCTACCCTTAGGGTAGACACCCCCTCAGTGGGGACATATGAGTTGGTGATGATGATATTTTACATCATAAGGTGGCAAACAGCACGTGGCCACCTGAATCCGCCAAAATGGCGAAGCGACTGTATATATTCGCAATAGCGGATGCGTTGCCTACCCTTATTCGACATAAATAGTATATTTCCCCATCCTATCTGCACCAGGGTCCACGTTCTCATCCCATCCTTTTTCTTATAACAAAAAGGGTAGGAAGGAAAATGGACTACGTGGAATTGCTCCCACTTCACGCGTGTCTTGTGTGGTCGTAGTATTGTGGGTATTTGGAAATGGGTTTCTTACCACGATTGGTTATCTTCCGATATTTCAGCATATTTTCATGTTCACGTGATTAGTGGACTGGTTGTTAAAGTTCCAAAAATCCATAACAAATACCAATAATATGACGAAATATCGACAGCTAAAACAACCCAATCGTGGTAAGAATCCCGTTTACGAATATATTTTGATTTGATGTTTTTTTCAGCTGCTTATGTGTCTGGCGGCAACACGGACGATCTACACAACAAGTAATAACTTAAATAAATCACTTTTAACTTATAGTGCCCATGTTTCATCCAAATTATATAAAATCTTTTTTTTTAATTTTAAATGTCATTTAAAAACTAAATGACAACAAAGGCTTTTGCCATTGGCTAAATTACCGTTACCAGCAATATTTCCTATTAGCTTGTAGTTTTTGACCCTTTCATGCATTTTTTTTACTAATTCATTCACCCTCTAAGTTTAATAGCATGAAAATATATAGCCTAAAGCGTGTTGTATGTGTAGGCCTTTTTAAAAAAATATGCTGTGATTCACAAGCAACATAACATTATTTGCTTTATTATATTAGTATAGATAATCTTTTAAACTAATCTTACTAGTCTAAAGTACAGTAGAACCTTAGTAACTTAAAAACCTCTATAACTTAAAAAAATAACATGTTCCTTTCCCATCAGGGCCCAAAACCTCTACAACATACCCTTGATAACTTAAAACCTCTACAATTAAAACGTTCTTAGCTTTAAATTTTTCACTAAACTTATTTTTTCAGATTAGAACAAGCCTCAGAGGCCCTCCGTTCAGAACTCTCCGATTGGATACCAAAAACACGAGCTGAAGTCAAATCTCTACTCCTCGAGCTCGCTGACAGACAAGTCAGCATCCACGCTCAGACCCTGGCCGGCTGGCAACAAGCCCTCAGGCTGGCCACCGGGGCTGATGTCTCCGATATCTTCAAAACAGTCTCCAAGACAGCGGTGCAGAACCTATCACCATCCAAATGTCGACCTGATACACCAACGGAGAAGGATTTCGAAGATCTAGAGAATTATAGTGCGGATGAATCGGATCTAGAACGTTCTAGAAGTGATGTGAACAGTAGTGTTGTGGTAGGAAGTGTTGAAGTGCATGTGGAGTCGAGTGGTAGTGCTCAAGTGGTGTCGGAAGTGAAGCCTGAAGAGAGAGGAACGGATCCCCAACAAGATTTCTCGGAGGTAGATTTATCTTGAGTCTGTGATAGTGTGCTGTTGGATGTTTTTGAATTTTAGTACCTCCGAAGGTTTATTTGGAATGGTAAGAATTTGAAATTTAATACAGATTTTTGTTAGTTTTTGCTAAATTACAATTGTACACATATGGAAATAGGGATATGTCTGATAAAATTTAATTATGGCAGTTATTATATTAAAAACATTAATAACTTTGTAGTCAATAGAAGTTAGTCTTGTTTAGTCCATTTTTGTCTCCGGAGATAACTAGCTATATGCAGTCGAGTTTATTTATTATCCATTTCTGTAAATAATTTGACAGTAAATGCAATTAATCTAAAAAAAAGCATATCTATAAACTTTATACTTAGATTTTTAATAGATTTAGAGCTTTTCCCACCACTGGCTGATAGAGTTTCAGATAGCTTAAAATGACACTGTCAGATAAGGGAACAAAGTCCGATATTTCCATCACATATTTTGCATGAAAACAATTTGGTGGGAAAGGCCCTAAATTTAATTATTTGATTGTAACTTAACTTGGATAAGCTGAAGATAAAATTACAGGGACTCTTTATTCTCACTTATAAAGGTCCCTTTTATCTTAGTTTCTCTATTCTTTAATGTATTTGTATATATTGAGGAATGTGTCAAAAAGTTTAGTAATAAATTTTAATTTATTAAAAAAGCCTCTGAACACAGCAATGTGTATATTCATACTAGTAACCTATGTGTAGATAGAGGCCAAGGTTCTTAGAGCACACACCTTCGACTAAGCCAGAGTTACAGTAGAGCCCACTTTAACATCTTCGCACTGTAGGGCCGGCTCGCCTCCAGTAATACCACGACCACACAGAAAACAGGCGTGAAGAGGAAGCAATTCCGTGTACAGTCTGATGAGTGTGGTGCCGGAGGCCTAATTTAAGTCCATTTCTCTTTACCACCCTTTTCTTATAAGAAAAGGATGGGAAGAGGAATTGGATTTGATGGTGGAGATGCATAGGAAGGGGAAATGTCCTCTTTATGTTCGTCTCCTCTGTCAGATAAAGTTAGGCAACGCATCAGCAACTGCGGATGTCTATGGGCAGCAGTTGCTTCGCCATTTTGAGGGATTCAGATGGCTGCTTGCTCGTTTGCCACCTTATGTTATAAAAAAAAATTCTCCAAACTTACTTGTGTCGTGGACCCCTTGCCATTTCCGTGTTGGGTAGACCCCTTTTTATTATTAAGCGTTTATTGCCGAAACTAAAGAAACATTTACAATTAATGGTAAAACTTAACTTTTTTTTTTTTTTAGTAGTAGGTGTAGACCCCTTACTTGATATTGATTTCCTGCAAATTTTATTATAGTAAAGTTTAGTGGTAAAGGTTTAATACTAAACTTTCTAATGTTAACATTATACAACAAAAAGTTACAAAAATTTGCGAAAACAAGCCACAAGAAGATTCTGAGGGCATATGTAGAGCGAGAGCAGACGGGGTGCGACTGACACGGGGGTGTCTCGAGCAGGGCACGGGGTGCAAGAGGTGAGGAAAGGGAACGCGGCAGCAAGGGTGGCGTGTTGTCCAGAAGAGGGGCTAAGAACGGGGCCTGATCTGGTAGGAGGGGTGAGTTGAGTGGTGTGATCTCAAGGGGTGCGAGAGGCGCGGTACGGGCACACGCATGTTAATTTATACATGGACCCCAATTTTTTTTGCTGACGTAGACTCCTTTCAGGTTATAGACCCCTAGGGGTCGATATAGACAACTTTGGGAATCACTGGACTAAACTATCACACGACTGTTGTGCGATTGTCGATTGTTTCGCAATTCAACTGTTTAGTTGCACAACTGTAATCGAGTAGTTCTGCTAAGCTCATAGGAATCTGTGCGACTAAACAGTTGTGCGATAGTTTGGTCAAAGGTATACAATCTTGGATTCCTCGCTTAAACAAACATGCTTTGTGTTTGATCTTCAATAATTTATCAATTATGTCTTTTTTGAATATAGCTTTTAGAAACATGTATATTTTTGTGTAGAAATTATTGTAAGTATCGAAATAAGGCATCTAAGAATTTATATAGGCGTTTATTTAAAAAAAAATTATAATGTACTCCACATCCACAGACAAACTAAAAATGTGGTTATTTCTGTTCTTTATTTATCTGTTATTGTAAATTATGTTTTTGTATAAATTTAAATAAGAGAATAATAAATGACGACTTTATTGCTCATTATCTGAACATTTGAGGTTGTGTTTTCCTTATTAAGTTACTAACTTTAGCCCGCGATTCCGTCTATTGAAAAAAACAAAAGTGAATAGCCTATGTGTTCTTCCAGACTATGCTCTACATCGATATTAAATTTCATCAAAATCCGATCAGCCTTTTTGGCTACAAACTCTAACAAACACCCATCTATCCATCTAAACTTTCACATTTATAATATTAGTATGATATAAAACTAGCTGTTGCTCGACTACGTTCGCATGGAATTGAAAAAAAAAAACACCTTTTTTATAGTGCTAGGATTTTAAAATCTGCCCAGTAGTTTTTGAGTTACTTCAATGCATACAAAAATATAAATCTTTCCTCTTTATAATATATCCTCGGCGAGATATTAAAAAAATATAGCCTATGTTACTGATAATGTAGCTTTATAATGGCGTCAGATTTTTTTAAATCGGCAAAGTTTTTGAGTTTCAATACATACAAAAATATATATCTTTACTCTTAATATAGATTAGAAACGACAACGGTTTACCAAAAATATAGACAATGTAAAAATGTTACATTAATACTGGCTTATTTCGAGCGAATTATCCTTCAAAGCAATATTTTGATAAAATTATAGTAAACTGAAGTAAAATTTGGTTTAAGGTTATGAAAATAAAACCACAATAAAACTTAAAAAAATATATTTAAGGCACTTATAATATTTTGTTACATCATGAACTTGCCCTTATCCCTTACGGAGGGTCGGCACAGTATGTGCTGCTCCATACATCTCTATCAGCCATATCTGAATCCACTCCTTTCTTAAGCATATCCTCTATCAGACAATCCATACTTTCTTCGGTCTTCTTCTTCCTTTGTAGCCATCCACGTTCAATCTTAACACTTTCAGGTTTATGTCCCCATCGTCTCGCATAACATGTTCATACCATCGATATAGTACCATCGATAGTTCAAAATTGTTCGCTGCGTGTTTCGTCACTACGATACCTGTCTATTAAGTATGGCATTTGACTTCATATAAATTGAATTCGATACTTCATATGCGTCATTTATCAAACTAATCTATCTTATTTAGACACACCGTAACAAATGTTAAAAAACAAAAACTTCCAAATTTAAATTCTAATAGAGATCGAGAATTTTAAAAAAATTACCGGTAAAAAAGTACGATATACAGGATGTTTGTAAAATTTTAATTAAATATCTTTTTTTTTTCGAGTTTTCGAGCACCCTGATTTTTGACCGACTTCCCAAAAGGAACTCAATTCGTAAGTTTCTATGTGTAACGGCATTACGCCGCTAGTGGACCAATTTGGATAATTCTTTTTTTAACCGAAAGGTAATGCTTGCAGGTGGGTCCCATTTTTTTTATTTTTTATAACGAAAGTTCCACAAAAAGAATTCTGACAAGAGTATTTTTTGTGACTGTTTTTAGGTAGTTCGATTCCGTAGTAAAAAAAAACAATAAAGTTATCTGACGTCAGTATTGATTAGAATTACCAATCATAGTAATTTTATAAATGCGAAAGTTTGGATGGATGGATGTTTGTCTGTAGCCTAAACGATTGAACGTATCTCGATAAAATTTGGCATAGATGTAGAGGTTAGTCTGGAAGAAGACAGACTACTCACTTTTGTTTTTTTAATTCCACGCGGACGGAGTCGCGGGCGAAAGCTAATAAAGAATTATTTGATTCAAAGCAACTTGATAATGGTAAGTCATATATTTGATTAAAAAATCTGAAGACAGGTTCGGACATTTTTTTCTTATTCTTTCTTAATTTTAAAAAAATAGTTTTGCTATAAAAAAAATACAAAACAATAAAAAGCTTCTTTAATTGGTATAACAGATCTTTAACCTTAAATATAAAAATAAATGGAAGGGGAAATATATTTGGCAGGGGAGGGGAAGGAAGGAAAGGGATATATCTGTTGAATAAAGTTATTTGTAAATGCGTATGTTGCAGTCATTTCGTTATTTTGGCGAATTTAATTCGCTCGTTTGTCATCCTACGAGAGGGGAGTTCTGCGTTAAAACTTTTCACACATTTGTATTTGTCCTTTCTCTTCCTAAAGGTCTCTCTTCAGGACTTGCTTTTGGTTCATTTTCATTTGCTTTTCTTAGAAACGGCAAATTAATTGTGATATCAGCTGAAAAAAACAAAAAAATAAATACTAAGCCATTAATTGGTACGATTTTTTAATATTTTGCTGTTTTCGAATCCTTATAAGACCTTATAGGTCAGAAAAATTAGATTTTTAAGAAGTAATTTATCGTAATTTATTTGTGTTTAAAACAATCTGTTAGATTGTAAGTTTAGGGTGAGAAAAACTGAAAAAAAACTTTAAGCTGAAAAAAAAATAGTTTTTGGTATTTTTTTTTGTTGTCTACCGAGTCTTAAAAGGGTAAAAAAAATCAGACGTCAGAAACTAATTCAATTTACCTAAAAAATATGGCATTTAAAACAATAAAACCTAAAATTTTCTAAAAAATACAAAAAAAAATTGTTTTTTTTCTTTAGAAAATATTAAATTATTATTACTCACTTATATCAAAGAAATGTCCTCTCCTAAGGACGTAAGCAATGATACCTAAAAGGATCAAGATAAGACCTAGAATCAGTAACACCCAGCCTGAAGATCTAGATTTCTGGACAGTCATATGTTCCACAGCTTCTAGTATCAACGTCCTCGTACCGTTGTACCTAGACGGAGGGTAGTCTGAAAAAACCCACAAATACATCCTGTATTTAAAATTCAATTAACTATACAAGAAACATTGACTAGAGATAACTATAAAACAAAAAAATCGCGTTTTTTTTAACCTTCGCTTTTTTAAGTTCATATAAAAAAAAATTTTTTTTTCATAATTTCCAGGTTAAAAGTGAAAGATTGTTGCCATTAAGGCCGATTTAACCGATTTTTATTCCTTATATAAAAAATATTTTAAACTTATTAGTTACTAGCTGTCGCCCGCGACTCCGTCTGCTTGGAATTAAAAAAATCAAAAGCAGTCTATATGCTTTTCCAGACTATCCTCTACATCTATGCCAAATTTCAACGAAATCGGTTCAGCCGTTTAGGCTACAAAGGCTAAAAAACATCCATCCATCTAAACTTTGATTGCTTTATAGGTATTTTTTAAATTACCCTCACTGAAAAAATATTTTTTTTCTCTAATATCAGAGACAAATTAACTTACTATAGAAGAATTTGAAATGATAGTCGTCTTTAGGCAAGCCGTTCTCAAAACCTGAGGTTTTCCGAACTTTAGCAACTGGCTTCGGATGTAACTTTGTATTCATCCAGATAATAAACCTATCATTCTAAAACAAGGAGAAAACACAATTATTGTTACCTTACCACAAAAAATATAGTCAAAGGCTGTTAAAATGGCTTCAACTTCAATCTCCGGCAAAACAAAAAACCAAAAAATCTTTGGGCTTTTGCCACTGACTCGGTCCACGTTGAATAAAAAAAAATTAAGTAGACAATATTTTTTTCCAGACAACATCTTATTCAGGCTACAAACTAACAAACATCCATCCATCTAAACTTTCTCATTTATAATATTAGAATGAAGTTTTTTTTTTTTGGACAAAATATACAAAAAATATTTGCTATATATTTTAACTTGTATTAAAAATTATTATAACTCACCAAAAACCCTGTAAAATTTCCTTGTCCAATATCCCAAATACTCATTGGCCAGTTAACTGGTTTTGTAAATTCTTGCACTGCGACTTCATTTAAAAAAAATAGAAAAAAAATAAAAAAAAAACAAAACAGCTCACCCATTCAATTTTTATAACACAGTAGAAAGAAATATATTTAAAGATATAAGAGGTAATTTAAGGCTTTACGAATTTGCCCCAGCTTCACTTGAGTGCAGGGAATATCTCTTCTCTGTCATATCCATACCCTTCCCGTCGTTGTAAAATATATTGTCATTAAGTAATACAGCTTTGTAATGGCAAAAGACTTTTTAATCGTGAGTAGTTTGTGAGTTTAATTGTTACATAAAAAATTACAATTTCCAAATACTAGGTTTCGCCCGCGACTCCTACCGCATGGAATTAAAAAAAGTAGCTTATGTGTTCTTCTAAAGTATATATATATCTGTGCCAAATTTAAATCCGTCTAGCAGTTTAGGTTAACTCTAACAAACATCCAAACTTTCACATTTATATAGCTACTAGCTTTCGACCGCGACTCCGTCCGCGTGAAATTAAAAAAAAAACAAAAATGAAACAAAACAAACAGAAGCCTATGTGTTCTTCAAAACTGTCCTCCATATCTATGACAAATTTCGTCTCTCCAACTCTAACATCCATCCATCCATCCATCCATCCCTCTAAACTTTCGCATTTATAATATTAGTTAGAAGTTAGATAAATACTTACTGATATTGACTGGGTTTTTGTATTTTTTCCTTTCAGCATCAGAAATAAGACCCATTTCATCCATTTGTATTTGCATTTGCGTATTGAATAAACGATAGGTATCTAAAAAGTTAAAAAAAATATAAAAAATGTGAAAAAAAAAAATTTTTTAAGTGGAAAACGAGCAAATGGCTAAACGTCTACATTAAGAGCGGGCGCAAATCTTTGACTAGACTAATACATGTGCGACTGTCGATTGTTTCGCAGCCAACTGTTTAGTCGCACAACTAAAAATCGAGTAGCGCACTTCCATATAAGCTCAAAGGAATCAAAGTGAGAAACAGTTGTGCGAGTTTAGTCAAAGGTCGCAACTGTTCTACAGAACATTTTTTATTGCTTTCCCCAAATATAATCTTGTCTCTGACATCCGTGCGTAATTAAAATAAAACTTAAATATAGTTTGTCTAAAAATAGATTAGTTTGATAAATGACGAATATGAAGTATCGAATTCATTTTGTATGAAGGCAAATGCCGTACTTAATAGACAGGTATCGTAGTGACGAAACACGCAGCGAACAATTATGAACTATCGATATTCGGTTTAAATAATTATAAAACTCAACTAAAATTAATATTTTCTTATTCACTAATTTAGAGGACATTTCTAGTATTGATTATAGTGTAGAGAATTTAGCGATGACAGAAATAATAGCGAAATCCAACTCGATTACTTACGGTAAGTAGTAATAAACATTTATTTACTCTCATTATTTGTTATGGTCATTAATTTGAGAAAAAAGGTTTTTTTTTTAATTCACAAGTTATAACTATAAATCTATCGATTCCAACTTCTATAAGAATAAAAATCGAATATCGATAAGATTCCTGACTGATTACACAACCCATCCCTACTAAATTTGAAATTAATTGTCAAACAAATCTAAATTATTTAAACACACTATAGTAGCCAATGTTTTTTTCTAGAATTTTCTCATTATCAAAGTTCAGGAAAATCCGTTGAACCGTTCTAAAAACTACACTAATATAAAGCGGAAAGATTTGCATTTTTGTATGCATTGGAATAACTCAAAAACTACTGGGCTAATTTTAAAAATTCTTTCACCGTTAGAAAGGTAATTTATCTGTGAGTAACATGGGATTTTTTTTTAATTTTACGCGAACGATATCGCGAGGAACAGCTAGTGGATAATGTTAACAAAATTAGTACTCTCTCTCTAGATTATCGGCATAAACGTCACGTCCCTTTTTTTTATAACATAAGGTGACAAACGAGCAAGCGGCCACTAGAATCCGCGAAAATGGCGAATCGACCGCTGCCCATAGACATCCGCAATTGCAGAAGCGTTGCCTACCCTTATACGACGGAGGAGGAGACGCACATAAAGAGGATATTGCCTCTTCCTGTGCATCTCCTCCACCGTCAAATCCACTTCCTCTTCCCAACCTCTTCTTATAAGAAAAGGGTGGTAAAGAGAAAGGGACTTAAATTAGGCCTCCGGCACCACACTCATCAGACGAAACACGGAATTGTTGTCATTTCACGTCTGTTTTCTGTGTGGTCGTAGTATTACTGGGGGCGTGCCGGCCTATTCGTGCTAAGATGTTAAAGCGGGCACTACCACTGTTGTCCCTAGCTGACAGCTGTCAATGTCGCAAGAAGGATGAATATGGGCGCGCAACCTGGGTCTGGACGAGAAGTGTTACTCTGAGTTCAGAGCGACAGTATCAATTGAATAAGTTGTCTAAATGTAATAACAAGCGTCCATCTATCTAAACTTCATGTATTAAGGAAAAAACTAAAAAACCCAATTGGGGAAATTCCTATTTAGTTTTTTATAGGATTTATTTGTGATAATTTTTCCGTCAGCTTTTTTACTTCATTACGTTTTGTAACACTTCCATTAAAAATAACATTTAATAAAACAAAGCGTTAAATATGCCATTGTCTTTTTTTATTAGACAAAAATAAATTTTAAAAAATACAATAAAACTATTAAAAGCAGTACAAAAACCTACAGGAATTAAGAGTCCCTCGCTTAGTTTATAACAAACTAGTTGTTGCTTGCGATTTCGTCCGCGTAAAATAAAAAAATAGCCTTTATTACTAACAAATAAATTTCCATTGTAATAGTGAATGAATTTTTAAAAAAAGACCATTACTTTTTGAGTTATTTCAACACACAAAAATACAAAATTTTTCTCTTTACAATATTAGTGCATAAAACCTCGATAAGTTAAAGTGCAAGGGAAACACAAAATATTTTAAGTTACAGAGGTTTTAAGTTATCAAGGGTCTATGTTGTAGGGGTTTTGGGCTCTGATGGGAAGGGAACATATTATTTTTTGAAGTTATGGAGGTTTTTAAGTTATCGAGGTTCTACTGTAGAAATAAAAAAAAATAACCTATGATAAAAATAACGTAGCTTAACGGCTACTTACCATTGAACATAGCGTCAGCTAATCCTCCACATGGGACAATTGGTTTGATTCCCATAGTGGTGTTCGAGTATTGGTACGGTTGACACTTATCTGATGGTGGCATTGTTAACACACCTGACCATTGAGTGGGGTCACTGAAAATTTTACACACGAAGAGGTGGTAGAGCCCACTTTAACATCTTAGTACTTTTTTTTATAACATAAGGTGGCAAACGAGCAAGCGGCCACCTGAAATCGCCAAAATGGCGAAGCGACCGCTGCCCATAGACATCCGCAATTGTAGATGCATTACCTACCCTTAACTGACGGAGGAGGAGACGCACATAAAGAGTATATTTCCCCTTACTGTGCATCTCCTCCACCGTCAAATCCACTTCCTCTTCCGAACCTCTCCTTATAAGAAAAGGGTGGTAAAGAGAAAGGGACTTAAATTAGGCCTCTGGCACCACACTCATCAGACGAAACACGGAATTGTTTCCATTTCACGCCTGTCTTCTGTGTGGTCTTGGTATTACTGAGGGCGTGCCGGCCAATTCGTGCTAAGATGTTAAAGCGGGCACTACCACTGTATGCTGCATGGCTCGCTTCAATACGACCACACAGAAGACAGGTGTAAAGTGGGCAACGGGGGGGGTGGTCATGAAGGTCATAACCCCCCCCCCTAAACCGGTTGGTGAAGAGCTTGACAAAATATATTAACATATTTCGTCAAACTCTTGACTTGGCCACGACTATGTGACCCCTCCTGGCGCCAAAGCTGGATCCGCCCTTGGAAGTGGGAGCAATTCCGCGTACACTCTAGTGAGTGTGGTACCGGAGAAAAGTGGATTTGACGGTGGAGACGCATAGGAAGGGGAAATATCCTCTTTATGTGCGTCCCTTTCTCCACTAACTAAAGGTAGGCATCTGCGAATGCGGATATCTATGGGCAGTGGTTGTTTCGCCATTTTGGCGGACTGAAGTGGCCGCTCGCTCGTATGCCACCTTAGGTGTTTGCTACGTTCCATCATGTTTTTATATATACTCTGTACACATTTTTTTTATCTGTGCAATTCTTCATGCCAACATATTACATACTCTAGATTCACTTTCCTCTCTTCCTCATCCAAGACAATTGTAAAAACCAACTAAATCAGAAACCTTTTCTAAAGTAACAGAATTTTATTTAAATTCGTTTTCCTGTATGGAACAATCTATACTTCTATACTATTATAAAAAAGTTCTTTGTTGCCTAAGATGTCAGCAATTACAGCATATTTTTGAATAATTCTTTCTTTAATAAAAAGCACTACAATTACGTCACGCTTTAGGCTATATATTTCCACGCTATAAAACTTAGGGGGTAAATATTTTGGATAAAAACCCTAATGTGGGAAAGAGACCTTAAGTTGCTGCGAACATCAAGAAAGAAAGATTGCCAAGGTTTGTCATGTCGTGTCATTTTGACATTGATCGTCGGTGGCTCAGTGGTTTGAACACTTGACTTGTAATCTACAGGTCTTGGGTTCGAATCCCGCCGTACCAATGTGATTTTAGATTTTTCGAATTTTCACATGTACCTAATTTACCCGACGTTCTTACGGTGAAGGAAAACATCGTGATGCACATATCGGTGAAGAAATTCAAAGATATGTGTGAAGTCAACCCGCAGTGCAGGTTGACTATGTCCTAGTCACTAACTTAGGGTAGGCTCCGAGCCCCTCAGTGGGGACGTATAGTGAGCTGGTAATGATGATGAATTGATAATTTGACAAATGTAAACAATAAAATAAAATTTTCATAATTTCATGCGGATGAAGCCGCATGGGAACAGCTAGTATAAAATAAAATAAGTACACATACCTGGAATTAAATAATGGTCCAAATGTTTCTTGATATCCATCCAATTGATAGTATATAGTGACATTTCCTTTATAGTCTTCATTCAATTTGAAATAAATGTCACATTTGCAGTCTCCACCGTTATTCTCGTTAAGATATTGAGCACAAGTTTGGTCGACGTCTCTATTATTCTTACAATTAGTGTAATCTATTGGTAATCTTTTTATATTTACCTTTGTTTCATTCTGAAAAAATAATATAAAAATATAACCTATGTTATTCATAGATAAATTACCTTTCTAACGGTGAAAGAATTTTTGAAATTGTCCCAGTAGTTTTTGAGTTATTTCAATACATACAAAAATACAAATATTTCCTCTTTATAATATTAGTATAGATTACCACGAAGTAATGTGCTTTTATACTTTACAAGCTTTCGCCCGTTACTCCGTCCGCGTGGAATAAAAAAAAAAAGAAGTGAGTAACATATGTGTTCTCCCAGACTATCTCCTACATCTATACCAAATTTTATTGAAAACCGTTCATCCGTTTTGGCTACAAACTCTAACAAACATCCATCCATCTAAACTTTCGCATTTATAATATTAGTATGATGTATGATTATATTAGCATACTAGCTTTGGCCCGCGACTCCGTCCTCGTATAATAAAAAAAATCAAGTACCCTATGTGTTCTTCTTGAATATCCTCTACATCTATACCAAATGTCATAGAAATCCGTACAGCCGTTTAGGCTACAAACTCTAACAAACATCCATCTATCTAAACTTTCACATTTATAATATTAGTCCCATATCTTTTATTTCTTATTTTCTATACAATACATTTTACATTACATTTGATATAAAAATAAAATATATTATATAAAAAATAAAGCACCACCGGCTGCGGAATCCGATGACTCAAGCAACCAGTGGTCAGGGCTGCAGAGACAGGAAACTCCTCACAATACGTGCGGTTTCTAAAATAACCACCTTTTGAATCAGGCCCTTAAGCCAACTGTCTAGCGAGAGCTTTTTGAGGTGTTGGTCGAAGCTCTTCGCTATCAGCCCGTGCACCGAAACGACCATCGGAATAATGGTAGTCGATTTCATATGCCATGTGTGAGTCTATTATTATGATAGTATATTAGTAGATGACGAAAGAAACTCAATAACTTACGACAGTACTGCAAACCCGAATGATTCCCACTATAAGGAATACTAAAGTCAAAGCAGTATACACTCCTAAAGATAGTTTTATAGCCGTTGATTCTGAAATAATAAAAAATAACCCTAAATTATGCACTAGATTATAAAATGGAAACTTCAGCAACTTAACTGAAGTTTCAAAATAATTTAGGTGTATTTTAAGATCAGAGTGTTATTTGTTTTTTTATTACTGTTAACGTGATAAGCACCTCTGAATGCTGCCCATCAGTACAGGCTGAAGACCAGCTTTACTGGCAACAACTGAACCTGTTGTCGGTTCATGTAAACATTACTGCATAAGAAACTGTATTCTGTTTTTTTTTATAAGAATAAAGATGTTTTATTTTATTTTCTTTAAAGTAGAACCTTGATAACTCAAACCTATATAACTTCAAAAAATAATATGTTCCCTTCCCATCTGAGCTCAAAACCTCTACAACCACATACATAGACCCTTGATAACTTAAATCTTCTAGAACTTAAAGTATTTTGCGTTTCTCTTGGACTTATCAAGGTTCTACTGTATTTTGTTTGTTTCTATATGTGACCAAATGTAATATTAAGGATTTTTTTTCCTTTCTTCTGTATAACTCTGTGTTCTAATTTAGGGTTTATTGAAGACCAAAGAGTATACATAAGCACATGCCCAATGTATTCCTTTTCTTTTAAATACATTAATATCTTTTTTGGCTTGTATCAATAGGGATTTGGCACAACACTAGTAGAGTATAATAGTTTCTTTTTATAAATATTAGTGTACTGTGCTTGGATTCACTTTGAAAGTTTCAGTCATAGAATTGTTAAGTCCATAAACCATTTAATGTGACATAATTAGAGGTGACAACCACAAGCTGCCTATTTACAGTTCACAGGTCAAAATTACTTCTCTATTAGAAATTTTATTGCATATAAACTATTCTTCATTAAGTTCTTTTTTTATAGTTATTCCATTTTTTATATTTTGTACTTTGTATTTTTTTTTGTTGTTTAACTTTCTGGTTCATTCATACATTAACAATTTGTAAAATATTTCTATTATGGAAGACCAATACAAGCTGTACAAACTACCACTATCCCTACATTGTAATAATCTGTTGGTTTTCCTTGAAAATAAATAAATAAAAATGCATATCTCTAGGTAAAAATAAAGCTGTTGTGGGAGATTGATCAGGTTACCAATATCAGTTCAAACATGTCTAGTTTACTGCATTATTAGAGATAAAAAAAATACATAGAGAAGGCATTATTGACACTTTACAGATTATCATCACTAACGCTATCTATTGATAGATCCTCAAAACCAATGATTGTATTTGAATTAATTGCCAATAGATTTAGTACCTTTTAGAGAAAGAACCAGTGAAAATATTTTGTTCAGTATGCTTTATATTGTCTTCCTTTTGAATTTAGGTATATTTTAAAATGGAAATAGAGATATATCTTTTTGACTAAACTTTTTGGTTATACTAAAAATAACTGAATTCAAATACTTACTTTTTAGTTCCATTGTATGACAATTAGATTTAATATAGTTAATAATTAAATCACTATTTTGATAAACTCAGCATTGCTCAGTCAAAAAAAATTTTATTTTAAAAAACGTAAATGAAACTGGTGACTAATAAACACTAATAAAGTCCTTGGAGTATTCTTGCATCATAAAAATATTTGATTAAAAGGTCGTTTACACTTGGCCAGTACAGTTGGTCAGTAACGCTCTGTTAGACTGTCAATTGCCTGACATAGTGACAATGTCAATTGCTGTCGCGACTGTCCAGGTGTATTGGCCAAATGTAAACCGAGTATAAAAAACGCTAAAGTACTTGACAGCTGACAGATCCCTATTTCCCTGACAGTGACAGCTTGTTTTGACAGTGTTCTGGTCATTCGAGAAATCGTTTTTAATTTCGATTTTAAATTTAATTAAAAAAAAAATCCCTACACATACTATGATGCTGAGTTTCTCAATTTATTGTTACAATAATTAAAACATGAAAATGTATATTTGTTAGGTAACTCCAGATCATTTAATTTGGCTTAAATTAGCTTGGAAAATTTGAATAAAAGCGCATGGGTTGTTAATTACTGTACAAAAGACGCGGACAAAACTAGAGATTTGATAAATTAAGTTAATGAAATATTTAGCTATTTGGACATTCTGTTTCTCTTTTTCTACACTTTCTATTAAATTTTATCCCTTCATTTATTTTAAAAGTAACTTTTGTGCGCAGTTCCATCGAGGCGAAACTACAAAAAAAATTTCGTAGCTTATGTTCTTACAGATTATATACTGCGTCTGCGACAAAAAGCGAGAGTTCAGTCGTTATCTATACAAACAAACAACCATCCATCTATACCCATTTATATTAACAGGTAACATTTAATTCTTTGGTCAATTTTCAAATTATGCCAATCTTAACACAATTTTACGGATTTTATCCGTGACCAAGCTTTTGTGATCAAAATATCGGGGACATGAGAAATAAAATAAGCGTGATATCGGTAAAATAATTAATTTAATTTCGTGTACTCGTGTAGGCAAGTTTTTAGTTAAAAAAATCAGTAAAAAAACAACAACTTGATGGAATATAATTTATTATTCAATACTTTATCGTAAAAATACATTTAAACATGGTAAAATAAATAATAAAAACTGTTCAACAGTTTAAAATAAACATGAAAATTTTCACATGTACAAAAAAAACTAAAAAAAAAATACTGTTATTGATTTGACAGCGTTTAAAAATCTATAGTTTTTATTTCTTCACTAATATACTTTAAGAGCAGCACCTTTGACTAGACTATCGCAGGACTGTTAATCTCGTTTTCCTATAAGCTTATGTGGAGGTGAAAATTCAATTTTTAGTTGTGCAACTAAACAGTTGTATTACGAAACAATCGACAATCGCACAACTGTTGTGCGAGAGTTTAGTCAAAGGTATACACGCTCTAAAAATGATTTATTAATTTAAAAAGCATTAATATAATATATTTTTATTAATAAGAGCTATGATCTAGTAAACATGATTGGTTTAAATTCATCGAGAAAATAAAAAAAAATGAATAAAAAAGCAAGTGTCAATAATCACAATTACTATAAAAATAATACAAGAGAAAAAAAAGAATAAGGAATTTGTTGCGTTTGAGATTTGTCATATGGTCAATTTGCCCATTTTACGAAATCCATTTATTTCTATTGCTAGTTGGAGTTAAAATAGTTCTAGTTCGACGAGATGGGGACATAAACTAGAAAGTGTTAAGAATGAATGTGGGCTACAAAGGTAGAGGAAGACCGAAGAAAGTATGGATTGTGTGAATGAGGATATGCTTAAGAAAGGAGTGGATTCAGATATGGCTGATAGAGATGTATGGAGCACATACTGTGCCGACCCTACATAAGGGATAAGGGCAAGTTGATAATGCTAGAGGAAGTTAAGAACATTTACGGCTTTACTATATTATTTCATAAAAGCAGAGCTCTACAGTTTAAAATAGCGAAATAAATTAATCTAGTATTTAGTTAGGTATATGATGTTTATTTGGGAAAACTTCACGTAATATCCGATAGCAGTCTTCCCAGGGGACGACTTTCGCCTTAACCTGTGGATTGGGAGAGGATAAAGTCTTCTTGATGAGATCGTCTAAGGGGTAACCTCTTCTCGGGAATACTGTAGCCTGAAAAAAAAACTTTTATGGTCTAATGTTCGGTTTGTGAAACATTTAATATGGTAACCCTGGGAGGAAATGTCAAAGCAAACGAAACAATCTATACTATTATAATAAAGCATAAACACACACTTTTTTGTTGCCTAAGATGTCAACAATTACAGCATATTTTTGAATATTCCTTTTTTTAATACAACGCCCTACGCTCACGTCACCCTTTAGACTATATATTTTGACGCCATTAAACCTAGTGGGTAAATATTTTGGATAAAAATCCTAATGTGGGAAAGAGACCATAAGTTGCTGCCAACATCAAGGAAGCAAGGTTGTCATGGTTTGACATGTCATGCCATTTTGACATTAGCAATTGATAATTTCACAAATGTGAACAATAAAATAAAATTTTCATAATTTTATGCGGATGAAGTCGCACGGGAACAGCCATTATATAAACCATATTAAAAATAGGTTAATCGCAATTTTAATTTGAATTGCATTCAAAAATTTTAAGTCAGTATAAAAAACGGTCAAATCAATGTATTCATTTACTTTCTTTTTAATTGCTGTTCTTACAGAGATAGTCTTCGAGAGCAGTTAAGTCAGATTGTTTTTTAAGTTATCGACGTGGGCGTCGATGACTCAGTGGTTTAACCACGACTTGTAATCTACTAGCCTTGGGTTCGAATCCTGTATCAATGTGATTTTCGGTTTTTCGAAATTACATATGTACATAATTTACCCGACGTTACGGTGAAGGAAAACATCGTGATGCACATATCGGCGAAGAAATTAAGATATGTGTGAAGTCAACCCGCAGTGCAGGTTGACTATGGCCTAGTAACTAACTTAGGGTAGGCTCCGAGCCCCTCGGTGGGGACGTATAGTGAGCTGGTTTTCATTCTTTTATTTTTTTCTGCCATTTTGATTTCCACACTCAGACTGTTAACATCCGCCAGAATGGCACTATTCCAATACGTCAAAATGACATTGACAGCTGTCATAGGGATGGGACGTTTATCCAAGGATCTAGTGTTGCGCGTACCCTCCAGTGCGGTACCGATTTTCTTAACCATACTTACATGAGGTGGTAACGTAGTAGCAGGACAGAAGTCATTCCTGCCATCACCGCTGTAAATAATATTGGCGTACGGTTTCTGACACCATTGACCTAGAGCTATCGACTTGCAGAGATTGGTCGGGCAGCGGGGGCAAGTTGACTGGTGCATACACGGCTCTATGTACAGGCGGTTGTTTTTCCAGAACGCCCTATTAGTTACTACAGCGCGTACTGCGTCCTGGGAATAATCATACTAATATTATAAAGAGGAAAACTTTGATTGTAATGCAAACGCTTAAAAATGACTGGACAATTTTCAAAAATTCTTTCAACTTTCGAAAGCCACATTATCCACAAGGTTACTCGCTATATTAATAGGGTATGTTTTTTAATAATTCCACGCGGGCAAAGTCGCGGGTAACAGCTAGTAGTTCAATAAAAAACAACTTCTATACTTCTATTCCTTAAGGAAAGGACGAAACAGATTTCACAGGTGAGGAACTAATAGAAAAACTATAAGTTGGTAAACGAGCTAATGGTCACCTAAATTCGCCGAATTAAGTCCCTTTCTCTTTACCACCCTTTTCTTATAGGAGAGGTTGGAAGGAGGAAGTGGATTTGATGGGGGAGAAGTTGCATAGGAAGGGGAAATATCCTCTTTATGTGCGTCTCCTCCTCCCTCGTATAAGGGTAGGCAAAGCATCTGCAATTGCGGATGTCTATGGGCAGCGGTCGCTTCGCCATTTCGGCGGTTTCAGGTGGCCGCTTGCTCGTTTGCCACCTTATATAAAAAAAAATCTAGAGTAACACATCAGCAAAACATCAAGTTCCTGTGGGATACGTTTTTTTCGTTTTTCATAGTTCGTATGTTTTACTGCGCGGTTGAAGTCGAGATAAAAGCTAGCATAGTATAAACATACACTATGCTTATAAACATTTAACGATGACGTCATTTGGCTTCTTAAAACACGCGATCTATTTCCACGCAATATTTTATTTAGTTCGCCATTCTATTTTTAAACTTGGCTCAAGAGAATTTACATTGGTGATAAGTCAATAGTTAATTTAACTAGAAGATAAAAAGAAGAAACGGACTATGAAGAGTTTCCACACCAGGGTCTTTTAAGAAGCAAGCGTAATCAGCAGCAAAAAGGCTGGCAACTCGACCATTTGAGGACCTTAACTTTTTTTATAGTATAAGACGGCAAACGAGCAAGCGGCCACCTGAATCCGAATCCTGAAATGGAAAGCGATCGCTGCCCATAAACATCCGCAATTGCAGATGCATTACTCTTCATTGACGAAGGGGACGCACATAAGGAGGACATTTCCCCTGTCTATGCGTTTCCTCCACCATCATATCCACTTTTCCTTCCCATCCTCTCCTCTTAAGAAAAGGGTGGAATGAGAAATGGACTAAAATTAGGCTTCCGACACCACACTCATCAGATGAAACGCGGAATTGCTTCCACTTCACGCCTGTTTTCTGTATGGTCGTGGTATTACACCAGTCGAGCCAGCCCATTCTTGCGAAGATGTTAAAGCGACTTAGGTTTTATTTAGGTTACCTTGAGGAGCTAGTTCTTACCTGCAGTCCATGTGTTTTCAGCCAGTGGTTCACAAAGACGGTATTGGCGTCTGTTAGGATGAGCACATCCCAGTCGTTAGCCGCAAGGGTTGTGATCAGCTCTTCAACCCCCGGGGTAGGTCGCATGGAGGCGATGCTGTCGAGGATGTCATCGGGGTGCATGCCCGCGGAATACGCGTGTTCAAATACCTAGTGATAAAAGAAATAACATTTTTATCTACTAACATTATAAGGAGGAAAGATTTGTATTTTTGTATGTATTGAAATAACTCAAAAAATATTTGGACGATTTCAAAAATTCTTTCACTATTAGAAACATAATTTATCTTTGAGTAACATAGGCTATATCTTTTAACATTTTTTTTTGTTTCATTGGGACGGAATCGCGGGCGACAACTATATATTTGTATTTCTTTAGTCTTAGATAATTTCCTGTCCACTTCTGTGTAGCCATTTTTAAAACGACCCATTTCATACATGGTCTAATTATATGGATGAAGGTTAAAAAAAAACTTAAAGGTATGGTACAAGTGATAAACTTAACGCGATAATACTTAACTAAATAAATCTAGAATGTAATCAGATGTGAATAGCTACGAAGGTGGAGTAAGGCAGAAAGGAAGTAAATTCAGATATACAGGCTGATAGAGATGTATGGAAGAATACATATCACATATAGGGGAAAAGGACAGGAATATAGAGAAAGTATTTGACAAGTTGTACATTATTTCCTTCTTCCTGATATTACACGCTATCTATACTATTATAATAAAGCGTAAACACACACTTCTTTGTTGCCTAAGATGTCAGCAATTACAGCATATTTTTGAATAACTATTTTTTTTAATAAAAAGCCCTACACTTGCGTCACGCTTTAGGCTATATATTTTCACGACATTAAACTTAGACGGTAAATATTTTGGATAAAAACCCTATAAAAAAGACACCAAAGTTGCTGCCAACACCAAGAAAGAAAGATTGCTAAGGTTTGTCATGTCACGTCATTTAGACATTTAGTATTGATGATTTGACAAATATAAACAATGAAATAAAATTTTCATTATTTCATGCGGATAAAGCCGCTCGGGAACAGCTAGTCGCTTATAACTTAAGGCAGCGCCAGAATAGAAACCACGTTCACTGTCGAGTCAAGGTCGTACGCGTGTATTGATTCGAAGCCAAAACTAAAGCCATGGCCACGAATTTGTTGGAATTAAACTATTTCTACGATTATGAAAAAAAAAATTCACTATATGAAAATTTGATGTTATTGCTTGCCTAGTAAAATAAATTGTCGATGTTTATTATAGGTATCATTAAAGTCAATTTAAACCACACTAAAGGTGTCCCTTAACAGTGCTGGTTTTGACTGTAGTAGCGTCATTACCAAGATTTTATTGCACTCTCATTTTTACCATGACTTGAGTTTGGAGAAACCACCGGTTTAAGAGTGTTATTTGACATTATTACCCAATCCTGTCAGTCGCCTGTAGCTTAAAGTTAAGTTAGAGAAATTGACTATAAGTGAAATTTTAACCACTTATCGACTAGCACTCCAAGACAAAATAAATCACTGACATTTTTTTTAATATAATAATAACTAGCTTTTGCCCACGACTCCGTCCGCGTGGAATAAAAAACAAAAATAAGTATCCTATTTATTCTTCCAGACTATCCTCTACATCTTATGACAAATTTCACGAAGATCCGTTCAGCAGTTTAGGCTATAAACTGTAACAAACATCCATACATCCAAACTTTTTTTATTAATAAGACTAGTAAGATAATAATGGTAATAGGAATGTGGAACTAAGTGCAATGGAAGCCTACATTAATCACGATAGAATCGCGTGCTGTGACGTCAGAAATTAACGTCTGGACCGACGTTACGAAAGATCTTCGAAGAATTGTACACGGAAGTTATCTTCATAATTGTATACACGTGCGAAAGACTTGTGAAAACGACAATTTTACCCGACAGACAGGGTAAAGTGGCCAACGCCAGAGAAATAGTCGTGACAGAGTCTGAGTTAGTACTCCCGGCGCCCGATTTTAGATTACATATGAAAAAATGCATAAAAGGGCGCCTCTTTTTGTCGCCTGTGGCGCCCTTTTACGTCCGGCGCCCTGGGGTGCCCCACCTTAACGACTAAGGGCAGCAAACTTAAGGGTTGCAACTGACTGTATATATATTTTTTTAATGTCAAAAGGCTTTTTCTTGAAGAATTCTCGCATTCATAACTAACGTCCTTCTTGTTACATGCGATTCATCCCTTCTTATAATAATAACAAGCACATAATTCTTTAATTCCACGCGGTCTAATGCGGTCAAAAGGCTACCGAGGCAATTACATAGACCTCAATCTTCGTTATCAGTAACTTACCGATAAAGTTGATCGAGATATTATCTGATAAGCCAAGTTCATTTCAATGTCAGGGCTGTCACAAAAACTTTTTTTTACTTCTTTTTAACATAAATAAACCAACGCTTGACCACGACTCCACCTAACCTACATAAGTGAAGACGCGGCTGAAGAATAAACCGCGCCAGCTCAATAAGTGCCGATTCACCCTGCTAAACTAACTGCTAACTTTAAGTTTTCATTCACACTGTGCTAGTTGTCAGTCCAGTTATCGACCAACTGTATTGGCCTAGTGTAAACCGCGCATATCTCTTCCGATAGTTTGCTTTTCATTTTAAATCGGACTCCAAAATGGGATGGCAAATTTATTTACCTTAAGGATAAATTATTCTACATAAGGAAATTACAATTGTTTTGGAGTGTGACGTCATAGCGTGCAAACACGAACACCACACGTGCTCTGAACAATTACGTAAGCAAACCGTCGGTTTCCATTGCCGTAACGATTATATGGCTACGTGCACATGACATCATTATTCGTGTTCTAATATTCTTTGTCTGTGACAAAATTAACTGTGTATTTTAACAGTGGTCGGCTCGGCCCAGCAATATCACGACCACACAGAAGACAGGCATGAAGTGTGATTAATTCCGCGTTTCTTCTGAGGAGTGTGTTGCCGGCGGCCCAGCTTTAGTCCCTTTTCCTTCCCACTTTTTTTCTTATAAGGGTGGGAGGTGGATTTCACGGTGCAGGAGACGCATAGAAAGGGGAAACATCCTCTTATCTGCGTCTCCTCCTCCGTCGCAAAGGGTAGGCAACGCATTCGCGAATGTCTATAGGCAACGGTCGCTTTGCCAATTTGGATTCAGGTGGACGATTGCTCGTTTGCCTCCTTATGATGTAAAAAAAAATTCCATAGAGGTCCTTTGAGTGGTTCAGTAAATATATCAAAACGTTCGTATTAATTTTGAGTAAGATGTATGACTAATTTTTATTAAAAAGATACAAAGAGAATATTTTAGTGTAAGTAGGAAAAAACAAATTAGATATTATGATCTTTTTTATCTAATTTTCTATTAGCCGGTTTCCCAGCTACGTTTAACCATTCTGTAGGGTTTATGGTTCCATAAATTCGTGAATACCGATTCCGAATTTCTTAACTTTTACTCCGTTGTAACTTAACCTGACACTAATGGATCTCTAGGTAGTAACAAAATAAATGGAAACTCCAAAAACCAGCATAAAAGACGATAGTTAAGCTTTTTGAAGTTTCTGATTTAAATATCTCGTAATAATGACATTCAAGGTCGTAGAAACAATTAAAAAAAAATCGGAAAAACTCAGTTACGAGCGTCTTTATTTATTTAACTACAGAAAAAAGAGGTGCTAGTACCATATTATTACAAACAAACGAAAAATGAAATGGTTAGAGAATTAACATAAACGTGAAATAACGACTTGTACAAAGCCATTTCAATAAATAAAAAAAACTATTTCTGAACGGTACAGAAAAAAAAACTTTAAATGAATTTCGAAATAGGAACAAAGCTTGAGTTAAATAACGAACGTAAAGTTTTTTTTGGCGTTATTTAAGAAATAAAAAATAAACTTACATTGCTCATATAAGGTGTCCAGTCGTGGTTCCCAGCTTCCCATTCCGGCGGAGGTTTTTTTTCGCGTAATCTATTGATAATTGTGGCATCGGAATCATCGTCAACTATTGTACGATCAAAATCAAATATTGCTAAAGACGCCATGTTTTTAAAATGCGCGCGCAATCTTCCGCAGTTGCAAGGACAATGATGTTTCACCAAAATTATGTCATAAATGTGTCATGCTACGATAACAATTGGTTATTAAGAATTTTTCCAGCTACTACCGTTTGCGCGCGCAAAGTACGAGTGAAAAATCTCACTGTTTTATTTTAGTTTTCCTGAGTTTTTCTTACAATACAGATTATAATGTTGCTGAAACTGAAAAAATGACATGACTCGTAAACGTTCCGTTTTGACATTATTCTTTTCGTGCTAAAATGTCAATCTTGAAGGCTTTAACTGTTATAATGTAACGCGTTTCAGAGGTAATTTTATTTTACATTAACTTTCAATGCAATAATTAACAATCTTAAAATTCGGAAGTCGTTTTATCGCTACTTTAAAAATAAATTGAAAATTTACAAAAAATATTAAAAAGCGCATGTCACAGCCAGTTACGGCAGTTGTGATAAAAAAAATAATTTGACAATTGACAGATAAAGATAAGAATTAGACAAGACATAACCTCATACGTGTTTTTTTAATAAATTCCTATAAATTACAAATTAAATCTCACCAAAAAAATGGCTTCACTGAAAGTATATTCAGTTGGTAGACTTGTTAAATATGTAACAGATTCCAGTCTACGATTGCGGGGGAATATTTACAGGTAAACCATTGCGCAACCAAACTTAGACAACCTAAAAAAATTAAATGTATAAAAAATGAATTATTTACGAGTGACTTGCGTTTTAAATTAACTAAATTATATATTAAACAAACATTTCTTATGTTTTAATAACAAGTAACAAGTTAGAATATTTCATCATGCGATGTATGTAATTTTCAATCACGTATTAATTTTTATATTAAAATAAACCTAGTAATTTACCAAATAAATAAAATAAGTACAAAAACCAGTTTCTTAAATTAGAAAAACGAAAATTGCCTGTATGATTGCAAAATATAAGTAAATTTACAAAATGCTGTAACCAGGGTATATCTGATTCCAGATCTTCAGTCAGTCGGTATAGTACTGAAGAGAAGGCTGCAGAAGATGCATCTGGTGATAAACAGCTGCCCCCAACATTGGAGGACTGTCACAAACAAATTGAAACACTAAGCACTGAAGTTAGCTCACTTAAGCAACAAGTTAAGGATTATGAAGTAAGTAAATGACTTGGTTAGAGAGTAGGTAACAATACTTGTTTTAAACTAGCTGTTCCCATGTGGCTTCGTCTGCATAACATTATATAAATTTTATTGTACTGTCTACATTCCATAAAACTTTTAATTGAAAATCTTAATATGCAAGTGCTTAAATTACAACAAGCTTCCTATTGGCTTAAAATTTAAGTTACCATGCCAACCTTGCTACTTTGTTGCTTGTAGTTTTTTCTTTCCTGCATGAAATTTCAATTTATTCACCCCCTAAATTAAATAACGTAGAAATCTGTAGTCTGTAGTATGTCATAAGGATAGGAGACTCTATTAAAAAGAAGAATTATTCAAAAATGTGCCATAGCATTTAATTATGACATCGTACATAACAAAGTGTGTGTTTCATCATCCACTTGCCCTTATCCCTTACGGAGGGTCGGCACAGTTTGTGCTCCATGCATCTCTATCAGCCATATCTGAATGTTATGTTTCTATTTTTATTATGTTTTCCATATGGATGAAGTTACAGAAGAAAGTTGCATGTATTTTTGTTAAAAGAGTCCAATTATCTCTGTTCCAGGACAAATACAAGCGTGCTCTAGCAGACGGAGAGAATGTCAGAAGACGGATGATGAAGCAAGTGGAAGATGCTAAGTCGTTTGCTATTCAGAGCTTCTGCAAGGATCTACTGGATGTTAGTATATCCACAACTAGCTGTTGCTTGTGACTTTGTCCACTTGAAATTAAAAAAATAATAAAAAAGCCTATGTTACTGATAATGTAACTTTTTAATGGTAAAAGAATTTTTTCAATCGGCTCAGTTTTAGAGTTATTTAAATACATAGAAATCTATAAATCTTTCCCTTTATGATAAGTTATTGAAAAAAAAGAGGGTTTTTGTTTTTTTTTTACGTTTTTACAAATGTAACATTTAGGAATGTGATTTGATACCAAGATTGGGTTGGTTGTTATCGTAACAAAATAAGCAGTTTAGTTGAGTGATGTATTAAGGTGGCGGACACACTGAGCGCTGCAGCGGACAGTGTGCCGGACAGTGCACAAGCGCAGGCGGAAAGCGCGGCTGCGGCGCTGCGCTCGCTACACGACGGGCTGCGTCTAACACGAGCTCAGTTAGACCAGGTAAGATAGCTCCTAGAAATAAAACCCAGTTTACACTTACATATTTAAGAAATATATAGACAAATATTATAGCTTTGATAGCATAGGTGTCCCACAACTGGCTGATAGAGCCTCAGATAGCATAGGAGTCCCACAACTGGCTGATAGAGTCTCAGATAGCATAGGTGTCCCACAACTGGCTGATAGAGCATCAGATAGCATAGTTGTCCCACAACTGGCTGATAGAGCCTCAGATAGCTTAACATTGGTGTCACACAGATAAGGGAACAAAAACTGATATAACTTGGTATGACTGACGCTTAGAGCCTGTTTTACCAAATTGTAAACTGTCTGATAACAAGCCAACATGGAAAATGTGTGATGGAAATATCGGATTTTGTTCCCTTATCTGGCAGTGTCATTTTTAGACTATCTGAGCCTCGGCCAGAATTGAATATGCTTTACATAGAAAAGATTTCATATTACTACTAATGGTAACTATTGATAGATCTTCAAACCAACTTGTCAATGTAACGAACTAGGTTTTGCCCGTGACTTCGCTTGCGTGGGACTAAAAAATACAAAAGTATGTAGCCTATGTATTCTTCCAGACTATCTTTTACATCTCTACCAAATTTCAACGAAATCCAGCCGTTTAGGCTACAAACATCCATCCATCTAAACTTTCGCATTTATAATATTAGTAACGAGCTGTTGCCCGCGACTTCGTCTGTGTGGTATCAGAAAACATACGAACTATATAAATTACAAAAAGCTACGTATCCCTCGGGAACCGGGCATTTCTCGGGGATAAACCTTATCCCATGTGTACTCCAGACTTTGTTTCATATCTGTGACAAATTTCAATAAGATATGTTGAACCGTTGCAGAATGATCGAGTAAACATTAAAAAACTAAATTAATGAATCCCACAGGAACCGTAACTATTCCCGGGATAAAAAGTAGCCTATGTGTTCTTCCAGACTATGCTCTAAACCTGTGCCAAATTTAATAGAGATCCGTTCAGCCGTTTAGACTACTAACGCTAACAAACATCCATCTAAACTTTCGCATTTATAATATTAGTAAGATTAGTAATTGTATTTGAATTTCAGGTGTTTGCAAGACATGGCCTAGTTGCAGTTTCTCCGTTGAGAGAGAAATTCGATCCCAATCTGCATGAGGCGTTATTCCAACAGGTGAGTCAACTTCACATACATGGTCTATGTTTCGTTGACTATAGAGAAATGGACTAAGCAATAAACTACAGTGCTATTGGCATAAGTGTGATACCTTTGTTTATTTTTTGTGGCAGTAAATACATATTTTATTCTGCCATTTTTTGCAAGGAGTTTTTTTAAATGTACACATAAAATACACATGAGAATAAAAGCAAGGATTTTATATTGATTTTTTTATATATCATAAGGTGGCAAATGAGCAAGCGGTCACTTGAATCCGCCAAAATGGCGAAGCGACTGCCCATAGACATCTGCAGTTGCAGATGCACATAAAGAGGATATTTCCTCTTCCTATGCATCTCCACCGTCAAATCCACTTCCCCTTCCCATCCTCTCATAAGAAAAGGGTGGTAAAGAGAAAGGGACTTAAATTAGGCCTCCGGCACCACACTCATCAGACGAAACACGGAATTGCCTCCATTTCACGCCTGTCTTCGTCGTGGTCGTGGTATTACTGGGGCGAGCCCTGCACTGCTAACATGTTAAAGCGGGCACTACCACTGTGTTCTAATGTGCTTACTTGGTCCTGTCTCTTAGAAGTTAAACACCGTTTATATTACTTTAGATGGATGTTAGAAGTTATCTTCTAAACAACTGAACAGAACTCCCATGATATTTGACATAAATGTACAGCATAGTCTGGAAGAACATAAAGGCCATTTATTTAAAATTAGCTTACGTTTGTCTGCGGTAAATAATAAAAAAAAACATATGTTAATCAGTGATTGTTTTTAATGGTGAAAGAATCTTTAAAATCAGTCCAGTTTGAATCTAATACATTCAACAGTGGTAGTGCCCGCTTTAACATGTTAGCAGTGCAGGGCTCGCCCCCAGTAATACCACGACCACACAAGACAGGCGTCAAATGGAAGCAATTCCGTGTACAGTCTGATAAGTGTGGTGCCGGAGGCTTAATTTTAGTCCCTTTCCCTTTACACACTTATCTTAAGAGGAAAGGAGGGGAAGGAAAGTGGATTTGACAGTGGAGGAGAGGCATAGGAAGGGGAAATGTCCTCTTTATGTGCGTCTCCTCCGTCAATGAAGGGTAGGCAACGCTGCAATTACGGATGTCTATGGGCAGCGGTCACTTTCCATTTCGGTGGATTCAGGCCGCTTGCTCGTTTGCCATTCTAATATTATAAAAAAAAATCTTTCATCACAAAGATCTTTCCTCTTTATAATATTAAAATTTGATTTTGATTGTACTTCAATTATTTCCAGGAGGTAGAAGGTTATGAACCAGGCACAGTGGTGACTGTTAGTAAGGTTGGGTACAAATTACATGAGCGCTGCGTGCGGCCAGCTTTAGTTGGCGTTGCCAAAGGATAGCGTACTTAGTGTGGCGGAGGACTGTGTTCCAATTTTCCAAAAATTATTTCTGTTATGTATATTATTGGTTATGATTTTTTTTGTAAAAAACAATATAAAAACCTAAAACTGAAAGTTCAATTGCTTTTTTAAATGTTTTTATTCATAGAAGAATTTTAACAGGAATATGGTGAGGGTTTTTATAATTCAGGTTGAAATAAAAATTATAAATGAAAGGATTACATATTTTTTTAATACTTAAAAAACTAGACAGTTTGATTGAACATTATCTCTTTGTTCTTAAATCTTATAAGTACAACTTACTCTATGATCATTTGACATCTGTCAAAATGACTTTTAGCGGGACACTTGTAATGTAAAATTTTTATTGCATTTTTATATTGTTTAAATTATTAACTGTTTTTTCTATCTAAATAGTAAATATGTAGGCAACTGTAAAATAGGTAAAGGTTTCTATATGAATACTAAAGTATATTTTTAATAAATTGGAAATACGCGGAACAAAATAATTCCATGTGTGAATGTGGTTCAGAGTTGTGTAGTAAATAAACATGTTTAGTTAATTATATTGCGTTTTATTGATCCTAAAATTCCCATTTCAATGGGGATGTTTCCTAATGTTACAAATTCAAATAAAGTTATGTTTAATATTTTAAAACCTATCATAACATTTGGAGACCTTAAATGTTTGTCTCGATAGAAATATAAATTAAAAACGCTGCAATATTTTTTACCCTCCATTACTCCATCTCATACACCAATCAGAGCTCGGTGACGTAACTTCTTCGCAAGCAACATGGCAGTGTGACCAGCTTCAGTGAATGTCAGTGCATTTTGTAGTTATAATTTTTTTTTTCATGATTATAATAATTGAGTTTGCGTGTGTTATATTATGAGGACTGCATTATTAAGTGTTTTTATATTTACGACATATTTTACGAGCAAATTTTTCGATCACTATGACGAAAAAAAAATAGTAAAAGTTATTTGAATAGCTAATTCAATTCACGTCTGGTCACTTTGAATGACTTTGACAGACCGCGACGCGAGGTTTGTTAGCAAAGAAGTGACGTCATGTCATGAGGCGTTTTCGCGGTCTTTCGGGAAGTTGTTTTTAGTTAAGTGATTTTGTAATTAAATGTTGCGTATATCATTTTATTATATTTTTTTTCTTGTTTAGATATGGTTTATCTACATAATAAAAGCAATTCCAAAAATTAGGAAACATCCCCATTCAGAGCATAAAATAAGGAAATGTAGAAATGCTGTTACAATCTTTTTAGATATCTCGTGAAAAAGAGCACACATCTTTAACAAAAGAACAGTTTAGTCTCGCTTTGATTTCTATGAGCTTATATGGAGGTGATACCCGATTGTTAGTTGTGCAACTAAACAGTTGAATAGGGAACATGCATGTATTTTCTTTTTTTAAACGGTTCTACTTGTTATAAAATAACCAGAAAAAAAATTGACACGAAAATATTCAACCGTTCAGCTAAAAATAATAAAATAAAGTTACGACCATTTTCGAGCGACTAAAACGCGCCCAGAGTTGACATGAGAAAATTGACGTCAATCGTCTTATTCCATTCATAACATACACTTAGATGTCACTTCAATGTAAAAAACAACAAAGTATCTCAAGTTCAAAAATCGATTCATTTTTATTTTTCTGGTACAAATAAGTGGTAATTAATAATTCTTTTCATTAATTTCTTATTTTAAAGTTGGTTTTAATATCGTATTTACAGTAAAATACTTCAAGAGTGTATTTCCATATAAACTAACGTAAATGAACTGTGTATTGTCAACACAGCGACGCCATATTAGATAAGCCACTTGCTTCGACCAATAGTATACGTTTTAGAACTTAGCGAGGGAATTTGAAAAAAAGACACTTTTTAATGATTATTTTTGCCACTAAATTACATATTTAAAAAAATTTTTGCAGGACTGTTTTATAGTTATAAAGTATAATTAAAAAAAGTTTGGTACAATTTGGCGTCATATGCATATTGCCTATTGTTAAAACAATCGACAATAGCACAACAGTTGTGCGATAGTTTAGTTAACTTAAAAACTATAGTCATATTCTGTAATTCTTTAGCCTAAATTGTAATTTATGGTTAAGTTTTTAATTGGAATTCTCTATTACTCATTTTCTTATATTAATCAGTCATGCATCATGCATCACCAGCTCACTACATGTCCCCACCTAGGGGCTCGGAGACTACAACAATAAGGGTTGACTAGACCATAGTCAGTAACTACTGGATATTTCGAAATAAAACTGCTGTTTGCTTATATCACTTAGAAATAATTTATTTTCAAATTAGTTCATAGTATATTCCATATGCCAATGTGTAAAACAAAACTGTTAACACCAATAATAACATTTAATTTCTTTTCAAAGATCTTTTTATAACAAAACTAGCTCAAAGTTCCTTCCTTTTCATACTATATCTAAATATATTTTACATATTTTCTGACAGAACTGGATTTCTCTTAGATCCATGTTTTACTTCAGTAGACAAGTATTGGATAAGACCACGATTTTTTTATAAGAGAAGGGGGCAAACGAGCGCCGGGAACACAGAGGTGGTCAACGACGCCCATGGGCATCCGCAACACCAGAGGAACTACAGATGCGTTGCCTTTGAGGAAATGATAGGCTTGCTTCTTGAAGGACCCTAAGTCGTATTGGTTTGGAAATACCGCCGAGGACAGACCGTTCCACAACGCGGCTGTGCGGGGCAGAAAGTTCAAAACCGCATGGTTGTGGAATGCCAGCCATCATCATGGTGAGGATGAAACCTGGGGAGGGTATTTTTAAATAACGCTCGTTTGACCCATTTCATTTTTCAAAAAAAAAAACAAAAGACTGTAAACTAAAAAGTTTCTAACTATCAACCGCCCCATAACAAAGATTCCCTAACTTATAGATATCTGGTTTCCAGAACTCATTTTCACAACTTTGGGACCTTAATTTCCTGTCATGTATATCCAATGGCGGATCTAGGGGGGAGGTGTCATGAGCCCCTCAGCTGGTTGGTCAAGAGTTTCCCAAAATATATTTACATATTTTGTCAAGCTCTTGACTTGACCACGATTATGTGCTGACCCCCACTGGCGCCAAAGCTGAATCCGACCTTGTGTACATCCCCTGTAGGGTCGTGACCTGGGGTTCAGAATTTACCACTATGGGAATAATTTTAGACATTATCTACAGTACTTAATTTTCTATTGAAATAAAACAAAACGTGCTGTTATTCAAATTTCTTCAGTTACACATTTATTGCATACAAATGTATTTAATTTAGTAATTCGTGTAAATACAAAAAAAAAATCAATCTCCAATCCAATCCATCGGAGAATATATTCACATGAAAGTGGTTTGTTAAATTCAAATTATTTAGAAATAAACATTAAAAACTATAAGCCGGAAATATTAAAAAATACATACATTAATGTTGGAAATATTTCAATCCATATACAAGAAAAATCACAAAGCAATTTGCAATAATTTAATTTCTATATGAGATATTTCAAACATTCAAATATTTTAACAGTGGTAGTGCCCACTTTAACATCTTAGCACTGTAGGGCTCACCCCCAGCAATACCACGACCACACAGAAGATAGATGTGAAGTGGAAGCAATTCCGCGTTTCGTCTGATGAGTGTGGTGCCGGAGGCCTAATTTAAGTCCCTTTCTCTTTACCACCCTTTTCTTATAAGGAGAGGATGGGGAGGAAAAGTGGATTTGACGGTGGAGACGCATAAGAAGGGGAAACGTCCTCTTTATGTGCGTCCTCCGTTAATAAAGGGTAGGCACACTGCAATTGCGGATGTTTGTGCAGCGGTCGCTTTCCATTTTGGTGCATTCAGGCCGCTTGCGAGTTTGCCAACTTATATTTTAAAAAAATAAATTTGGTCGACCTAAAAGTTGGGGACATTTTGACACTTTCATACCTTTTTATGCCACGATTTCAACATTTTTTATAAGATTTTTTTGTGTTATCCTAAACCGCATTAAATTTTAAGCTAAATTCCTCTTAAAATGCTAAATTCAATGAATACAGCAATTCTAGCATATCTAAATATACTAAATTATTTTCTATGTCTTAAATTTCATAAAAAAATTACTTGATGCTTTGAAATTCATACATTAGTTTGGAGAAAAAACTTGAAATAAACCGATTTTTTTATCAAATTCTTGTTTTAACATGTTTTAAATTAATAATAATTACAATATAGCCTAAGCAATAATATAAAAACCTTGGATTTGATGCTTTTGACTTCTAATTGAGTCAAATTCTAAATTTGAGAGGTTTTACCCTTAACTTGGCAGAATTTTATTTTTTCGAATATCAAAATAATATTCATAGCACTTAACCTTGATGACCCAAAGTGTTTAGAAAAAAAAAAATTGATGTATCTACAGATACACTAACAAGATAAGGGTTAAAAGCAAATATGCTTTTGTCCGATATTTTTAGTTTTTATAAATGATTGGTCAAACTTTGAGTTTCCGTAGTTTTGGTTTAAAATCGAATTTTCTACAATTTTGTAACAGAAAATGAAAGAAATCTGTTGAAAATCTCTGAACATGAAATTACAACGCTTTTGATTTATAAAAGAACCTTATATATGCAAGAATTTGTTAAAAACCCACTAAATATCACAATTAAGTGCATTTTTTACAAATTTTCTGTCAAAAATTTTGTACAGTGGTAGTGCCCGCTTTAACATCTTAACACTGCAGGGCTCGCCCCCAGTAATACCACAACCATACAGAAAACAGGTGAAGTGGAAGCAATTCCGTGTTTCGTCTGATGAGTGTGGTGCCGGAGGCCTAATTTTAGTCCCTTTCCCTTTCCACCTTTTTTGTCAGAGGAAAGGATGGGAAGGAAAAGTGGATTTGACGGAGACGCATAGGAAGGGGAAATGTCCTCTTTATGTGCATCCCCCGTCAATGAAGGGTAGGCACACTGCAATTGCGGATGTTTGTGCAGTGGTCGCTTTCCATTTCGGTGGATTCAAGCCGCTTGCGAGTTTCCCCACATTATATTATAAAAAAACCATGCTAGTGTGTCCGAAAGCTTTGGCTGAAAAACCAGTTTTGATAAACCACTATAAAAAACAAAAAAACGGACAAGCATTTACTCATATATTGTGTGCTTTATCCTCAATATTGAGTTTTAAAAGTCATCATTTATTAATATTTGCATAATAAAATCTACGATTTCCTACCTCGGTTATTTCTAACACTGACATTTCACACACAAGTTCACTTTCACTTTAGCACTTCAAGTCCATGTCTAGATTTACACGATCTAGAAGCCTTCCTGGTACGCCTTGGAGTCGAGCCTGGCCTGCAGCAGCTCCAGCTGCCGGCGAGCCTCACATTGAGGGAAGTTGTTCAACTCGTAGTACTGTGGGGCTATTTTTAATAACCATTCCGCTGGAATTATAGGAGAGATAATATAAAATTGGAACATATATAAACAGTAGAACCTCGATAAGTTAAAGTCCAAGGGAAACACTTTTTTTAATATCACGCGGACGGAGTCGCGGGCGAAAGCTAAAGTAACATTATAAATGTAAATGTTTAGATGGATGGATGTTGAAGTTAGTAGCCTCAGCTGAACAGATTTTGATTAAATTTGGTATAAATGCAGATGGTCTGAAAAAAAGGCTACACTTTTGTTTTTAATATCACGCGGACGGAGTCGCGGGCGAAAACTGGTTATTTTTAAAAAACAGCAGAACCTTAATAAGTTAAAGTCCAAGGGAAACACAGAATATTTTAAGTTATAGAGGTTTTAAGTTATCAAGGGTCTTTGTTGTAGGTTTTGGGCTCTGATTGGAAGGGAACATATTATTTTTTGAAGTTTTTAAGTCACCAAGGTTTGAGTCATCGAGGTTCTACTGTAAATATAAATACAAGCTGTTGCTCACGACTTTGCCCGCGTGAAATTAAAAAATAATAAAAAACATAGCATTTGCTACTAGTTGATAATATAGCATTTTAGTCGTGAAAGAATATTTGAATACGACCCAGTAGTTTTTGAGTTATCTCATACTTGATACTACTTGATTTGTATTTTTACAAATCTTTCCTATAGTATCTAATATTACAAAGATATGTATTTTTGTATGTATGAAAAACTCAAAAACTACTGGGTCGATTTAAAAAATTCTTTCACCATTAAAAATTTACGTTAATATGTGTAACATAGGCTATATATTTACTATTTAGGATACGTAGACGAAGTCGCGAGCAATACCTAGTCTATACTAGAAAAAAGATTTGTATTTTTATATGTATTGAAAACTCAAAAACTACTGGGTCAATTTCATTTCTTACACCATTAGAAAGGTATCTTATCTGTGAGTAATAGAGGCTATATTTTTACTATTACAGGATACGTGGACGAAGTCGCGAGTAACACCTAGTCTATACTAGAAAAAAAATTGTATTTTTATATGTATTGAAAACTCAAAAACTACTGGTTTACTCTCTCTACTCTTTACTCAATTTCATTTCTTACAACATTAGAAAGGTAATTTATCTGTGAATAACATAGGCTATATTTTTTCATTTTACAGTAACCTTACTAATATAAATGCGAAAGTTTAGATGGATGTTTGTTAGAGTTTGTAGCCTAAACGGCTGAATGGATTTTAATGAAATTTGGTACAGATATAGAGGATAGTCTGGAAGAACACAGACTACTCACTTTCTTTTTTTTTTCAATCCCAGGCAAACGTCACGGGCGAAAGCTAGTAAATAAACTAAAAATGATTACTTTACTTACGTTTAATATCAGTTACGGTGCGTATATAATTCTTCGTTGTGAGCACAAACTCATTGTATATAACCCAGTCGGGTTTGTGATCGAGGCATGTGGATGGATGGAGTTGGACAACTTGGTTGTCTTTTACTGTCAAATAATGTCCCGTACGCTCCAAATGTGCTACCTGGAACAATGAAACAATGTTATGTATACTATTATAATAAAGCGTAAACACTTCTTTGTTGCAAGATGTCAGCAATTACAGTATATTTTTAATTAATAAAAAGCCCTACACTTATGTCACACTTTAGGCTATATTTTCACACCATTAAACTTAAGGGGTAAATATTTTATATAAAAACCCTAATGTGGGAAAGAGACCATAAGTTGCTGCCAACATCAAGGAAGAAGGTTGCCATGTATCATTTTGACATTTGCAATTGATAATTTGTCAAATGTCATAATTTCATGCGGATGAAGCCGCACGGGAACAGCTAGTTTAGTTATAAAAATTGCAAAAAAGAGTAAATTTCTCACCTGCATAAAGAATCCATTTACGAGAGCTTTCCTTATATTAATATAATAATCTTTGCTTGTAAATTCCGTGCTTGTTCTCTTCAAATTGAATCTGAAACAAACACATATTTCTCTATATAAATATAAAAAAACAAACACACTTTGTTATATAATTTGTAAATCGGAGCACATATTTTAACATTATAGATGGATGGATGTTTATTAGAGTTTGTAGCCTAAACAGAAATTTGGTATACATGTAGAGTATAGTCTGGAAGAACACATAACCCACTCACGTTTGTTTTTTTTAATAACATGCGAACGAAGTCGCGGGCGAAAGCTTATAAATGTAAATGTTTAGATGGATGGATGTTAGAATTTGTAGCCTAAACAGATTTTGGTGAACTTTGGTATAGATGTAGATGGCCTGGAGGAACATAGGCTACACTTTTGTTTTTTTTTAATACCATGCGGACGTAGTCGCGGGCGGAAGCTAGTAACATTACAAATGTAAATGTTTAGATGGATGGATGTTGAAGTTAGTAGCCTCAGCTGAACAGATTTCGATGAAATTTAGTATAAATGTAGATGGTCTGAAAAAACAGGCTACACTTTTGTTTTATTTCACGTGGACGGAGTCGCGGACGAAAGCTGGTTTTTTAAATACAGCAGGACCTCGATAAGTTAAAGTGCAAGGGAAACACAGAATATTTTAAGTTATAGAGGTTTTAAGTTATCAAGGGTCTATGTTGTAGAGCTTTTGGGCTCTGATGCGGAGGGAACATTTTTTTTTTAAATTATAGAGGTTTTTAAGTTACCGAGATTTGAGTGATCGAGGTTCTGCTGTAGTTATTACCAAAAAAAAGAAAAGAGGATGCAAAATCATACTAATATTATAAATGCGAAAGTTTAGATGGATGTTTGTTAGTTAGTAGCCTCAGCTGAACAGATTTCGAATTTGGTATACATGTAGATGGTCTGGAATAACATAGGCTACACTTTTTTAATATCACGCTGACGGAGTCGCGGGGGAAAGTTAGTTATTTTTTAAATATGTCTACATTACCTGTCCATAATCCTGCTGAGTTGCTGACGGACGTTATCTCCAGATTTGAGGGAGCGGTAGTTGATGAAATTGTCATAACACCAGTGGGGATCCTCCATATCTATACATACATACATTTCATTTTATTCAATTTTTTAATGTAGTCGTGAAAATGCTTATAAAAATGGAATTATTGGTGTAACAATATTTTACAAGTTACTGTGTAAGGACTTCTTAAGTAACCGATAGGTACTTGTGATAGGAAGTCCCGTAAAAAATACTATTTTGTGACGTAAGATGTCAACAATTACAGCATATTTTTGGATAAATCTTTTTTTAATAAAAACCCTACATTTACGTCACGCTTTAGGTTACATATTTTCACGCCATTAAACTTAGAGGGTAAATATTTTGGATAAAAAACCTAATGTGGGAAAGAGACCATAAGTTGCTGCCAACATCAAGGAAACAAGTTTACCATAGTAAGGTAATTGGTATTTTGACATTTGCAATTGAGAATTTGACAAATACAAACAATAAATTTATAATTTCATGCGGATGAAGCCGCACGCGAACAGCTAGTAAATAAATAAAATTAATTTTTATAAAGCTTTTTTTATAACATAAGGTGGCAAACGAGCAAGCGGCCACTAGAATTCACCAAAATGGAAAGCGACCGCTGCCCATAGACATCCGCATTTGCAGTGTGCCTACCCTTATCCGACTGAGGAGACGCACATAAAGAGGACATTATCCCTTTCTATGCATCTCCTGAATATAAGAAAATGGCCGGGGAAGGAAAAGGGACTAAAGTTGGGCCTCCAGCACCACACTCATTAGACTGTGTTCACGCCTGTCTTCTGTGTGGTCGTGGCATATCATATATGCATCTCCTCCACCGTCAAATCCACTTCCCCTTCCCATCCTCTCCTTATAAGTGTGGTAAAGTGAAAGGAACTTATAACTTACTCTGCTTGAAAGCGTGGTAGACGTTGAGTAAGGTAAGATGGTCACCGTCGATATGTGCAAAGCGCATTTTAGCCTCGTCAGCCGCTTTACGAGCCTCATTCGGTCGCACAAAACATTGAGGCACTGGAATATTAAAACATAAATTCAAACAGCCAGTACAAACTTGGGTCTTTATTCACCTATAAATCGGCTAATGGCCACATACAATGCTTTGCATAACTCTTGTGCGTGCGTCAAAGGAGCCAGAGATAAATGGCCTATAATCGACATCTTCTCCAACAAATGGCCAACATTTAAAAAATATCTACGTGAGGTTATCACTTAAATTTAATTTTTACTTTTTGGGTTCAACAAAATAAATAAAAAAAAAGATAAAAACATATACTGTCTACTGTTGTTACTGTTGTTGTTGTTATTTTTCTATGTATGTCGTGTAAACCTATAATTAGGACAAATTATCTGCATGTTTCTTATTGTATTGTGTAAAAATGTATGTGTTATAATTTTGTCCTGTTGGTTTATCTTAATAAATAAATAAATAAATAAATAAAAATAAACTTACATATAAAATAAAATCATACTAATATTATAAAAGCGAAATTTAAATGGATGTTTGTTAGATATTTTGATGAAATTTGGCATAGATATAGAGGATAATCTCTACTCGTTTTGGTTTTTTTTTTCAATTCCACGTGGACGAAGCCACGAGCGAAAGCTAGTTGACAAGAAATATTTTATAGACATATTTAGTTAAAAAATTGCCTTTATCGACTTTGATTTGCACTATTCCATTTTAATAGAAGCATTTATAAAATTACTAACTGTTGCCCGCGACTTGACGCGACTTTATACAAGAGGAATATTAATATTTTCGAGTAGGTACACAAAAATTAGTTTTTCAAACCAACAAGAGTAAAGGTTCAATATTTCTCGTTTATAGAGGTTTTCTTTATCCGAATTTCTCGGTAATCGAAATATTCATTTATTAAACTTTCGCTAATTCTCGTTTATTTTAGTCTAAAATTGGAGTGTCTGTTTGTAATATCAAAAGAAAAATTCCAGATTCCGGGAAGATGTATTTGCCTTGCTGATAACAAAAAAAGCATTTAAAAATTTCATGTCTGTCTGTCTGTCTGTCCGCAAGCCGCGTTTGTTTTGGGTAATCTCGATTTCGACCAGACTTTAACTGAAGACCCGCATATTATAGGCTACTTTTGATCCTAATATCGTAGACAAAGTCGCTGGCATCAGCTAGTGTTAAAACAATCGATTGTAGGTCCTATGGTTTATAACCCTACTAAACTAAAGGTATCAAGGTTCAAGGTCACGAAGGTCTCACCGGACAGCATGGCTGTGATGGAAAGGATCTCGTTGGAGCAGTTGTGGTTGCAGCTGGCGATCAGCATCTTCGCGAGTTGAGGGTCCAGAGGAAACTCCGCCATCACCGCGCCCAGGTCCGTAAGGTTACCATCGTCGTCTGAAAAATTATAAAATAATATACTAATATTATAAAAAAGATTTGTATTTTTGTATATCTACTAATCTTACTAATATAAATGCGAAAGTTTAGATCGATGGATGGATGGATGTTTGTTAGAGTTTGTAGCCTAAACGGCTGAAGGGATCTTGATGAAATTTGGCACACATGTAGAGGATAGTCTGGAACACATAGGCTACTCACTTTTGTTTTTTTAATTCAGCGCGGAAGGAGTCGCGGGTGAAAGCTAGTATTGAAATAACTCAAAAACTAATGGGCCGATTTCTTGCACCATTAGAAAGCTACGTTATCGCTATATAATGTTACTCATGTGAGCTGTTTTTTTAATTTCTAGTAAGCTTATGTGAGATTTTTTTAAGTAAATAGCAGAATACCGATTTTAACAGAATACAAATGTGTAGAATACCGCTTATTACATAACACAAACTAGTAGAATACAGATTTTAATGGAATAAAAATCATTAGAACACTGATTTTAATGGAATACGAAATGAATAAAATATGGATTTTAAGAAAACATACTAGATTAGAACTTACCGAGTGCAGCTAGATAGTTCAACAGTTCGAGTGCTCTCATGAGCGTCTCCGGAGCTGGTGGGTCCATGAAGTCAAAGTGCACCAGATCGTCGATACCCAGCTTCTTCAGCTGCAAAACTACAGATCCTAAGTTTGATCTGCAACGCAACGCGGGCAGGGAATTAGATGTTTACTAGCTGTATATTACATCAACATACTACTCTACTACTATTTGTTTGGAAACCAAAAGGCTTATCAGTGGTAGAGCCCGCTTGCACATCTACGCACTGCAGGGCCGGCTCCCCCGGTGTAATACCACGACCACACAGAAGACAGGCGTCAAGTGGGAGCTATTCCGCGTACAGTCTGATGAGTGTGGTGTTGGAGGCCTAGTTTTAGTCCCTTTTCCTTCCCACCCTTATATGGTAAGGTTGAAAAGGGGACGTTGATTTTACGGTGCAGAAGACGCATGGGAAGGGAAAACATCCTTTTTATGTGCGTCTCCTTTTCCGTCCTTAAAGGGTAGGCAACGCATCCGCTTTTGCGAATGTCTATGGGTAGCGGTCGTTTCGCCATTTTAGTGGATTCAGATGGCCGCTTGCTAGTTTGCCACCTCATTATATAATATAAAAAAGGCTAAAGGCTACCAAATTGTTTTCGTTATAGAGCCCTCTCACAATTTCAATTCCATAGACCCTGCATTTTATTAACAAAAAGCCCTACATTTAAGTCTGCCAACATCAAGGAAGCAAAATTGCCATGATTTGTATTCATGTCTTTTTTTTTATAACATAAGATGGCAAACGAGCAAGCGGCCACCTGAATCCGCCAAAATGGCGAAGCGACCGCTACCTATAGACATCCGCAATTGCTGATGCGTTGCCTACCATTATCCGATAGAGGAGACGCACATAAAGAGGATATTTCTCCTTCCTATGCATCTCCATCGCCAAATCCACTTCCCCTTCCCATCCTTTTATAAGAAAAGGGTGGTAAAGAGAAAGGGACTTAAATTAGGCCTCCGGCACCAGACACATCAGACGAGACACGGCATTGCTTCCATTTCCCGCCTGTCTTGTGTGGTCGTGGTATTGCTGGGGGCGAGCCCTGCACTGCTAACATGTTAAAGCGGGCACTACCACTGTTAAATGTTATGTCATTTTGACATTTGCTATTGAATTTGACAAATGTAATCAATAAAACAATTTTCATATAATAATTTCATGAGAATAAAGTCGCACAGAAATAGCTATTGATTATGTTTTTAGTGGTTTACATAAACACTAGCGAATTTTTTTTTTGCCGCAAAACTTAAAATTGATGTAAATATATATACTGCACAGCAGTTTGTTGGCGACATCTTTATTTGTGATTTTTTTATATTTCTTTCTTTGTATAAAAAAATTAACGGCTAGATTTCAATAAACTTGAAAAAACCTTCGTGGGACGTCCACGGACACTTTATCTGGTTTATTCTGGCTCGTAAGGACTTCTAGGGGGCCCTGAATTACTTTGTAAATTCATAAGAGTCAGACTTATTAGGAATCATTTAAAGATGACTGCTTTAAAATAATTAAACTTATTAAACTAAGATAAAAATAATTAAAAATATACAAAACCATGTTTTCCAATCACCTCAAAATCTCAGGATATGTATTATCCTGCATTTCATTCTTGTAAGCCTTCTCCGTGTACAGCCTGAAGCATTTCCCTGGTCTCGTACGTCCAGCTCTACCAGCCCTTTGTTGAGCTGATGCCTTACTGATCGGAGACACCAGCAAAGATTCCACTCGTATACGAGGATTGTATACCTTCTGTTTAGCAAATCCTGGATCTATCACAAACACTACACCATCTATTGTTAAAGAAGTTTCCGCTATATTAGTTGAAACTACCACTTTACGTCCTATCGCACCATTAGGACGATTAGGTGGGGCAGGTTCGAATATCCTTTGCTGCAAATTAGGTGGCAACGTAGAATACAATGGAATGCACTTCAATTCACCAGCATCCGGTCCTAAATTATCAATCTCCCGTTTTATCCGTTTACATGCATCTTCTATCTCTTCTTGACCGGTTAAGAACAGCAGAATATCACCGACTATCTCCTCACATAAATGTATTTGAATAACAGTTCGTATAGCAGCTTCTAAATAGTCCCTTTCAGGTTGAGGAGTGTAAAATATCTCCACGGGATGTGTACGACCTGGCACATTCATTAACGGTGCATTATCGAAATACTGCTGAAACTTTCCGGCATCTAAAGTCGCAGACATAATAACTAACTTCAAATCCGATCTTTGTTTGATCACTTCTTTCAACACACCCATAAGTATATCCGTTGCTAAAGTCCTTTCATGGGCTTCATCAAGTAATATAACCCTGTACTGCTCAAGCATTGGATCCGACATCGCTTCTCTGAGCAACATACCATCTGTCATATACTTCAACACAGTCTGAGGTCCGGAACAATCTTCAAAACGGATACTATAACCGACTTGTTGACCCAAAGCGACATCCATCTCTTCAGCAACTCTCTGAGCTACTGACATAGCTGCTACTCTCCTCGGCTGGGTACAAGCCACTCCAGTCGACTTGCCCGCAGTAACCGCTGCAAATTCCACTGACCATTGTGGTATTTGAGTTGTCTTCCCTGAACCAGTCTCTCCGACCAATACTACGCACTGATGCGTATTCAACAATCTCATGAAATCGTTTTTATACTCCCAGACCGGGAGACCGAGTCTACGGCGAAGCAATTCGTGGTACCGTTGAGAATGTGGCAGACCTGAAAACATTTTATTTGAATTAAGAGAAATTACTAACCTATACTAACAAGAGGAAAGATTTGTATTTTGTATGTATTGAAATAACTTAAAAAAATACTTCACCATTAGAAAGGTAATTTATCTGTTAGTAACATAATCTAGATTTATTAATTTCACGAGGACCAAGTCGCGTGTAACAGGCAACCTTACTAATATTATAAGTGTGAAAGTTTAGATGGATCGATGGGTGTTTGTTAGAGTTTGTAGGGTAGAGCTTAGAATTGAACGGATCTTGATGAAATATGGCATAGACCTAGCAGATAGTATGGAAGAAGACAGTCTGCTCACTCTTAATTACATGCAGATGGAGTTGTAGGCAAAAGCTAGTATTCTATCAGATATATCTATATATCCATCATATAGATACAAGTCTGAGCAGAGTTGTAACACCAACCTGTATATGGGTTAATTCCAGGAGTGCTGGTGGTAGCTTGCGGTACTGCCATAGTGCTTGTTGAATCCGATGATTCACTGGTGGTGCCAGCTTTAGCCGCTGCTGCAGCCTTTTCTTCCCTGAAGACAATAACAATAGCAAATAAACAATAGTTTCATCATCACCAGCTCACTATACCCACTGAGGGGCATGGAGCCTACCCTGAGGGTGACAAGGCCATAATCAACCAAGCTGGCCTTGTGCCGGTTGACTTTACACATCTTTGAATTTGTTCACCAATATATGCCGATATCACAATGTTTTCTTTCACCGTAAGAACATCAGGTAAATTATATACATATGAAATCTGATATCACTGTGGTTGGTGGATTTCGAACCCAAGACCTAAAGACTACAAGTCAAGTGCTTAAACTGAGCCAAACACTCTCAACAATAATTTGTATACCATGTATTAATACTGGATTTCTTTTGTTGTGGGTTCAAATTCAATTAGTTATTGTGTTAAATTGTATATTTATTGTACACTAGCTGTTCCCGTGCGGCTTCATCTTTCTTTCTTTATGTTGGCAGCAACTTATGGTCTCTTCCACATTAGGGTTTATATCCAAAATATTTACCCCTAAGTGTAATAGCGTGGAAATATATAGCATAAAGTGTGACGTAAGTGTAGGGCTTTTTATTAAAAAGAGTTATTCGTAAATATGTTGGTAATTGCTGACATCTTAGGCAACAAAGTAGTGTATTTACACTTTTTTATATTAATTTAGATTCTTATATGAAAAATATCTTATTATCTCAGTGACATTATAAATTTAAAGGTTTAGGTGTATGGATATTATAGTTTTTTTCTTTTAAACAGATGAATGGACAATTACGAAATTCGCTGATTCTGAATATATACATATAAATAAGTCAATATCGCCCTAAATGGTGTTTAAAACAAATAGCCTTTCACCCGTTGTTATGTTTTTTAGTTCATGGACCACACGTGGGTCATGGGCAGGTCATGGGCGAGCGCCTAGGGCGCTGAACAGAAACGGACGTTGGTTAATGCCGTAGATATCTCGCCCAGGGCGCTATATAATCTAAAATAGATTGTGGGCAAACTTTTGTAAATCTCATGACATATTTCAAGATGAATTTTACCCATCTTATTTCGGTTTTTGAGTTGTAAACTCACGGTGTTATTAGAAAAAATAAGAAAGCTTAAGAAATATAAGTAATTTAACTAGAAAAGTGACATGAGAGAAGTTACTGTTGAATTGATCAATACTCATCAATATTTATGTTTGTTATTTATTTCTAAGATATTCTAAGAGTCGTAAATAAGTAGAAGTATATTTGCAAGTAAAAGAATTATACAATTTAAATATTGTAAATATTGACATGAAAGAAAATGCGGCACAATGACGTATCAATTCAATATGTCCGATGAAATTATCATATCTTAAAGTAATTATGGTAGAAACTGTTCCCTTTTCACATAAAACTAACGACACAATTAGCGGTAATAAGAAAAACAAAGGAAATAACAAAAAGCATGGTATTGTAACACGCCGTAAATATATGGATACATACCTTTTCCTCTTAATGAAAGGGTCTAAAACTTCAATTCTTCTCTTAGACATTATTTTTACTAACACATATAACCTTTAAACAAACTCAAACACGTGAAAATTCTAAGAATTTTTGCTGAATAGAAACAGCTAACAAAATGGCGACCTATCTGATATGTCCGCCGACCATTGATGTTTCAATATACGTACATGCAGCTCTATCCAAATTTATTTTGTGTTCTATTCTTAATTTATTGATAAAACCTACGCTGTGAAATTAGTAGTAAAGACAAACATTTAAGAATAACTTAGAACACTGGTAATTAAATTTGGAATCCCTATAGCAGATACTCAAAACACATTTTATTCTATTTTGCCGAGGCATAATGTGTTAAATTCCATTGTTTCTCCAAGAAAAAATAAATCTGTCAAGTTAAACGTTCCAATACGCCCAAAATACTGTTAACTATCAATTCCGATAAAATTCCTCCGCGAAATAAAATCATCTACATTATTGTGAAGAAAATATCGCTTTATGAACAAAATTATCATTACAAATTTAAAAATAAAAAATCAACATAAGTTATTCCAAGAAAATATTTATTAAAATAGAATTTGAAAAAATCCTCAAACTGCGTGAAACGAAACAGTGATTAACAAAAATGTCACAGAGACGGGAATTGCGTATTTTGGTTGCGTGCTAATTACTAAAAATAATTGTAAATTACTTTTGTATATGTGTAAATAGCACCTGTAGTGATTCCCTGTAAATATCGAAACGAATTTTTGAGAAAAGTTAGTGTCAATGTGTAGTGTGGGGTGTATTATAGCTGTAAGCTATAAATAGGCGAAAACGAGAAAATTAATGAACTAAAATTAAGCGTCGCTAGACAATAACAAGGATAAAAATAAGTAGACGTAAGTAAACAATATTTTTAAACATTTTTATTCCTTTATAATGCAATTTTCAAGTGTGGTGTTTTGCATTTTATATTTCAAGATGGCGGATGTCTATAAAAGATTTGTTTATATTTGCGTCTAACCTTTTTTAGATCCTAATCCTTAGCTTACTTTATCAAACTGAACTATGTAATATATAAAACGTTTAATAGGCAATTATTTTTATAGAAGTTCATTGTTATTTATATACACTGAGGTTATAAAACTTGTTTAAACTTGTCTCTGTAGGTACATAATTCAATCTTCCAGGTATGCCCGATTTACACTTAACCAGTAGTACACTTCGATAGTGACATAGATTGTTTAGACTCACTGGCGCCAGTAACAGTCCAGTTATCGAGCCATACTTACCAAAAGTACTCACCAAGTGTAAACACAGTAATCCTACATTGAAATAAAGATACAATTTAATAGTACAACATTAAATTAAGTTCAAGACATTGTCAATATTTTGAATTATTTTGTCATCTATACTATATACTATATACTATCTATTTATCTATCCATCTATCTATATTCTATATATTCTATATATTATAATAAAGTTTAAACATACACTTCTTTGTTGCCTACAATGTCAGCAATTACAGCATATTTTTGAATAATCTTTTTTTAATAAAATCCCTACACTTACGTCACGTTTTAGGCTATACATTTTTATGCAATTAAACATAGGGGGTAAATGTTTTGGATAAAAACCCTAATGTTGGAAAGAGACCATATGTTGTTGCCAACATCAAGGAAGCAAAATTGCCATACTTTGTCATCATGTCATGTCTGTAATTTCATGAAAATGAAGTCGCACGGGAACAGCTAGTACTTAATATTATAGATTTGAAAGTTTAGATGTATGGATGTTTGTGAGAGTAGTTTAATGACTGAAAGAATCTGGATGATATCAGTCATAGATATATGTATTGTATTTATGTCCATGTGGTCAGAGTTGCTGATGAGAGCTAGTACTAATACTAATTATATTAAATAGTCGCAAGTTGTCATTTGTAATATGTTTGTTCTTTTTTTCTGTATAATTCATTATAGTTGCATACTAAGTGTCGGGCACCTCTGAAGAGGCGTAACGCGGCCAACAGGGACAGGCTGAAAATCAGCTCCGCATGGCATTGGCCATACGGTACATGCTGAGCCTGCAGCCCATTGTTATCATATTTTTTTTTAATATAATATATTCACTGCATGTAAATGATTATGATGACAATAAAGGGGATTTTATTTTTTTTTTTTTTTTTTAATATAAATAACTAGCTGTTTGCGGCTTCATCAGCAAGATATTATAAAAAAATTTTTTTATTAACATTTATCAAATTCTCAATTGCAAATGTCAAAATACCAATTACCTTACTATGGCAATCTAGCTTCCTTGATGTTGGCAGCAACTTATGGTCTCTCACCCACATTAGGGTTTTTGTACAATTTATTTACCCCCTAAGTTTAATAGTGTGAAAATAAATAGCCTAAAGCGTGACATAAGTGTATGGCTTTTTATTATTAAAAGAATTATTCAAATATATGGTGTAATTGCTGACATCTTAGGCAACAAATAAGTGTGTGGTTATGCTTTATTATAATAGTATAGATTAAAATGATTACTACGAATTCTTCTGGTGTTAGAGATGCTTGATCACCTCTATGTTTCAACTGTTAAGTTTCTCTTTAAAATAACTATTTAACTCTAAAACAGTGAGGGGATTGGAGCCTTTTTTTTGTCCGAGGGGAATGCATATTACACATACTCCGCGCAGATGGACGCGGTAGTTATGTGGGACTCTCCCCCCTATAATGAGGGGCATACCCACTAAACCCCTCGATTCCAACAACGTCTTAAGCCGGGGTTACGGGCCCTCCGAGGGGCGCCTTAGGGCGCAGCGTTCCAATTTATTGGGACGCAACGAAGGCCCCTTCCCCGGGCGGTCAGTGGGGCGTCGCGGTGGCAAGCGCAAGCGATCCCAGGCCAGGAGGGATCGAAGGGGTTTAGTGAGGGGTTACGGGCATGCTTACGTCTGTAACCCCGGCAGAGGGCAGAAGGCGGGGGGCTTGTTACAATTGTCTTGCTAACAATGAGTCAATTGCTCATTAATTAGAGTGTAATTGTGTACCGCAATTTAATAGAACAGTTGTGACACTGTATGCTATTGTGTGCGAAACAAGTAATCAACATAAATTAGTCACTGAAATTATGAATTAACTAACCATTGACTAACTTGCAGTTGAATCATTCAACACAAGCTCACTATATTTTTTTTAACATAAATAAACCAGCGCTTGACCATGACTCTACCTAAGTGAAGACCGAAGGATATAGCTCAATAAGTGCCGATTCACCCTGTTCTTGAAGGCATGTTATAACTATATGTCCTCACTGAGGGGCTCGGAGGCTAGCTTAAGTGAGTGACTAGGCCAAAGTCAACCACTCCACACTGGGTTGACTCTACACATATATTTGAATTACCTCTCCGATATGTGTAGGCTTCACGATGTTTCCTTCGCTATAAAACCTAGGGTAAATTACTCACTACACTATTATAAATGCAAAAGTTTAGATGGTTGGATGGATGTTAGAATTTGTAGCCTAAATGGTTGGATGGATTTCGATGAAATTTGGTATGGATGTAGAGGATAGTCTGGAAGAACACATAGGCTATTTACTTTCTTTTTTTATGCCATGCAGATAGTCACAAGCAATAGCTAGTGTACATATGAATCTAAAATTATTGGTATAGCAAGATTCAAACCCAGGACCTGTGGAATAGTCAAGTGCTTGAACCACTTAGCTACCAACACATAAATACTAAATGCTGAAGCTTAAATGGGTTAAAATTGTCATAGTTAGAGACAACAAAGGGATAAAGCCACATGGAAACAGTTTTGTGTTTTTTTTTATGATGTTAATAGTGTTTTTAAATGTTTTTTTATTGTTGCAGATGGTAGTTCGCTGGGCGAACCTCTCATAGTACAAGCCAAAGCCATGGGACAACAGACATCAAGGAAAAGTAAATAATTCATATACAGGGTTTATTTTTAAATTATAAGTGAAAATATGGTCTCATCTGTTGCTGAGATTGTCTATGATTAAAAAAAAATTGCAATATGAACTGAAATACTAAAAAACACAATAATTTTGTAGTTTACAAATACATCTGTTTGAATATAATAATGATAACACATGTTTTGACAATGGTAGTGCCCGCTTTAACATGTTAGCACTGCAGGGCTCGCCCCCAGTAATACCACGACCACACAAGACAGGCGTCAAATGGAAGCAATTCCGTGTTTCGTCTGATGAGTGTGGTGCCGGAGGCCTAATTTAAGTCCCTTTCTCTTTACCATCTTTTTCTTATAAGGAGAGGATGGGAAGAGGAAGTGGATTTGACGGTGGAGGAAATGCATGGGAAGGGGAAATATCCTCTGTATGTGCGTCTCCTCCTCCGTCGTATAAGGGTAGGCAACGCATCTGCAATTGCGGATGTCTATGGGCAGCGGCCGCTTCGTCATTTTGGTGGTTTCAGGTCGCTTGCTCGTTTGCCACCTTATGTTATAAAAAAAAATGTAAATAGAATTTAAAAAAACAAACATTAGTAAGTAGCCTGTGATGTTTGAAACTGTTTTATATCTGTGACAAATTTTATTGAGATTTGTTACGTTGTTAATTTACCAGTATTTCTGACATTACCGCTCGACTATTATTTAAAAAAAAAAGTCATTTGTATCGAAAATTATAACACTAGTTTAAACCTGCGACTCCGCGTGTGAAAACAAAAGTAACTCGCCTATTTGTTCTTCCAGACAAATTCTTATTTAAGCTACCTCTAGCAAACATCCATCTAAATTTTTGCATATATTAGTAAGATTAGATTACTCTATATCTTTACTAGCTTTCGCACGCGACTCCGTCCGTATGGTATTAAAAAAACAAAAGTAAGTAACCTATGTGTTCTTCCAGACTATCCTCTATGTCTGTACCAAATTTAATTGAAATCCGTTCAGCCGTTTAGGCTACAAACGCTAACATCCATCCATCCATCTAGCTAAACTTTCGCATTTATAATATTAGTAAGATTATATATCATTTAGAGCATAGTCTGGAAGAACACATAGGCTACTTTTTATCCCAGGAATAGTTACGGTTCCCGTGGGATTCATTAATTTAGTTTTTTAATGTTTACTCGATCATTCTGCAACGGTTCAACATATCTTATTGAAATTTGGCACAGATATAAAACAAAGTCTGGAGTACACATGGGATAAGCTTCATCCCCGAGAAATGTCCGGTTCCCGAGGGATACGTAGCTTTTTGTAATTTATATATTTCGTATGTTTTATAATACTACGCGGACGAAGTCGCGGGCAACAGCTCGTTTTATAATATTAGTGTAATGGTAATATTTTCTATATATAAGGGCTACAATACAATATGCACAGTACCATGTGTAGGTGGCGAGTGCAGCTGCGGCTGCGGGGCGTGGGACAGGCGGAGGTACGCGGAGTCCCCGAGCAGTGTCCATAGATATGTCAGCGCTGTTACTGACAGGTATTGTTAGCACTACATGTTGCTTGACTTGATTAGAATATAGCTTATTTTACTCAGCGATAACATAGTTTTTTAATGGTTGAAGAATTTTTGAAATCAGACTTTTTTTTGTGTGTTTTCAATACATACAAAAATACAAATGTTTCCTATTTATATCAGTATAGACTTCATCTGCATGTTATTATAAAAACTTTATTTTATTGTTTGCATTTGTCAAATTCATATGCAAATGTCAAAATTACCGTTACCATAATAACCTTGCTTCCTTAATATTGACAGTTTGTAGTTTACGGTCCCTTTTCCACATAAAGGTTTTCCAATTCATTTACCTCCTAAGTTTAATAGCGTGAAAATATATAGCTCAAAGCGTGTCGTGTAGGGCTTTTTATTAAAGGAATTATTTAAAAAAAATGCTGTAATTGCTGACATCCTACCACGAAGATGTGTTTGTTTACGCTTTATTATATTAGGATAGAAGATTAACCATCTCTAATATGCAGTTTTTTAGAGTAATAATTATTTCCAGATGGAATGGTCGTGAATGTGCGTGTCGTCGACGCAGATGGCGGAGACCGGCTTGCGTCTGCACAGCATACAGACGTGTTAGTGATGATAGGTTAGTTCACTCGGAGTTAAATCATCCCTTAGTGAGGTTTTTCCAGTTCATCATCATTCTCCTTATCCTACTCCCGTACAGTCGGAACAGGTTTTTGTCCTCCACATAACAGTCACTCCCTTCTTGATCATGTCACCTTTCACACAATCCATCTCTTTCTATGTCTACCTCTACCGGTGAACCTCCACACTCATAACTAACATTCTCCTTGTTACATTCATCTCTCCTCATAACATACCATGCTAACTTTACTCCTTACCTTCTACCACTGCCGCTACTCACAAACTTCCTCTAATACACTCATTTCGTATCTTATCCATTCGTGTTACAGCCCATTCTCATTTCTGACACATGTCTCCTTTCATCCGTCTCTCTATCCCAACATTCAGATACATCATGACAGGTCTTCGACGGCCTTGCAAATTTTCCCCTTTACTTTAAGAATTTGTTGTAAAAACTAAACAGTGTTACAAAATATTTAATGACGCCTATTGGCAAATAATTTAAATACATTTAAATAAATAATTATCACCAGCTATATGACCCCACTGAGGGGGAGTCTACCCTTAGGGTGACTAGGTCACAGTCAACCTGCACTGCGGGTTGACTTCACATATATCTTTGAATTTCTTCCCCGATATGTGCATCACGATGATTACCTTCACCGTAACGTCGGGTAAATGTACAAATGAAAAATCTAAAATCACATTGGTACAGGATTTGAACCCAAGACCTGTAGAGTACAAGTCAAGTGCTTAAACCACTGAGCCATCAACGCTCTATCAAATAAGGCCTAATTTAAGTCTCTTTACCACCCTTTTCTTAAAGTAGGGGATGGGAAGGGGAAGTGGTATTGACGGTGGAGGAGATGCATAAGAAGGGGAAATGTCCCCTTTATGTGCGTTTCCTCCGTCAATGAAGGGTAGGCAACGCATCTTTGCGGATGTCTATGGGCAGCGGTCAATTCGCCATTTTGGCGGATTCAGGTGGCCGCTGGCTCGTTTGCCACATTATAATATAAAAAAAACTTTATTTATCTATGGTATGGTTATTTCAGGTTGGCTGCTGTCCTCACTTTGGGAGCGAGGGATTTGAGACGGGAATTAGATGCTATTGTCTTAAATGCAGGTAAAATATTCCTTACATTTAATACTGAAGTGAGTTTTTTTGTGTAATTTTTTTATTTGTTGATGTGAAAATTTAACCCTTAATGTATAATCACTATATGTATAAATTTTTTTTATTGTTTATTCACTTTTTTAAATACCTAACAAGGTTAAGTCACCCACCTTGTGTGTAAAGGGTGTGTAAAAGGGCCAGCTGAAAACCAGCGCAGAAACATCCTGCGCAGTCTGCATTAGATGAGCTTGCCGCTTTTTGCCTCATTTTCCTTTTTTTACTAGTTTAAAGGTTGATGTATTTAAGATTTCATTTGTAGCTTGTTTTTTGTGGCACTAACAGTGGTAGTGCCCGCTTTAACATGTTAGCACTGCAGGGCTCGCCCCCAGTAATACCACGACCACACAAGACAGGCGGGAAATGGAAGCAATTCCGTGTACAGTCTGATGAGTGTGGTGACGGAGGCCTAATTTAAGTCCCTTCATCTTAACCACCTTTTTCTTATAAGGAGAGGTTGGGAAGAGGAAGTGGATTTGACGGTGGAGGAGATGCATAGGAAGGGGAAATATCCTCTTTATGTGCGTCTCCTCCTCCGTCGTATAAGGGTAGGCAACGCATCTGCAATTGCATTGATGTCTATGGGCAGTCGCTTCGCCATTTTGGCGGATTCAAGTGGCTGCTTGCTCGTTTGCCACCTTATGTTATAAAAAATAATAATAAAAGTCCTATTTATTTATTTATATTTATTTAAAAATATAGATGAAACCGTTGTTCAGGATTTAGTGTTAATATAAAAATATAGCCTATGTTACTCACTGATAATGCTTTTTAATGGTGAAAGAATTTTTGATATTTGTACAGTAGTTTTTGAGTTATTTCATTACATACAAAAATACAAATCTTTCCACTTTATAATTTTAGATAGATAAATGAAACAGTGAAAACCTATCTTTATTCTTTTTCAGATAATGAAGCTACAAGAGAAATAGAACCAAACGCTGAAGTTTATGTACTCTCTGTCGCTCCCAGAACGTAAGTTATTATCTGTATTTACAACAACAAAAAAAAAAAAACAAAATAAAGCTTACAAGTTTGAAGTCTTTCGACTAACATCAGGTAATATTGGGTGATTTATGACATTTTCTTGTAGGCGTGGTACTTAGGTATTTCAACAAAATAGTTGTCTTGATAATTGGTGTATTCGTAATCCTCAATATCACAATTCATATTTCCACTAAATAATTATAGATCATAACGATATGTTTCGATTAAGATATTGAATTGACGTTCACCGAACACATGGTCGCGTACGCACTCTGTATCGACTCAAATCGAACTGACTCGAATGACAAAATGGCCGCCCTACCAGTGCTCGGTGTTCGCCATGGGCATAGAGTAAGCCTACAAGTTTATAATAATCTTGTTATTGGATAAGTTTCATAAAAAACCTATCCGATATTTAGTGCTTTATTTTAGAGTACTAGCTTTTGCTTGCGACTCTGCCCGCGTGAAATTAAAATACTACTAAAATATAGCCTATGTAACTCAGTGATAACATAGCTTTTTGATGGTGCAAGTATTTTTGAAATCGGACCAATAGTTACTTAGTTATTTCAATACATACAAATCTTTCCTCTTTATAATATTAGTATAGACATCTATTACTTTCTAGATGCATTAAGCTGAAGTAGTAACAAACATCCATCCAGATATTTACATTTCTATTAGTTAGAAGTATATTTATATTTACAGGGAAGCGGAAACAGTACAGGAATGTCATAGAAATGAATTAACAACAACCAGTGATGGCTCAATACGATTGCATCCACATTTCCAAGTAAGTTATTAATTTTGACTACCTCCAAAAGGCAAATATTACTCCTGAAAGGCAAATATTACCCCTGAAAGGCAAACATTACCTCTAAAAGGCAAATGTCACCTCTAAAAGGCAAATATTACCTCTAAAAGGCAAATGTTACCTCTAAAAGGCAAATTTTACCTCTAAAAGGCTAATATTGCCTTTAAAAGGCAAATGTTACCTCTAAAATGTTAACTAAAATTAAAATATATTTTAAATTAATATATACTAAACTTGCGTTCGCGACTCCGTCCATGTGGAATTAACAAAAACACAAGTAAGTAGCCTATGTGTTCTTCCAGTCTATTCTCTACATGTATGACAATAACCGAGATCCGTTCAGCAGTTTAGGTTAACTCTAATAAACCTACAAAATTTCGCATTTATAATATTACTAGCTTTCGCCCGCGACTTCGTCTGCGTGGGATTAAAAAATAAAAGTGAGTAGCCTATGCGTTCTTCCAGACTATCGTCTACATTTATACCAAATTTCATCGAAATCCGTCCAGCCATTTAGGCTACAAACTCTAACAAACATACATCCATCTAAACTTTCGCATTTATAATATAAGTAAGATTAGTAAGTGAAAGAAAGAAAGAAAGAAAGAATTTCTTTATTGCTCACTAATGTTAATTACATAAATCAGTGTTGCCATGACTACTTAACTAGGATTCCTGTTTTTAAGTACCCAAGGACTTCCCTTACAAAGTGATACATTTTTGGTGAGAAACAGAAAGAAAATTAACTATTGTTAATTAATGTTAGCAAGTGAAATTAAAAAAAAAGTATTTATAATTAAAGAAAGTGTTTTAATTGTATATGTGATAATTTCCAGGTTGTATGCGGCGGGGAGCTCCGTGCGCTGTTGCTACGCGCCCCCGCACTGCCGCACTCCCCGCACGCGCCCCTCGCACCCCTCGCACCACTCGCACCACTCGCACCCCTAGTGCCGCTCACACCGCCGGCTAAAGTGCACACGCAGGTGTGTAAAAAACAAACAGAAGGCAACTAAAATACAAACAAAATATCATCAACCAACTTGAGGCAACTAATAATCCACCAATGAAAAATATTGCCGTAAAAATAAAAACAAACATAAGTGTCGATTAATAAGATACGAATCAAGTTAAAATATAGAAATCGGTTTAAATGTATTTTATCATACAAACAATAAAAGGCAACCAACAAAGTCAACTCGCAACATAAAACAACTTTCATATAAATCCACAAGTCTGTAAAACATCACATCATCTGAACTTCTCTACTCATTAAACAACACAACCTTAAGACAACACAATCATAAAACTCAACAAACATTAAACAACACAATCATAAAACACAACAAACATTACACAACACAATCATAAAAC